TTGTCACATAAAGTCACATGTCACATCACATGCTATTTTGGTTCTGCATAAATCTATAAATGCATATGGTTTTGGTGTCTCCCGACCATATGCATTGTGAGATAGTCAACTGTATCTAGGAGAAAAAAAAAAATTCCAGAAGACCATTGCACGAGTTCGAGACCTTTGTTCTCAAAATTGCAGCCCCACAACGCGAGACCAGGAGCGCCACTTTCTCCCTCCGCTCAACGGCCAAAATGCCGATCGTCAAGACTTGACTCGCCGCACAGAGGTTACGGTTGCGCTGCAACGTTATAGTCAATGCGTGTCAACAACGCATCCCCCGATACTGTGACGGGAGCAGCAATAAAACGTACGACCAGAAAATTTCTGTTCAAAATCTCCTTTCGGAGTTTTTATGTGAAGAAATACATGCACGGCGTCGTTTCTTTGGGATTACCTAGCGCTCTCGCGGATCATACTATAGGGTCCGATGCTTATGGGTTCTCCCGAGATGTGATTGTCTGTGCGTGCTGCGTTCAGCTGTACATGTACCCCTGGTTTGAATCTCTTCGTCAGACTTGAGCTTGATTCAGCAACGCGTCTGGGGGCCAAGCAAGTCATTTCCTCTTCAGTCTTGACATTCACTCACATGCACACACCCTAATTGCCGGACTTGGATGGTGCTTATATAAACCGGAAAGACGACCTACTGTCAAATAGAACAACACTCATGCAGCAGTGTTTGCGCTCCCCCCTAATGGACGGCCCTCATAGCTTGCACATAACAATGCACTATCAACTGTGACAAGGACACAATACCACGGGACTGCTTACATAGAATGGATCTCAACAAGAACTCAATCCTGGAATACTTGTCTCTGGAAACCAAAAATGGGTTCAGATAATCACATTCAAAACTGAAGACCATGCTCCCCAAAATAAACTGATATTGATATCCCACAGATATAAAAACGCCCGTAAGTACTAATATGGTTTTTATGTAAGGGAACCAAGGAGAATGAGAAGGATTCAACTGATAAAAACATTTTCTAACACCCCCCAAGGCCTCAGCATGAAAACGACGATAATACAGAATGGCAAGTATCTCACCTCGGTTCAACCAATGCAATCCGACTCCAAGTCTCCACACCTACAGCGCATTTACTGGCTAAATGCCAGATAATCAGCATCAGCACGCCCAAGGTGGACAATGGGCATCAACTTACAGGAGCGACAAGGTGATGTCACCGTTGACCTTGGCCTGGATGGCAATCTCAACCTCGAGGTTAAGGTCAAGACGGAGCTTCAGAGCTGCGGGGGGTGCAACAGCCTGGCGCTCAGAGCGACCGACAATCTGTCCGCCGAGGACAGAAGAGGATTGAGTAGGTGCGAATTTGGTTTCTGGGGCAGACATTGCAATGCTGAAGAAAAAGAGTCGACGCGGTGGTCCTTTTATACGAGTATCGACTACTGGATTAGGATGGGGGCCAGAGCGATGTACCACTAATTCAGCTAATCGGGTGCCTCACCAAATTGATTGCGACTGAAACATGAGGTACGTAAACGTTTTTTAACATTTCGTATTTAAGAAGCGTACATACCCCCATTCTGATATATACGACGGCATTTCTTCCAGGTTCGGGTCCTTCCGACGGGCAATTTGATAGACGAGTTCCGCTCCCATTTCAAGTAAGTTTAATACTCGCTCTCAGGATAATTTTGGAATCTTCAACCTTTGATATTCCGGACGTTTGTCGGTCCGGATTACCGTGAAATTTAGGGCGCAAGAAAGGTTGCCGGTGACCTTTTTATCGCCTCCCGTCGTCAGTGTGTCGCAATTAAATCAAGAATCGCGGTTCGGTCCAGGGTTGAGCATCTCGTCATTGGGACTGTGCTTATTAACAGTCAATGCAACACGTGCCGCGGAACTGGGACTCGGAGATGACAAGGGGGGAGATTTGATTCCTGAGGAAGGCTTAATGCGTGAGCTACCACATCAGAGTTGTACAGCGCAACGCCGCCGCCGTTTGGTTTCCTCTCTTCGTCATAAATTTCATTGATGAAAATGAGAGTAGGCAATACGATTACGATACGCGTAGACGGAGGCGCCGATGGGAGCTGATGTGCGTTTAGACCATCTAAGTGGTATGCGTTGATGAAGGCCATCAGTGGAACACGAGGAATAAACAAGATACGAACTGACCCTTGCTCCGTGGAGGTCGCAGAGGAGTGAGTCATCCAATTATCTTTTCGTTGTTCGCCGTATTCAACTGCTTTCAGAAGCTCATTAGAAATTCATCTCGCCATAGGAATTTCTCTGGTTAGAGTACGCGTCGTAATGCTGCTATTTTGAGCGTGTCCTTTGTCGCGGTCCTCGGGCATTCAGGAAATGTACAAACCATCTTTTATTGATCCTCAGGTAATAGCCATCGCGCTTCTGGTCTATATCTGGCGAGAAAAGTGGTATGGCACGATGCATGATCTATGTATTAAGTGCAATGTCCCAAATGCGCTGTACAGCCGCCTTCATTGGCAAAAAACTTTCTCAAAACTTAATGCGTTGACCCAAAAAAAAACCACTGATATTCATATGTCACAGATGTAGAACCCTCCCCAAACACTAGTATGTACAACCTCAACCGCATTGAGTCGATGGTTTTCCAAACGAACAAATGGATCTCTCTCTATGAAAACCCTAGCCGCGAAACCATTCTTAGCACCAAATACAAGGTGAACCCGCCAACAAGTCTTACCAAAAATGTCGGCAGTTCCATCCGAACGGATCGAGAGCACATTTACTCACTAAAATTTGAACGTCAGCTTGAGAATACCTCAGGAGGCGGAACACAACTCACAGGAGTGACAAGGTGATGTCACCATTGACCTTGGCCTGAATGGCGATCTCAACCTCGAGGTTGAGGTCCAAGCAAAGCTTCAAAGCTTCCTTGGGAGCGACGGCGCCCTTGTTGGAGCGGCCGACGAGTTGTCCGCCGGCGACAGAGGAAGTCTCGGCAGTGGTGTATTGAGTAGCAGTTGGGGCAGACATTGTGATGCTGAAGGATACGACTAGGAGAGATTTTCGTCCTTTTATACGAGTAATCCCCTCCCTAGGCGCTGGTGGAGGATATCGATAGCATTGTCATCGACGCGCCATGGTGGCGGTTCGTAAACCGGTGCCTCGCCTGAGTAACTTTGACCAATTTTGTGCATGGGGGTGCGAGTGGCCAGCTCCCTCGAGTAGCTCTGTGTCATTAGCTGCGAGAATATCATAGATTCTTCTGCCACGAGTAAAAAATCAAATATTCGGTGACATCTGTCTGTCCTTCTGAGGTCAGTAAGCCCTCCGCCACAATCGAGGGGGAATGGGACCCACAGATTTTTAATATTAGACCATCCAAGAATCCGCAGTCTCAATTTCCCCGCATGTACATGTTGTTCCTCTGATATTATGGGTGTTTGTAGGTCCAATATCACTGGGCCGTGGGCACCATTCACACACCCTTCAAGTCCCTTTCCATGAACTCGCCGAAGAGAAGAGCTCTATCAGCGATCCAGCACGATGAACGAAAATACTTTCTTCAACTTCGAATTGGAAGCAACCTCCAGTGAACCCTGCGTCTTCTTACCGAAGTCCGACAACACCAGACTACAGTCCTTTGAATGTCAAGTACGTCGTTCGCCGACCGCAGCCTTCAAGTTTCCAATGGTGGAAAGGGTTCCTCCAGTCATGTTCCCCTCTTCTGTTGTGGCTACTTGCGAGAAGAAACCTTGAAAATTGACATGGTGGCACATGAGTTCAATTTGGATGTACCCTCGGCTGTACCATCAATCGCTTACCAGTGAGCACCTACCGAGATGTCGGTTCTATCGGTATCAGATCTCGTTAATATTTCTGTGACGTCTAAGCTGGCTGCGAGGGGTTTGTACTCCACGGATTCTTGAGATCGTGATGAGATGTGTAGCCATCCCCATATGCAATGGACATGGTTCTGTAAGCTGTGATAGACGTCTTTCTCTCGATAATGGTGGCCCTTGGCCGGGTGTCTTCGAGATCTAGAACAGAATCACAAGACGATACCTGAATCTTCGTCATGTGGATCTCCTACCTGTCTCCACTAATAGACGTGGGGCAAGTGTGGCGTCGTTTGACTCGTTTCTCCAGAAAGGTATGCAAGCCATAGCGAAAAGCGGAGACGCGTTTAAGAAGTTCCCACCATATTTGGGGATGCTTTTGTGTTATTGACATGATATATCTGAGCTGCGTATAGGCAACTATGGGTGATTAAGCCGGGTGTCTTTGGATGCATCACGTAGCGACTATCGAAGAAGAGATTCATAGAGCAGCGTAGCACTGACAGCTTGCCTAAACACTTTAGGATAAAGTGGATATTAAATGGCAGGCAGAGAACCGCTTGGCAGTTTCTGTTAATATCGTCGCGAGGCCTGGCGATTCACGGAAAAAAGTTTGCATGTCTACACGTCCAAGCTGCAGTTGATACATCAGCATACAGCGAACCTACCTATTAATTAAAAAAACGAGGTGTTGGTCAACGTAGACTCGGGGGGGAGTTACGCTTACAATGATTGCGAGAGACGCAAGCGCCTCACAAGATATGGTAAGATACAAAGACGCCCAGTCGTCTGGAGTCAAGGAAATTCCGGTATATTAATACTGAAGCGACGCTTTCTTCGAGGAATTAGAGGTTACCAGCGTACATACGATGTCTTCAAGGACGCGTGCATTCATGACTGAAAGCACAAGAGAGTTCGGCCCGGTATCCGCTCTCTTCCGTAAGTAGTTCAAGATTGTTGATCAGCACGCAGCCACTCCTGCCATTTAGCTATTTTACAAATCCTTTTCTTTGAGAAAACTCCTGGGCACTTCACTTTCCACTACCTTCTATTAGACTTGCATTCTGCTGGATTTTTAGGGTCGTCGTTGCCAAACCGGTTATTGACTTTTTCCCAACTTTCGCGCAGTGTACTTATTTCCTAGCTTGAGCTTTCCCCAGATTGCCACCTGGGATCGGTATCATGTCAGCCATCCGTCTCCAAGTCGTAGCCACATACTTCGAACAGCCATTATCTCAAGAAAGATTACTTGGAACCTTCATGCAGAAAAACAGTGCATGACAACGCAGGCTGTACCTCCATTCAGCTCGGCAACTTGAACCGTTCTACTTTTCTCTTCCACCTTCGTCGAACCGATTCCCACATTCGGTCCAGCCTTTGATCTCAGGTTCCGTTGCCGTCTTCCGGACCGTAACACGACGCCACATTCAAGAACTTTGATGCGTTGTCAGTTTTTTTTCCAAGTACTCCTCCATTGCATTGCATTGACTAATTATCAGTACATCGACGAAGGATCAAAATTGACGTGGATTCTGTGCCACTGCGCAAGCTCGACGCTTGGTCTAGAACTGTTTCACAGAAAGTGCCCTTTGTTCTTTCTATTGATAGTACTTATCCCGGTCATGGCAAAACCCAAACCATCAGGCCAAACTTCAAAGGTCAGCCGCGAGACCGTACGATTTCACGCGTGGAGAATTTTAGGGTTATTATTGTATGTTCAGGGGAGCCCGGCTAGGAATTCAATGTACATGTCGTTGTATCGTTCTTTTTTTCCTTTCAGTAATATTCTGATTTACAAGAGAAGTTCTGCAGGAATTATGAAGGCCGAGAACAACGATGCTCACCGGATACGCCGTTGCCTGATGGGAAGACTAGACTGGGGCCTCTGGCCACACTGATGCAGTCTGATGTATTGTAAAGACGGCATACCGCACATTTACAACGACCGGTTTCTGTGTAGGCTATTCGGACCGATGTTTGATTGTGCGCCAACCCAATGCGTATACTCCGTAAGTGACAGAGACTTCCACACCCGTTTGAGTTCAACTTGAGAGAAGTTGAACCGCAACCTAAACTCGGTGGCGCAGAATTCGGCAGCGGTCAAGACTTTCGGTTTCTACATCCCCCAATCAAACCCGTCTCCTCAGTTTGGCCCTCGGATACCCACAGCTGTACCTGCATTTTCCAGCAATAGGTTAAGGCAAGAACATGTGCAAGGTCAAAAGCTCGTATCATGCGCTGCATGACTTCGATTTGATGCCAGGTACGGGAGAAAAGAACAATGAAAGGTTATTGCGCGAGCCTCGCTCTCAGCTAGTTGACTTCGCACCCAACAGTCATGTCAACCAATATTTCGATCTCGTGTTCCGATTGTCTTCCCCCGCAGGCTAGTCCTCAATCCGAATTTCCCCCAGACGCCGCGGTACTGATTTGTTTTAATAATGCACATGTGCACTGCGCGTGCTATTTTTTTTTGAAATAAAGGATTAGCCCGGGGCCGCTGTTTACGTACCGGACTTCAGCTTCAACCTTCTCGGTGTTCTACACCTCTGGAATGAATCAAGTCGAGACGACGAGGCACCCGGTTTACTTTCGGGTTGAGTTGCAAGCAATATAACTCTTTTGGGCCGTCCATCTTCGTATAAAGGATCAGCTTGTCGGGATTTGTCTTCAGCATCTACAGCTTTAACATGTCTGCCCCAGAAACTACCTCCATTGCTACTCGCTCCAACCAGGGCACCGTCGCTCCCAAGGAAGCTTTGAAACTTCGCTTGGACCTCAACCTCGAGGTTGAGATCGCCATCCAGGCCAAAGTCAACGGCGACATCACTCTCTCCCTCCTGTAAGTGATTATCATTTGGTTCCAGTGTTCCTAGGCTGATCGTCCGCTCTCTATAGAGAGTAAATGTCTTTTGTGGACATGGTGAGATAAGAGTCGGAGTGTTGTTGTCGGGATCAGGTAGGAATTATTTCTCCGTGTATCGTTTGGGTCGACGCTAAGTCTATTGTCTCGCTAGGACGTCCAAGTCATGATACGGCCAAATTCATCTTGATTCCATTCTTTCCTTCATCCCTTCACCAACATTGTGTATCAGTTTTTACCGATCTTTATCCAGTTACGTAGATGCCAATATCAGTGTTGTTTTGGGGCTTCATGTATCGAGCCTAAGGAAGATTTGCGAAGAACTGAACCGCGTGTTCATAGATGTAAGCGGGTATTATATTCTTAGCCTGCTCGAAATGACATTAGTTAGTGTTCTGATGTTTCCCATGAATTGTACTAATGTATGCATTTAGTAGGTAGATAATGAACCTATGGGGCAAAGTTCAGTAGGAATATACACATGGAGTCGATTGCTAAGGGAATTGCACATTGAAGTTGTAGTTTCGTATGTTTACTGTTAACTGTTTATTTTATGGTGAGCGAGTATGTTCTTTAGGGATCAATGAACCATATATGGGCATGGCGAAGGTCTACTGCCCCTCCATCGCTGCCGGTGCTTAAAAGGAAAAGAGTGTACCTCCGGGAAGCTAGCATTTAGCCGTCTGTGAGTGCCAGTTTGAATTCTCTGATGCAGAAGACCTCAGCGTGACCAACAGCCTGGGAGAAATACAACCCGTAGGTCAAGAGGGTGGCTGTCATTAGAGGTCGTTCAGCGCTCAACATTGAATCATCTTTGTTTCCATATGGCCAGAAAACTGAAGATAAATATGTGGGCATATCGAGCAGTGAGATTGTTTACGAACGGAGAGGATGAACATTTGCCGGACCGATGTAGCAACCCGCCACGTGTGTCTCTTAACTTGAATTATTTAAGTTCGTCCTTCATACGCGTATGAGTTCCCCGAGTCTTCATAAAGCGGCTTGAGGCTAACTTCGTTCGATAGCGGAAGTAGGTATACAAGTTCATCTTCTTCCAGCAGTTTCCCAAGCCATATTCCAGGATTCTCAACCCGATGTCGTGCCACACCTGCAGCAACTGCAGATTCGTCAATTTCCCTTCTCCCGAACCACAGCTACAAACGCTCAAAACGATCCAGAGCTTTGATGGGCTTGTTTCTCACATTCTACGTGGGTCACGGCCATTGCTCAACTCAGACCATGCCTTGATGGAGGACGAGATTGCGAAGCTGGAACAGTTGCGGTTTTTATATGATGCCCAGTTCCAGGAGATCCAGTTGCGCCAATTTCCAGTCTTGAAAGCCCTGAAAAATCGCGTGTCGATCTATTCCCCCATCCGTCGTCTACCCCGAGACATTCTGATTGAAATCTTTCATTATGTTTGCAGCTCAGATGCATGGGGAGACGCAGAAAATGCCATCGGGCGTGATAGTCTAAACATGGCTGGACCTCTTTGGGTATTAGGGCGTGTCTGCGGGTTTTGGAGGGATACGTTGAACACCTCTCCAGCGTTCTGGGCTCGGAATGTCCTAGTGATAACCCCTGTCTCCAAGCACGCCCACGAGATATGCCAGACATATCTCAGATGTGCAGGCGAACATCCTCTCGGTATGCGAATCGACTACTGGAGCAACAAGCGTGCAGAAGATGACGAAATCCTGTCACTACTCCTTCAATCTTGCTATCGGTGGAAGGATGCGTATATACGCATCGACAGGCATAATACGCACTATCTGGAATCTATATCGCACCTTCCCGTCCTAAAGACGATTGAAATAGATATCTGGAATGACGACGGCAATGATTATCGATTATCGCTCGGACATATGCTTGAATGCCCCGCAGCTATGGCGAGCAATTCTTTTAGGCCCAGGAATCCATCAAGTGAGGTTACCGCCCGGGATAACTCATTACTCTGGATGTATATATCGCCCGAAAGATTTACAGCCATTTCCCATGCTTAAAATGTGCCATATCTCTTTCATGATCTCAGGGAGCTTAAAAATTGACTCGCCGGTGATTATGGCGGAGCTCTGCCAGCTCAAGTGGGGGATTTAAGTATTCTCAACTTTCTAATAGCACCGACGCTCCAAAGTTTGTCTATTAGCAGCTTTTCACCAGGGTCATTGTCTAGTATCACCTTTTTCCTCCGTCGATCGGGATGTCACCTCGAGAGCTTGAATATATGCCTCCGAATACTAGATCCGTCAGCCTCGATCAGCGAACTTCTCTCTTCTGAAGTCTGTTCCGTGATCACTCACTTCAAACCCGAACTCGGTTCGCAATTGATAAAGGTTGCCAAGGCCCTCGCCCCTCTCTCAGTCCTGCCCAATCTGCATCATCTCGTCCTCTGCATGGCGGCTCAGACTTCCCGTCATAAACAGAATTGTCTTGTGAATGTGATCTGCTCCCGCCGTGATGCTGGACTGCTGAAAACGATTGAAGTGCAGTTTGCTCATGATGATAGTCATGACATAGATGAAGTTGATGATGGTGAAGACGACGAAGATGATGACCGGAGGTGGGCCGATTTTCATGATATGGAACTGGATATCCGAGCTCACTGGGGACAATCTGGAGATGCGAGTCAAGAAATGGAACCCGCTGGATTTGGGCCGCCGTCCATTTTGGGATCCATATCAACTGCCAGTGTAAACGACTGGAGAGCGTTGATAGATTTATGATATCACCGGCAAAACATGTAACAAGCATTTGATACTACACGGTGCTGACACCAGTACTTGTTCGCCGAATCCAAGTTTGAGCCTCATTTCAAGAAACTAGAAGTTTATGTATAGTCTTGACTCGACGGCCTAATAGACATCGTCGTTAATAGAGCCAGATTTGCTTGAGAAGGGAATATTCAGTAACTTGATATCGAGTATTCCCTGCCCATCTATGAACAATATGTTTTCCACTCCTTTCAGAGATCAGTTTCTAATTGCCGGGTCTGTGAGATTTGGGTATTAGCTTAACCGGGAACATACTTCGATATGAAAGCCAGATAATTTGTCCTAACTTTAACTTTGCTGGAAATGACAGGTCTGCTAGATCCTACCAACCTTCTCGCTAGGACGGGGAACAATGCGCCAGAGGTCGAACTCACTAGAGTAACAAAGATCACCGCGACACATAAACCGAAGTAAGAAATGCAGTAGGCAGCCTCGTCGCCATCTCAAGCAAAAAATATTCCCGGGGAGTCGAATTCCACGCCATAGGCGTCGGATCCTGCTATCCGCGAATGGTGAGTTCACATTTTGTATTCTCGCTGCATGCTTCAATGAAGCTCTGCTTTGGCGATGAAACAGGAAGGAGGAGACTCAGGAAGGAGTTACGGAGACACACTGGTTGGGAAGCAGGGAGCCTGAGGGGAAAGCGTCAAGTGGGTGCTACGGCCCTAAAATAGGCGCCACCGTTGCCACGATGGAGGTGAACGATGTCAATGAGAATCATGACGCGCTCAACCTTGTAGAGGGCTGTCGTAAATAGCAAAAACCGACATAGGTTACAAGCATGCCTCAGACGAGCGGTGCGCACGAAAGTCATTCAAACCTCACAGAGCATAGAGACGAGCGGCCTTTCTGCGCCACTGACAAGACCTCAATATCAATCTACGTTGACATCTCCCAAATGTGACGATTCGTAACGACACAGGGACGTAGTAGTAGAGGGTGACAGCAAGTTGCTGTCACCCTCTATCTCACACCGAAGGTCCTAATAGCAACAAGATGGTAGCGTGACTGGCCCCAGGCATCTGGATACATGTTTAATACAGTGAACAACGTGTACTCAACTTGAAGAATTGTGTCGTGATCCGATGGTAGTCCTCGCGACTTGCCGTTCAATTCATCTACAGCTTTAAGGAGAGAAATACGAAGGAACGAAACAGAAAAAAAGCGCGGGAATCAGCAGCAGCAACGAACAAATGAGCGTTACCGATAAGAACCAGATCTAATGAAGCCACGTGCGATTCTTGCCCTTTCGTGTCTCGCCTGCAGCAACTATGGATTCATCAACCTCCTTCCTCCCGAGTGAAAGCTACAATCTCTCAAGGCTGTCCGTTCGCAATTCCTAGAAGGGTCACGACCATTGATTGACTCCGACTATACGGTCTATATCTTTGTCGAGTTGGAACAGCTGCAATCCTCGTATATCCATCGGTGGCGATATAAAGTCCTGGAAGCCCTCGAAAGTCGCAATTACCATCTGCCATCTTCCCCGAGATGTTCTCATTGAGATATTTCACTCTGCTTGCGACCCGCAGTGGTGATACCCACCAAGATATGATAGTTTAAATGTAGCCAGGCCCCTTTGGATTCTGGGCTGTGCCTGTGGGCTTTGGAGAGATACGTTACACATGTCTCCTGCTTCATGGGCTCATAGGCTTGTCGTGAAGGTCTCTTCCTCTAAGCACATCTTGCAGGCTTTTTTGGATCACACGCGAACCTCCTCTCAATCTGTACATCTTCTGCGACACAGCGGCAAGCTGACAGAAGATGGATCGCTAGAAGAACCTTGTGTTCATTCTCATTGTCATGTATCTTACCCACCTCTTGGAAGCTGTCACAATTGAAACAGAAACATCTCCGTCACTACGTTTCTAATTATCGCTTGGATACGTGTTTAAATGCTCCGAAGTGGTGGAAAACAACGCTTCCAAGGCCAAGGGATCCATATGCATCAACTGAGGTTACCGCTTGATGATTCCAGTGATATCACTTGCCCTTGATATTCAACTTCCTGGTATGACAGCAGAGTGCGAAGGGCCATTTAGTTCCGGAGAGATTTGTAGTGGTCGGTTCAGCACCGTGTGCAGGATGGCTATTAGATACTCCGTATTCAGCGCTTAGACGAATACCTCCGCGATTGATTGACGATTTCAGTGTTATTTTGGTTTGAGATATTGGCTGGGATGGATGTACAAATGCTCCTCCGAAATATCCTTGCTCGTCCAGATGTTATCCCAGTAATGTAGAAAACCTATTTCCACGTATTGTAACTATCACTGTTCTTTAATCCGGAGAGGCGATCAGCACAGGTTCCGACAAGGGCCAGAAGAAGGTCTGTTACTCAGTTAAAGCTTTCCATTCAAGCCATTCGCTGTCAATGAACTAGCGGCGACGCCTCGCACGAAGCACATCTGGGAGTGTGATTAATATTAGGCGACAAGGGCAGTCGCGGTGACTGGAAGTTTGTATTTGGACTTGATCAGCGACGTGGTGTAACTAAGGCCGCATGTACTTGTGACGCGCTTGAATCTCTGGAAAAATATCGTCCTTTGTCGTACAATACGCAGGATCCACATGCAGGATCTCGCCCAGACTGTGACTGCTGCCTGATGTGATTGACGCGTCTGTCACGGCACGCTTCACACGCTAGTGGAAATTTGACGTTGGGAATGTCTCAGGTGGCGATGCACCAGTTGTCTCCTGACCATTCTTTTCAGACGCCCAAGTGCATCATAAGCGCGCGCCAATGACAACCGATTCGTGGATGACTGGACTTCCTCAAGCCTCAGGTGATGTGAACATCTCCGCCGGGCGGTGATGGTTGGGATGCGAGACAGCAAATCACCAATTGAACGTTGCCCCATCCTGTCTGGCTCTTGTGCTAAAGGTGATATCCTTAATCTTCATGTTCCCCGCATGCTCGTCTATGATTGGGTCAGAATATCCTCACATGTCATTCATATTATGGTCATTTATAATATCATTGTTGACTGAATGTGATTTTACTATAGGATGATAATGCAGCGCGTTCAATGGAGCCTGAGCTCCATAGCTATGAAATATTTGGGCGTCTAAATGATGTCCATTGTAGCGTCCTGCATATCATAAATGGTTCGACACTACTCCAGCGCTGTTTTGGTTAGTGGAGGTGAGAAACCAGTACTACGAAATGGCTCCTTTCCCCGGATCTCAAATGAAGAGAACACAGAAAAATTTCATGCTAGTTCAATGCTAGATGTCAATGTCAGACACTGGCAGGCATATTTCCCTCGCAACTTTTTCTCAATAACTTTGTTCCATCAGGTCATCAGGTCCGACGAACTGGTTTCCTCCTCCCAGTTGAATATGTTTGGAGAAATCCCCCAGGAATTAACCTTGTTTTTGGACAAGTTCTTTCGAGTTCACCGGGCCGCCGTGCAACATCCCTAAGGTATAAAAGCTCACCCCTTCGTCTCTCAAAAGCGTCAAGCACCTTTGCCCAGCTTCTTTAATCGACTTGTATGTCCCATTCCATTGTTTCTAGTTGCACTTGTGTTTGCTCATTCTCTACTATTCGGCTGATAGCACCTGACCGCCAACTACATCTCCAAGGTGTGCGCATACTATCTTTAACCCTGACGCGCAACTGAAATATAGCACTCCACCAGACAATCGTCATGGCCAATTTCGCGACCCGTTCATTCTTCATGTCTAACGAAGGGGCTGTGGATGGTGTTGTGATTCAACCTGGCGGCAGCACCAAAGACATAAAGGAATCGGAGAAATTGAAATTCAGCAAGCCGGGAAAATATGTTGTCGAGGTCAACGGTGTCGTTGTGTTCAGTGTCGACTACCACAGTGGCAAGTTGACTGTCAACGATGGAACATCGGCTTCGTCCGACGCTGCGTTCATCGTCTCCGCTAAGATGTCCTGAGATCGTGTCCTGAAATTGTATGTCTTACTGTAGCACTCCATAAATTTCTGACCCTCTTTTCAAGGTCAGCGAGATCGGCTAGCACCCTTCCGATGCGTTTAAGTTCATCGTTATTCACTGACAGCATATTTATTCAAAAATCCCAAAAAAATCGCCCATCCTATTATCATTGCCCGTTTTTACCTACTGCTATCGTTCCTTACTCATATTGCCTTCTGTCCATTCAGTTGCTATCGTCCCGGTTTTTATATTCATTTACTACCATGAGTCTTGGACTTTGCTACCTGTAGCTAGGAACAATTCGTGTCGTAGTCCTTTAGTTTGATTGAAATCGTACATCTTATCGCTGCTGTCTTTTCGGATGACCTTGAGTTTTTTAGTGAAAGGCAGGTCAACTTCCTTTGGTAGTTGTAAATTGCTCAGGGGAGAAAGAACTTGGAAATGGGATGACTAGATTCCGTGCAGTAAAAGGAAGATAAGGGCAGAGATGATGTAGGGTAACGTGGCGCGCTGTCAATACCCAAGCGCGTACAGATATGCTTCCTATGGCCTGTCCTTTGCCAGCAGTCGAATTCGGACACATTAGGAAATGTAGACTTTGATAGAATTAACCAAACATAGTGAACAGCTTGCGAAGGAAGAGGACATAGTGTCGTATATGGGAGGAGAGTGAACTAGTAATCCCCGAATGATTGAGGTTCTGTTGAATCCTTGGTCACTCCTTCAAGTCCATCTGGTCCCCGAGGCCTCTATGCATTTCCCCCCAGAAGATGATGTTAGAAGTAGGCATGTGTAACATCGCAAGACACTATGCCAAAGAACTGGTCACCACCACCACACCGCATCAGGAGGGAATTCAATGAGCGGATCTCGCAAGCGGTTCGCTTCCCTTCGCACTTAGCACTCTTCATCCCTACCACATTATTAGCGGCTGGCGGACAACAGAAAAGTACCACGTTCTTCAGGACGTGGGCTCTCGCAATTGGAAGGGAAAACTGTTTCAAGGATAGCGTGGCTGTATGGTGCGGGGCACCTGTAGGTGTAGCTGTTGGAGGTGCTAGTACTCACACAACGGAGTGACACAAATATGGACTCACCAATTTTAAGGTAAGTATATCTGTAATCCGCGGGTACTTGAACGCTGCCAAATAGCGTTTAGCTAGAGGAAGGTGCGACAAGACGAATATCATCCACAAACATCCGTCGTGTCTCCAATGCTGTAACCGTTGCTGTTCATGAGATGGGAAGAATAAAAACAGGCGGTATTCGTTATCAGTTCAAAATGAGAATCTTCTGATGCACCCCCTGTCTTATCGACCGGGGACATGGCTCAGGAAGGTATGTATCGCCATCCATATGCCTCGAGTAGTAGGAATTATCAGACAGTGAGGAGCTAATTTCCCGGACCCGCACGAGAAAAGAATTATGTTGAACAGCATCATCATGAGTCGACCCAGATTCGAACTGAGGATCTTCTGTGTGTAAGACAGATGCGATAACCAACTTCGCCATCGACCCTTAATGCCAGAAATGTATCCTTTATGGAGATGAATGAGAGCGATACGAGAGCTCGCGTGCTGAGATAGTGTATTCTCTCCCATTGTACAGCGGCCATGGACAGGCGTCTGAATCCACGAATACCAGTGTGAACGGCGGATAAAGAATTAGGCTCCGCACTTGGACGCTTTATTAGGTGTCGTTGCCAGGACTTGTAACTCCGTAATGGGGTGAAGATTCAGCGGGGTGCAATAAAAGGCGAGAGGAGGACCCGAAAATGGAATGAACATATGTCTTGGAGCATCTTCGCGGTGGGCGGAGTACAATGATACGAACGTGTTGTACTTATCTGGGTGCGCGTGAGTACGACGAGTGCTATTCAACGATGTTACCAACCTGCTTATCACCAGACGTTCTAGTAAATACCAGTGTCCCCAAGCCCAAACCATTGCCCCCGTACGAAGTCGCAAGCCTCACGTCAAGAGCCCTTTTACTATCTTCTAGCCTGGAACGTGGATATGGCTTAGCAACGTATCCACCATAATGATGTGGACAACACTCTTTATCCGGCGCGTATCTAAATATCCCTTAAGTATGACAGGCAGATTATTCACAGTGACCGGCAACATGCTCTCGGTCGCGTTCGCATCCGCGTCTCCTGCTTCAAGGCGCAAGAGAGTTGTGGAACGGCTAAAGAGCGAAAACCTGGTATACTGCTGGACACAAGACCTGATAATGGAACAGAAATGATAGCAAAGTCTGACTCATGGTAGTAAACGGGTATAAGAATCAGGACGTTGGGGGACGAAAACAAGGGGGAGAATAACGATGAGTTGAAACGACATGAAATCCTGCCGGCTTATCACACAAACAAAAGAAGGGGGTACAGCAGAGACATTGTTATATGGTAACTCAATCAGGCATACCATGTCATACTGTGTGCGACTGAGATTAAAAAAAGAGATGCCTGAAGAGAAGGAGACCAGTCAAAGCAAAAAGGGAATTTTATATCGGTAAGCACCGAAGCAAAGTTAAGGGTTTGAAATCCTTAGACACGAAGACCTTCGGAGAACCAATGGTAAGTTTTTGGTGATGCTGCCTTGAAGAACCCAAGTCTCCTCGTTCTTGATGTTCGCCTCCAACTTCATGGTGATCACCAAAGGGGGAGAGGCCCCTACCAAATGGCTCAAACCATTTGATACCGAGTGGACGTGGCGAGTAAGCTCGAGGAAACATCAAGACGAATTCGACGATCAAAAAAATCTACGGAGGGGTTAATGTTGGCGCGAACTGAAGTAATTGCGGAGGAACTTGTTGGGAAGCGTAAACGCCAGCTTGTACTCCCAGCAGCTCTTCCCCTCCTCGGTCGACTGGAAGAGTTTTACCAACCCTTTCTCCTTGTTCTCCGTCAAGTGGGTAAACGTCGCCTTGAGGTCATCCCCACTTCGTGTACGTCTACATCCGCTCGCAGGACGTCGAGGAGGAATGTGACGATCTTTCCGGCCATAACGGACACCGTCACATCAGTTTGAGACATGACGGTACTGTTGAACACAAATTGGCGAGATCGAGGCCCCGGTAGCGATCGATGGCGGCCTTGAAGTCCTTCCAGTCGAAATGTTTCTTATCGGTCGTGTCGTCGAATTTCATGCAACGGCGGGGGAACTTGATGAAACCTATGCTGATGGGTACAAGACTCTCGGGCAGCTTGGAAAATCGGTCAAAGGCGAGCTCGGCTATATAAGGATGTCGCTTAGTAGGAATTCAAAGGAGAAAGAAGCCTGACAAATGATTAGCGTTGAACTTGTCTCTGTTGGCAATAAATGGGGTCAGAGTCAAGGTCAAAGTGTAAAAAGGGTACGTACTTGAAGGAGATTATGAGATAGGCCTTGTTGTGAAGGAAGACTTCGGAGGGTTGGTCTGGATAAGGGATCACAGGAAGTAGGACGAAAGAGGATTGAGACCATAAGACCGTGACCAACACATTGCTAGGTCCTGTGAAGCGTGAACCTTCAACTTCCTGACGTGACAGCAGAGCACGAAAGGCAACGTTCAGAATCGCTGTTGTTTGGAGATTTTCGTAGTAGTAGATTGGACCGCATGCAGCAGGATGGCTATTATGGCTCAGACATTAATACCTTTGCGCAAGCACAAGCGCCAAAAGGACACACCTGCTATTCGGGGCATGTCATACGTATCCGTCGAGCCCTCTGGTTTTGTCCTGACACTCTCATCTAGCAGCATCTTGAATCTCGTGAAGGGCGTGGGATTTGGTCTCGAGATGAATTGGTGGCCGTCGTGGGTAGCGAAACTCGAGACGTTGATGGATGATAGTTGAGGTCAAAATGCGGTCGAAAGGTATAGAAAACACATTATTAATGTCTTTGTTACATTCATGCGTGACTATTGGTCCTAAGTTTTTCTGGTCTCAGGTCCGAATCTTGCTCATTCGCAGCGTTGAGCGGGTGAAAGTCCTCTGTGAAAATCTTGTCATTTATTCTTGGCTTTTGTGAATGTTCAATGTTCAATATTCAATGCTTCCCAGTGCCAAAGTGCTGAAGGAAGGAAAGGCACAAACCGCACGACGAAGACCACCTGCCAGTGCGATCCTTTCTTTCAATGGAATGCCGAGCCCGCCGCTGCAAACAACTGCCTATCGAGCCACACCTACAGAATCCGACTGTCTTGTTTCACAAAGTATTCGCTATTTCGCTATTTCTTGGCCACTGCGAAAAAGACAGGCGCACATGCCTGCTCACCGAATCGCCTCAGAATGCTCAAGTCCAACCTCGTACTACCTCTGATTGTCCGCCATCCGCCAGAACGGTTCATCTACAAGTCCCTCCCCACTCGCCCTCAAGATATTGAAGGATGCTGCAGTCTCAAATTATGAAATCTGACTCTCGTGGTCTCAGCCGCTCCGCTCCGTCTCCCCTAACTCTTATAGACACTCGGTCTCTTGTAACCCTTCAAAGTCTTCTTATACACTCGCCTTCAAATCAACGAAACCTCTCATGATGCCCTTCGAGTATGTACCCTTTCCTCGTCTTCGGCCTCGAACCTCATCCTTCATCGCCAACAGCGCTAGTCGTTCGTCGGTTTTCCTGATATTGAATTACTACACATTGACATACTTATGTAGACAAGCCCGCATTCGAACAGTTTTCCAAGTTGCCCAAGAACCTCGAACCCACCGTGACGGAGGTCATCAAGTTTGTTGGCCATTCCGTGAAATTCGACGATACGACCAACCGGAAACAGTTCAACTGGAGTGATTTCAAAGCCGCCCTCAATCACCACCCAAACGGCGAAATCACCTTTGACCTGTTCAAAACGGATGTCACATCCCGGACTGATCCCACTGCGGTGTCCATGATCGTTAGGGAGGTCGCCTACCTCCTCTTTGGTGTCCTCCAAACGGAGATAGACCTACATGATTTGGCAAAGATCACCGAGACGACGTTTACCCACTTGAAGGAGAAAAAGGAGAAAGGATTCGCAGATTTCTCAAAGAACTCCTCCGAGGGCAATAGCTCCTGGGAATACAGGGCGGTGTTTGCAATCCCCCTTTACGGCCTTTCCACTTACTTCTACATCTTGGTGACTACCATGAGGATAAAGGCAGACGTCGAGAACGAAGAGTCTTGGGATCTTCGAGACAGTACCCCAAAGAACTTTTCTGCAACCATCGACTTGATGAGGTTCATCGTCGCCGAGGGCTTCAAGGACCTTTAATCTTGACGTTGACTGTCGTAATTTAGATTCATCATCCTACTTTTCGCTTTAGCAGATCTCATTCGTCTTCAGGTGTCTCGTAATAAGCCGGAAGAGTGAAAAAGTCTCACTCGTAGTTGACGTTCCTGTTTTGATAGTACTCTAAATTGCTTGGTCCCACTTCAAAGTACCATCAGTTGGGTTGACGCTTTCAGTATCCGGGTCCGCTATCGGGCTGATAGAAAACGGCTAGATCATTTCCGTTGATTCCTGCTATCGTTATGCATTGACTCGTCTGGATTCTATACTGCACCTTCCCGCGTTGCAGGTGATTGATATAGATATCTACATGACTACGGCTTTGATTCAGTATCACAGCTCTGGCAAACCCTAAACTCTTTCAGTGCGACCTGATGGTTTACCCTTGTATTTTTAGGATGCATTATTATTACCGAGATCTCGGTCCCACAGGTCATTGTCCGCACCAGAATATGTCACTCGCTTTGTCCATCGATCGGGACGTCGTCTCGAGAGCTTCAAGGAGAACATTGTTTCTCTCGACCGAGGTCTGTGCTCGCAAATTTGACATTGACTTAATGGTGTATCAGCCGTGCGATCGTACCACTGGTAACATCCGGTATCTGTTTTCAGTGACACGAATCATTGGGCCTTTGCTTCCAAACAGCGGCCAGTTTCTGGGTAAGTTATTATCGGAACGAACGGTCCTGACCCGGCTAGTTCCGCTTCCCTGTTCTCAGTTCTACTACGCATACCAAGCAAGATGGTAAAAGAGAGCAGTTTTGTTGAACCGAATATAACATGGGCGGGAACGAAACAGGTTCATTTCTATCTCTGATGGAAGACAAACACGGGGCCTTGAAACCCGCGCGAACTTGACGCGAATATGGACGCCCCTGCCCTGGTCATATTCAACGCACTTTGCCCTCCAGCGGCAGCCTCATACCGTTCCCAGGGTCCCAAGTTCCGCCATGCACCATGAATATGCGTCCGAAAGCAGCCGATCAGATCGCTGAACTCACTGCGTGTCCAGGCTCTGGTGTGCACCCGTGGTGACACGAACGAGGATAACAAAGAAGCGGATGCAGGGATATTGCCAGCACGAGTTAGTATCCATCTCACTAACCAATTGCCCGGGTTCATTGCGAGATCAACTGTATTACGCCGCGACCCATGAATCAGCGTACCCATCCGGGCCAAACTGATTGCCCTCATCCTACAGAGTCAAAGCAGGGTAAAGAAGACTGATATCCGGGGGAGTTGCAGTTCACGCCACAGGTAATGGGCCAATTGACATACCGGCTGCTGGAAAACGTTCTGGCTCGAAAGAACGACCCAGCGCATCCCCGAGTACAATTACCATACTATTCATGGGCTTTCTGCTGTAGTCATCCATGTTTGAGGTATCTGATTCGGAGGAAAAGAGGAAAAAGAAGAGCAGCAGAGAGGAAAATGACGTCGAACCTCGGGCTACTGTAATTTGTTGTAATAGGGCTGCGAAAGGCTTCGGGCATGGACCAAGTTCACGAAGCTGTAATATCGTTCTTTGTTCTCTGTTCCTTTGTGATTTCTGATATTGGGAGCCTAGCCTTTAGTACGGGATGCGGGTGAGTCGAATCCAAGCTTGCGGCAATATCTTCGAAAAATTCCTTCCGATGGTGCGCAGAGAAGTGCGTCGGAACGGAACTGATGATGGAAACTGAGTTTAAAAAGATTTGCGGATGGTTGCGAGTAGGCGATATAGTCGCAGACACGTCGCGCGTCCCTGGGCCTAGAAGAACCCATACAGATGAGGATATTCTTACCAGCACCAACGACATTTTGTAGCATATCCCCATGGCTTGCATTCTATTTCTTTAGTCTATTAGAAGATCCCGAGTCACAGACATATGTCAATGAAGGATTCGATTCTGCAGCGTGTTTCTTATGAAATAAGAACCGTTACGTAGGGCTCAGAGCTTCGAGACGAAAAAAGCTAAGTTGTTTGGGCAAGGCACCCGACTTGCTGAACTGCATTATGGCGCGAGGATATCCTTATTCATATCCTGCAAATGCCTTGGGTCAGACAATTCTCATATAAAAGCTTGACCAAAGCGACTCACTCAATATCAGCAAAACATGTCTGCCCCACAAACCACTACCTCTGTTGCTACCCGCTCCAACCAGGGCACCGTTGCACCCAAGGAAGCTTTGAAGCTTCGTCTTGACCTCAACCTCGAGGTTGAGATCGCCATCCAGGCCAAGGTCAACGGGGACATCACCCTTTCCCTCCTGTACGTTGACGATTATTGCAGTCTGGCACGCCCTTACACTGATTGTTCGTTTTTCCAGCGAGTAAATGTGCCGTAGGCCTGGAGAGAGGGTATTAGATTGCGGTTGTCGGGTTCGGTAAGGATTCGCTTTGCTGAATACCAGTTTTTATTGATGCTGACGTCTAAATGCCTAGCCTATAATCATGTCGATTACCTTCTTCCTATCCTTCATTTCTCCCTTTAATTGCATTGTATTAGTGTTTTACCGGCGTTCATACATTTGGCACATACCAATATCAATGTTGTTTTTGGGGCTCCACATATTGAATGACCGCGCACATTCAGTACTAGTAGGTAAATGCTCTCCTTGTGAGTGAAGTCAACAACGGTGATGTATTTGCAAAGAACACGACGTTTTACTTCTCATAGGCAGGCCGTGCCAAAGTGAATTACATACTGACGTAGTTTCGCCTGTTTACCATAACGAGGAGAGTCAGTGAAGTATCCCACTGTTGCACTGTGACTGTCAGTGCGGATAATAAAATATTGTCGCTCTAGAGAACAGAACTGTTAGCATGGAACTGTCTGTGAGTATCGGTTTGAATTCTAGGTCGTTTTTGTTAGGAGCCGGTCCGGTGAGAGCGCAGAGCAACCAGCCACGTGCATGCGTTCCTTACCACCGGGGTGACTTCCGTCGAGAAGAACAGGTGTACGTGGGCGAACGAGCTCAGTTGACCAGGTTGAAACGTCCCTTCGGGTGGTCTTCGTGCGGCGTATCTCACCACCACTAAAGCCGTACTTGGTAGCGTCACAGAGCCATGGAAGTACTAGCAGTAGAACGAGGGTGGAGCCTGGAGGGAGTATCTAGTTAACGAATTTGGAACGACCACACGTAATCCTGCTGTGGAAGCACAAATCATTCTATCCACCTTCGGCACATCAGTGGTAGGGTTGACAGCTTTTCACGATGTCTGAGTGACCAAGGTGCTCCTTCACACTTCACATGGACAAAGGTTCACTAGGACCATACTAAATAAACCCAGGAAAGACGTACGAGCTCATGTAAGAGGGAACCACAGATTCAAATTTCGTATCTCTTCTGCGATTGCTTTCCTTTTATGGTGAGGGAACGATGAACCGTGTGTAGGCACTGGCCTGAAAGCCAGCGCGAAGGACTTCGGTATCACATCGTCACTTCCAGCACGCAGAACGAAATGATGTTCTCGGAGAATCGAACTGCTGGCGCTGAGCTGCCAGAAGACATCAGCAAGATCGAACCCAGGGGCTGCTATTAGAGGACGTTCAGGCTGGCGCGGTTCAGTGCTAAACATTACATCACCCTTGTTCAAACGTATCTGGATGCATCTCGAATAGAGTCAGGTAGTAAAATTGTTCAAGTTTACGAACAGAGGCCCCGCTGGAAAAGCTGAACCGGACCAGGTATGGTACGCGCCACTTATCTTGACTACACATCCCAAAGCCTGCTAAACAAAGCGACAACTGCCGGCTTACAGGCTGTTGCGGTCGGAACACTTGTTAGCATCCGGCAATCGTTCGTATAGTGCAGCGGGTGCATTGACATGGACAGGAAGTACAATTGGTTTCTTTGGTGCGTAACAGTCTGTATTGCTATAGATGCTCGTTGACGGTTTTGTAATGGCTGTGGGAACGATGATCCATCTGGCAGAAGAGTCATCACAGGCGGCATGTTGAGTATATACATAACATACCGAGGTTTACACGCTAGGGAGACATCGCAGCATCTCATCCGCCATACATGAACGGTATCACATCTCTGAAGGGTCGACCTTCAGCTTAACTAGCGTGAGTAGATTGTAAGATTCTCATTCATTTACAATGCTGAAACACGTTATGATGAAAGGATCTTCCGCGTATCATATAAGTATTAATATCCGTAGTTGCCAGCATCCATAAATCTATGAGATACGAATATTAGCGTTGATTGTATTTCGAGGGTCGAGCGTGCTTACCTGGGAATACAGGCGTGCAAATGAATCACTTTCATCTAACTAGGCCCGACACGTAAGCGGGTTGTCTTGTCTTGACATTGTTGGGAACGCCGGGTCTGCTAGACGCCACCATTGAAGAGGCATACCAAACAAACGTACGATGCGTGCTACCGAGGGACGATAACATTTCGGGAGAGTCGAACTCCACGCCATAAGCGTTGGATCCTGCTATCCGCGATTGATGAAGTCACGTTTTGCATTCACAGCGCGTGGCTCAACAAAGCTCTACTTTGGCGAAAGAACACAGCCAAAGCTGAAGCAAGACACGTACGCTGGGAAGCACAAGCAGCCAAGGAGCCTGAGAGGAAAACGTCAAGCGGATGCTACGGGCATAGGAAAAAGCGCTACCGTCACTGCGATGGAGATGAGCGATGAGAATCGAGATGCTGGCAATGTCTTCCACAAAAAATCTTCCTGGTCGCATCATGCCAATTATAACTTGGCCGGGCGATTATGAATCACACTTGAGGTCTCAAAAGGGTTATCTGTGCTGAAAACTGGGCGCTCTGTCAAATTTCTCTCGAGATATCTACGCACCCGAATGAATTGCTATGTAGTCACAAAAGGTGGAGCTGAGTTTGCGCGACTTGGACTGATATATTTTAGCAGAAAGCCCTCTGTAGCATCTCCGTCACAATGGTTCCATCGTGGAGAATGAGAGACTGGTCGACATTGACAGAATTCGTGGTAAATCTAGAAAAATAAGAATTCGAAAGCGTCCAACGAAGATGAGACAACCAGTAATTACGTACCGCTATCTCCATCCCATCCAGAGAATATCCGCATCACATACGAGCTTGAGACGGGTGCTAGATGTCGGTAATATATCAGTCGTAACGCGACATCTGGATACCCAGTAGAACCTTCCTTCTTCTTGAGGGTGTTGACGTCGTACGGGAACATAAGTGTGTCCACGGCTTAGACAGCGTGCCAGCAAAGGCGGCTAACTATCTGACGTATGATAATGGTGAGAGCAAGAGGCAAAGGCAAAGTGTACCCAAACAAATACACATTCATAGGTTCGACAAGATTCGGTTCATTATTACGTACCTCAATGTGGCGTGTGCATAACGTTACTGCTACCCTTCCCTGTTATAAAAGGGTTCGACCAACTTTGAACAACAACGCCCATCATGTCGCACAACATTAAAACCGTCAGCGGGCTCCCATACTATAGTGAATCTCCTACCAGTACGCGCGCCGACATCGACGGTTTACCCAGCAGCATCAGCACCGCTTCTGCCTGGGAATCCGTCAGTGGTACTGGTTACGGCGGTCGACGAAAGGAATGGGATTTCGTGCCCAACAGCAGCCTAAATGGGATGCAGGAATGGGACTCTATCAGTGGAACTGGGGCTATTGACGACGCTCCTGCTCCCGTCGCTAGGAGGAGCAATGAGGAAGGTCGCAAGCTTAGGTTGGATTTGAATTTGGAGGTTGAGATCGCCATTCAAGCCAAGGTTCACGGGGATATCACCCTCTCGCTCCTGTGAGTCGACATATTTCTGCCTCTTACTTTCCTGCTGATATCGCGTTGCTAGTGAATGATTCTTCCGCGGGCTGAGAAACGCATATATTCGTCGAGTTACTACTCCCAAGGTAGGTCTTTTGCTTTGTCCTCGAGTTGCGCTGAGACTCTGGCTTCAGATCACAACTCCCTTATCAGAAATCGTCGTTCTTTCCGGTTACCGTCCTCGTATAGGCTGCGGCCTTTGTATACACCATCTCAAATATCAGTGTCACTGGGTTTGTGCCCACCAATCACTTGTACATGAGAGACTGTATGTCGAGCGTGACATCGTACAGCAGAACTGTCGTTGAGGCGTCGCCAAGTGGATGTAAATGAGGCGAGATACGGCACCTAGACCGTGCAAAGATGAACACTCATGGTCTAGGTCTGTAACGCTGCCGCCGGTACCGACCCTCCTTTTGCATCCACGTCGCTGAGAATGCCATAAGGACAGTTCCAGCGAGATTGTGCTCAACAAAGTGCCCGACATGGACAATAAGTTTGTCTTGTCATTCGCGTTCTCTAGTCGACAAGTGTCCAACGCACTGTCTTCCTTCCTGGTCGGGTGGATGCAGTTCTGCTTCGCATGCCTATCGGGTTCACAGCAACTCAACAGCCTTTTCAATAATCATTTGATGAGCAAACATACTGTCTGTCGTGCCAGCCCAACAACTTCACCTTATGCCCTTCCTACAATTGATAAACTACAAGTTCACATCTTCGACATACCTCCTCACAAGGCTCACCCGTCGAATCTTTCAAACCTTTCGACAGACAACAAATACCCTGCCTATCCTGGACGTATTACTTTGAAATATGTAATCTTGGATTACCTATCAACAGCACAACTGGCCATACCTCGATGCCGTGCTCATGCAATATCCTATGAGGAGCGCCATGCTACCAAACAAAAATGACTCTCCTTAAAAGATGAGCACATTAATTCACCATTAGGATTCTGAAATCAATGGAAAATTATTTGGCAAGTGACTCAATAAGATCCCAGAAACAACACTGATATTGATATCTGATAGGTGAGGATATGCTACCAAATACATCTGCAAAGTTGAAAGGAAAGAGAACTAAAGACACCGTTCTGAGATACAAGACACATGTATTTCTGCCTATATGTGAAAACAATGAGCCTGTTAACAAACATTTACCAAAGAAATTTCACCTCAAATCCAACCGAATGCCGCGTCCAACTCTCTAAGCACTTGGGACATTTACTCGCTGGGAGAACAGTCAGTTCAAGGGCACCTGAATCAACGCAATGAACTCACAGGAGAGAAAGGGTGATGTCGCCGTTAACCTTGGCCTGGATGGCGATCTCAACCTCGAGGTTAAGGTCAAGACGAAGCTTCAAAGCCGCGGGGGGTGCAACAGCCTGACGCTCAGAGCGACCGACAATTTGTCCACCGAGGACGGAGGAAGATTGGGTAGGTGCAAATTTGGTAGCAGTTTCTGGGGCAGACATTGTTGGAATAAGAACTTCTGGTTGAATGGGCGAGTCTTTTATACACGGCGAACTTCGTAGAGATGGGTTATATTGCTGTCAAGTGTTTTTCGCTACCGTGGGGATGGCGACCTTCGCTTTTCCAGATCAAATTAAAATCAAAGTAGGCCTGCTGTAAAGGGTACGGGGTGAGAGATGCGACGGAGCGGAGGAATGTCCTTGGCGGAACCTTCCCTTTCGCGGTCCGAAAGCCGAAAATCCCTTGCTGATGTGATGTGATCGCAAAAACGGACGCATGCTTAGCAACGTTCTTTTCGATTCGAGGAACCACCAAAAAATGAGGGTGAATCAGAGTTCGACAGCGAAACTTGGAAGAGTTAAGCAGTGACCCTGTCTCTTTTTTTTCGTTCTGGAACGACCTCGACTTACATTTCTCTAGGGAGACTGTAACTTGTTGGATGCCGGATGAACGTAATATAAAGGAAGACGTTCAATGGCTCGGAGGTGATATCAGAACGGAATTCGACATCAGGAGTAAGTGGCGCGAGGTAACAACGCAGCGCCTAGACCAAGTGTGGCGTCGCGGTGGCGTCAATTAAGGTATCATACAATAGAGGCGGATTGGCGGTGAAAAGAGTGACGGAATCATTCACCAGCGTGGCGTCTGGCGAAGAGACGCGTGTCGGCGGACTCAAATTCGATTCCTGAAATCGAGAGGAGACAAGTCTGAACCCCGGACTCGGGTGGAAACGAGGTTGTAGCCTCGTGGCCGAGAAGAGTGATCTCGAAGTCTGATGTAGAAACGCGCAAAAAACCGTGTCGCAAAAGAGCCATGTACGACAAAAACGGCCTCATTTCGTCTTGGGAAGGCTAGTTTATATTGGGGCATACAAAGAACGCTTTCTGTCGAGAGCTTGAATTCGAAGAGTTGGAATTCAGTACTGCTAGTAGTCGTTGCCAATCATTATCACGAGTCGAGACAATGACCATCCATTGACGGGGAAAGTCGCGACGACGTACATGGCGTCCATGCTAATCTAAACAATGGTATGAGAATTCCTGACTTTATATTTATGATTGTTGTACATGAAAGTCATGAAAGTAGACTCAGGCATATTAGAAGTAGGCAGGTGCATCTACCAACAATGCGATCAAAAATCTTGAGCTGTATATGGCAAGTCAGATCGGTAAAAATGGAACTTGCGCCGACCTTGAATGACGTACTTCATTGGGCTCTTGGCGCTATATGTCTCTGCACCTCAATCCTGGACGCATGCAGACCGTCGTGGCAGACGGTTGTATCTCTTCATAGAGTCAATGTTACCTGCTATCATTGAAAAGATCGAAAAGAACGCGGTTTTTATGATTTAGACGACCAATTTTCAAGCAAATTACTCCCCGTGAGCCCAGTTCGAGTCAATTCACTCGTTATTCACGGGTTGAGGTGAACATACTCGAATTTGAACACGAGCAACACTGATATTCGACAGAAAAGCCGTACGACCCGACAATTGATGAGAAATAACAAAAGTGACGATGAAAGTAAACAATAATTGCTTTGGATAAAATGAAAGGAGCGATTTGGGAAGAAATGTAAAAAGCTGGATGGAAGGTAGAAATTTTATCGAGGCGGCTGCTATGTGAACAAATCTGGGTAACGACATTTCTTGACAACAATCCTAGAAGCATCGGTAAGACCTTGGCACCAAAAACGACTTAGCCGGACCTACAGCCAGATTGTGCGCTTTAATTCAAGCTATTGACCATTGGAAGGTTTACTCCCTAAATGTGAAATTCAGCTCCAAATTCAATCACAAAACGTGCAAAGAAATCAGACTTACAAGAGGGAAAGGGTGATGTCGCCGTTGACCTTGGCCTGGATAGCGATCTCGACCTCGAGGTTGAGATCCAACCTGAGCTTGAGGGCCTCCTTTTGCTTGCCAACACCGCCACGTCCAAGGCCTCGATTGGCAACTTGTCCAGCCTGGTTTTCACTGTCGAAAGCAGTGTTCTCAGAAGTGGCGAATCTGGTAGCGGTTTCAGAAGACATAGTACTTGTGCAGTTGGTGTCTGGAACGATACCTTGGGGGAGCCGGCTCTTTTATACGCGGTAATGGATCGATATTGGTTGAAAACGGGGGGGTTGGAGCAACGTTACTGAACTGGCACGTTGTCTTGCCTGTAAATCGGGTACCTCATCCTCCTTAGGAGTTTGATTAATGTTGGAGGGGCGGGAGTACCCAAGTTTTTGGTACGTAACGTTCAGTTTGAAATGACACCAAGTAAGTCAAGTTTCCCCATAGGTTATGTTCCATTTCGCGAATGAAGACCCAGTAAGTATATCGATTTCGGTTTGACGTCATACATTCTATCTGAAATGTGGGCGCGTATTCAAACCTTACGGCAGGGCTTCTTCTAAACCCAAAGATCCCAGTAGAACGATTTATTTACCTGGGAATCGAGAAACAGAAAGAGAACATGTGGTCCAATACACCTTGACACAGGCTTTCGTCCTTCTCGATAACAGCAGGTCACATCACCGCGTTGCCATCATCTAAACTCATAGCCCTCATAATTTTGTCTGATCTAGAGATCATTATCTATTATTGTGTCATTCTGACCGACCTTGCATCAACTTCCGAGGCCTATTTTTTGTCGAGGTACATTGCTACACGTGCCATCCTCCTTCTTTCCTTCTGTCCGAATAATATCACACCGTTCTTGTACCTTTGTCGTCTTCCTTTAACCTGCGCCACTGAAGTTTCAACTTTCCAAGTTTGTGCCCCCCTTTATGGACTGACATGTTCGTCTACGTCTCTTTGTGGAGCCATTTTCGGTACCGTGACAGCAATACGGGAATAGTAAATGAAATATCCAGATGGGGGATTCAACGGGGTGCAGACTTGTAATTGAATCGAGATTACGTGCAGAAGTTGCAGAGGTACAAATGTCATAGGCCGTTAGTGCGTAGATGGTAGGTGGAGGCAAGTTTTACACGTTTCTGGGAACATCGCCAGTACCATCTTCTTTACAAGTCGGGTCAAAGGCCTCGGTAAAAGACGGAAACACTGGCTCCCTTACCCTGGTTCTTTTTCAAACTAGATCGGTATCCGGCCCGGATCCGCATTTACGATCAGTTGACCGGGGCTGCCGATGGTGCGCTGCCACGGCCAATTTGAATCATTCCTTCTCACCATCATCGCTCTCTGCAAAGCTCCTGCCAGTCTCTCACCGGGTAGCATCTGTAGCCGTGGAAGTCGCTCCATATAGTACAACCGCTTTCGCTGCCAAGTTATTGTGCTGACAGGGCTGCGAACTCGTGACAATACTCCGGTCTCCCGCTTTGGCATGATTGGCTCCAAATCCCCATTCTCCCTCGCTTGACTCTGACGGCTCAATTCTTGAAGTGACAGGTCTGCCTAGACCTGCTTTGCTTTGCCTTCCTTTGTTCTTCGATAGGTGGCGTCATGCAAGTCGTAAGGACTACTACAATGGTGGAACCCAAACCCCAATTAGACTCCGTTTACTTTACGGAGAGCTCTGGCCCCTCAAGATGTCTCATCGATGGCTTTTTCCGACTACCAAGGTTCCCGTCGTCTTCACTACCATTTGGAGAGCACGTCGTGTCTGAGTCTCCGTTCCTTTCGACAACCACGAAATGTCGCAACCGGTCTTCGCGAAGTTCTACCGCCTGCTCCAGACCTGCCTTCAACACCGGATGTGATACTGCGAAGGCGTCAGCCGCTCTTGCTTTTCTGTGGAAATGACGAGGCCATTCGAAGCGGAATTGACTCTTCGCGATCATCGTCGAATTACATGACCGCAATTATGCATCTGTGTTTTTAGATGCATATATCATGTTACGACTGTTGAGAAACTGAGAAAGTACCTTGAAGTTAGTATGAATAAATGAATGAGAGACCATAATTGATACGCCGTGGGTGCATATGGCGAATATCAGTGATTCTCCCGCGAGCGTACTTTTAGAACGAATGAAATAGCATGTCTTCTTCCCCGCAGTGCGAGGTGGTAAAGATCTGGATCAAAACGCGCTGGCGAACCCGCTTTTCACCCGAACGAGGTCAATTAATAACTTTCACATCTGAAATTTGGCCCGCGGCGGAATGACCATGACACAAAAGCATGTCAACAGAGAACTTGGATTTGTATCACTGCTATTCACTTCTGAGAAGCGAACGCCCGTGCTCGCCGTAATCCTGAGCCTGGATCCTAAGGAGCTTGAAAACACCTACTCTAATTATACTATTGCACCGATGAGGTCGGTGAAACAGACATGCGGATGTACTGAGCTTATGAGACGTGAAAGAGTGAAATCTAAGAGGCTGTTGTGGAGGGTCCTCTTTACGATGTGTGAGGGTAGGAACGATAAGTGGCAACGTGCGTACAAGACCGATTCGTTTGAGCGGTAAAAACTGATGGGCCTGGGGCGATCCCGCGGCCTAGAACGCGTACGAACAAACAGAAGGGACATTCCCAGATTCTGAAAAGGACCCATATACACATATACCACCTGAATAATATTACAGATTTACCTAGCCAAAATTTGAACTCATTGTCTGTCGTGAAGCAGGAACGAGCTTCACTGAGCTTGTACACATACCTCTACGCCGAGTCAGTCATTACAGTATCTGCGGGACGCTGCCGGCCGACCATCAACGACATAAACTAGGTGCGAGGTGCGAAGCATACACCGTGATGGAGGCAGGTACTGATATACTGAATCAATAAACGAAACTGGTAGAGGTAGAGCAGTCCATACCGCAACTGCGAAAGTGCTGTCAGCGTCGGCCCAAACGAGGGTTGGTCCTACAAGGACCCATAGGAATAGCCATCCTGTTGATCGACATTGACCGCCCTTTGACAGACCTGCGTGGCAAGTCACACAGCGATCTGCACGCCTGCAGGGCCTCCGCCGCCACTCCTCTCTTCCGAGGACCGTCGCATAATTGCAATCACGCCCCGTCCTTTCCAAAATTCACATCTTTTGCGAGGAGGACTTGAACTCATACGAACAAAATTAATCCAAGTGAGCACGACAAGGCAGCCAGGTTCCTTACCGATGAGTTCGTTGCTATATAAGAGGGAACCCATCTCCAACGAAACAAATATGTCCGAACCAGTTCTCTACGCCACTATCCTGGATGCACCTAATTTTCCCTTCGACGACCAGCACAAGGAGTTCGTCGGCATGGCGGATAGAGGGAACACACTGGAAGTACGCTTGGACCTCAACCTCGAGGTCGTCATCGCTATCAAGGCAAAGGTCGAGGGAGACATCACACTTTCGCTCCTATGAGTAAAGTCTTAGTAACTTTACGGTCGCATTGAGTGGAAGGTGATTCATTTACCAGCCAGTTATCTTCTGCGGGTAGTCGCAAAATGGTGATCAACGCGTTTGGCGTTTAGAATGAGGTTAGTCTTTAGCTTGTGTGCTGAGTCCAGAATGTTGAGGTTCATCGGCCTTGATTTGATATAGAAGTCGGAACGAATAGTTAATGTCAAGAGTTGACAGTCGACTTGGAGATGGAAAAATTCCAAATGATATTGTCTTGCGCATCAGCGCTATTCCCTGTATCATTTTTTCGGTAGCCGTTCTTACTATTGATGATGCAAGCTGAACAAAATGTTGTCTTGGAGATTCAAATATACATACCGACAGGATGGCAGTGACATAAGCTCTATTGAAAGACAAAAGATGAGTTCCCTGCGTCAGACATGAATACTCTGAATTTATAAAGGTTATGGCTTGCGACGAAGCTATTCCGCAACGTGCTTTTGCTCCGGTGGAGATCTCAAGAAGCCAAAAAAGAACACTAGATAGCCCACCGTGGGGGTCGAACCCACAGCCTTCAGATTCACCCGCCTTCAGACGATAAGAGTCTGACGCTCTATCCGATTGAGCTAGGCGGGCCACATGAATCAGTTGACGGCGGTACTATTTAGGGATAAATTCGGAGCAAGAAATGGCAACCTCAGTCGTGAGTTTACATCGAGGTTGCTGAGCGTGTTATTAGATGCGATATTCGAACATGACACCAACCTACCTCACAAATTAGTTGGCAAAGATCCACTGGACAAATGAATAGGACGATCTGGCGAGAGAAGCTACAGGACGTATCGGTATAGATGCGACAATTGCAAACATTGCTAGAACTCACAGCCTATAGCTAGGAGAAATGATAATTCGCATTTGATTTAGATAGCGCTAGGTACACGCACCTACAGCCCTTCCTTATCTTTCTTGTACAAAGGTAAAGGGCAATGACTAGTTCCAGCGTCAATTGTAGGTGGGATTTACGTTCTTTTGGGCTTAGGGTGAAGACGATGTTTGAACCGGCTGTAAACCGTTCTGAATAAGAGCTTAAAACGGCAATGGTATAAACGAGGCTCGTATTTCCTTTGGTACAAAGATCGTATAAATATCTATACGGTCCTTTAGAACGCGTCGTATATGCTGGTCAAAGAAGACGTATAATCTTACGGTGCACGATTGCAGACCGCCTTGGCAGCTGCGGACGAATGTTGGTAGTATACAGGCTGTCCGTCGTGGTCGTGGTCGAAGTAAGAGAGCTTTCGGAGATTACCGAAAATGAGATGCGGCTGGCTTCGCTCCACCAAAGCGCGCCCACGTCCTAAGGCCTTCGTGGACTTCTACCACTCTAATCTTATGGAATTCTCCTGGGTTCGTTGATACTAGAAATGACAGCTAGACGCCCTCATGGTTCCCTGTGCAACAAATATCGGATACTTTTACCCTTCTGCTTTCTCCTCAATTTCTTTACTAGTGCAAAGATCTGTGCGGCATTTCAATGCTGAAGCGCTGACTGCTAAGGTCTTGTGAAACCAATCCTTTATTCACAATTACCCTCACCAAGACCAACGGCGAGGGTGAAATACCTGCTCGGCCTAGACTGAGTTGCAAAGCTTAGATTCAGGCTGGACTTCAATGCCTCCTCCAGTTAGCTTTCTGCCAGTGGCAGCGGTAACAGTAGCGAAACGGATAGATTCTTGTGACATGATACTGTCGCCAGGGTGAAAGATGAGTGGTCATAACCTAATGCTTCTACTTATAAGTACAGAGACTGAGTAATGTGCAGTGCTGGAACGGTCCCTAGCTGTTCTCTCTGTTATTCGACCTTCTCCAAGCCTCCAGTTAGTGCGTAAGATCATCATCACTCGCTCGTCAATTTCTGTGGCCAGACTCAGGACATTATTCTCGTCCCGGAGAGACCCGGAAACGCTTTATGTCTTATGGGCGCTTGTAGGTCCACAGTTCCGGCCCGCGGGACCAGTTGCTATCGAACCGGTTGCCATCGACTCAATTGCGCTACGACCTAGCTTGATTCTTGTGCCGTTACATTGCAACCGTGTTCTAGTCCATACCTATGGGAACGCTGACTGAGCGTGTTCAATACAAGAAAGCATCAGACCTCCCATGACCTGCGTGTAATCGAAAGCGCCCATCGCGTCATTTACTTTTGCCGAGGCCTTGCTGTAAACCTAAGGATATCCAGCATGGGAAAGGACCCAGAGTGATATTACCTCGCTGGCTTATTCGCTTGATCTTGGGAGGGGTACGTCCATACATGTTCATATTTGCATAGGCCGGCGTACCTTCACTTGGAACCTGAGGCCGCGGCACATCGGATAAACTCACGCTCTGAAAAACTTCTATGTAGGTACCCCACCAGTTGCAAAGTTTCACTAGATGTGACGTCTCGTGTACGGATTCATTGGGACCGTGCCCAAATTTACGAAATGGAGTCCCGCAACCGCTTTCCTCCATACCGAGGAGAACTCGACGTGACGTTTCTCCTACCCCCAATACACGTATAAAAAGGCGTGACTCGATTCTCTTGTGATTCTCAATAACGATAATGTCTCAGCCAACTGCTCAAACTCATCTCTCTGTTCTCGGTGCTACCGCTGATGCCCAAGCCAGGGATGGTCAGCTGACTGCTCGTGTCGGTGCTGGAGCTGTCGCCCCCAAGGAGGCGCTGAAGCTCAGGTTAGATCTTAACCTCGAGGTCGACATTGCCATCCAGGCCAAGGTCAACGGTGACATCACCCTCTCGCTCCTGTAAGCAGATCCTTTGTTATTCGGTTGTGATGCGGTACGCTAAACTCTAATTGTAGTGAGTAAACGCGCTCAGGATGAATGAAAACAAATCAGGTTCTCTTGGATTGTCAGGTTTGGCAGTTTATCCTTGGTGCCGGTCTGTTGTGCTGACCCTTTCGCTGCTAGCATTTTTGATTTTGGTTCTCGGACGGATTCTAGTTGATTGACGAAGGGCAACCAATATATTTGTGGAAGGATGCTTCATATATAACGTTGTCACTTGTATATAGGAGCACTTTTCTAATGCCCTTTTTGATTAACTACTTTACCGCGGATGATGAATATTTGCTTGTGACGTCTCGTTTTCTTGAAGTTCACGTTGCGAATCTGCTTTATGAGCGGCCGGGCCAAGTTTTCACCGAGAAATAACAACCTTTTTGCCGCAGAACAAAAGGCATCACTAAAACTAATTAGACTGACTTGCTTTGCATAACGCGCTAGTTAGTTAATACGAGTGAAATTAAAGGAAAGTTCTGGTATAATGGGTGCTAAGAACTGGACATAGACGGCCAGTGGCTAGAAGTGTAGTCGATCAAAGCAAAGAATAGATTGACGAGGAACTAGATCGTAGACTTGAGGATGAGTTCAAGTTTCTTACGTGTGAGAGCTGAAAAGACTTGATCAAGACAATCATTGATAGACGCGTAGCGAATGGTACATACTCATACATTCCTTCATCCGAGTTGTCCCTCCCGTCAACTCGGATCTCAGAAACGAAAAAGAACTGTGAAGAAAGGTATCAGCCTCGACGAAGAGGAGAAATAGACCAAGGCTAGCCTCAAGTCCAAAGACAGGGGACCTAGATTTTCCCGCTAGCAACCGAGTCAGAATAGAGAAAAAAAGAGACAGCAGGAATTGATGCCGTGCAGAAGCGAAAGGTGTTGACCTGCGCCTTAATGGAGATCTCGACTATCAAGTTGAGGTTCAATCTGAGCTTCAGCGTCTCATCTGAATGGTTGCCCTTACGCACCGGAGGGAGAGGCAGATTGACCGGAGACTCTACGGTGGAAGGCTAGTCCGTTATTGGTCGCACAGGGGTGATTGCCCGCAGGAAAGCAAACGTGGCACGGACTGGAAACGCGACTGTCGTGTGTCCCCAAATCCCGTTCCATCAGTGAGGTCGTCACGTCCAGATCCTCGGATGCGTCTGGGCCATAGCGTCTCTAGGTGGTTGGAGAACTGGATTTCCGCCATTATTGCCGTTCGAAAGAAAGACTCCTGTTTCCACTTGATTGGTTCGGGAAGAATTAAGATGGTTCAGTGTTCTCGCGTCCCCGCTTCCCGGGTGCCTAAATGATGACATTCAAAAGCGCCGGTACATCTGTTCGTGTTTCAATTAACAGCGTTAATGGAGGAATTATGGGAGAGACGAACTGCATAATTATTCCCGGGACCGGTCTTTAGTTTGAATGGTCATTAGACCATCTTCATGGTAGAGAATGTCAAGGTACCGAAATGACAAAGCACAGCTATCAAAGCGGGCTGACATCGCAAGGTGTTCGGCCAACTCGGTGTCGCACTCTTCCGTTGTCGATCGATCATTATTTCCGCAACTAGGGTTCGGGAGCCGAGTTCTGCGACGAACATTCGGTGGGTTTCGCGACGATAGATACGCAGCGACGTGGAATGGAAGCAAGAGCGAGCGTCGGGTCTCCAAGCACGCCCGCTTTTACGGCATAATCTAAGTCTCCGTGAGGGCGCTTCTGGTCTGGATTTCATTTTATTTGATTTGAAGGCGCGTTCACAGAATTAGTCCAAGTATCACAGGATCGCGAGGGTTACGTACCGCAAACTTGGAATCCAGAATGGGTTTAGTTGCAACGGAGGAGCCAAACGCTGCGACCCGACTTCATGCTATAAAAGCTGGGCAAGTTGTTTCTAATCCAACAACAATGTCTGCCCCAGAAACCGCTACCAAGTTCTCTTCGCCCTCTTTCTCCTCTGTCGGTGGACAGGTCGTTGGCCGCTCCAATAGGCAGGCTGCCGCACCCGTCAAGGAGGCTTTGAAGCTCCGCTTGGACCTCAACCTCGAGGTCGAAATTGCCATCCAGGCCAAGGTTAATGGTGACATCACGTTGTCGCTCCTGTGAGTATTTCTTGACGCGTCATCCATGGACATGGCTAATATTTGGTGTGCCTGTAGTGAGTAGACATGTCACTATAATTGAGTGCAGTTGGTTCAGTCGGCCATGAATTTCAGGTTAGTTGTGGCTGCCTTGTCAATAGCTAGGAATTGGCTGATTGTTTGCTGTACTTAGGATTTGCTTGAGTCAATGTGGGCGTGATGGTGGATATAGGATTTAATTGAATGTACTGTTGTTTCGCGTAGCGCTGCTTTTCTGTAATCCATTTCGTGACCGACTATTTCTTCGAGTGATATCAGGTGGTTATCGCTGCTGTGAAAATTGGCAGGATGCATAGTTCGAATACTGGCGGTGGTGAATAGATGTTACTGAGGTATTCTGTTCAAAGCGGAACTTCCGGTGGGGATGGTAGCGGAGTTTTAAATATGGGTCCTGGCCATTTTGCTGCTCTTCAGCATCGCTTGCATTGTGGGATGAAGATAATGGTAATTGTTTTCCATCTCATTTCCGTTGGATGCTTCCACCTCATTGTATCTTCTAGGCTCACCATGATTTCCGCTGACATCGACTTAACTCTAAACTCTACAACAGAACCGCTATTTTGGACAGGGTTTGCTAAAGAAGCTACATCGGTTCAAGTTTTGGCATGTCGAACACTCCTCTTCACTATGTTTCTGAGATATGTAGGTGTCTGGAGGGAAAGGCTGAATGGCCCAGCCAAATACGTGACCAGGAAGATCTTCAACTGCGAAAGACGCTGCCAATATCTCATTATTCACCCCGCATCGTGGTGACAGTGATGGCCTTTCCTCTGGGACCTCAGATCATCCTACCGGCTAGCCGCTCCTGTGTTTCATACTCCAATGATGTTGGCCTTGACCGTCTCCTAGGTATTATGTTTGCTATTTCTTTGCTAAAGTATAGCTTTATTAATGCAGATGTTGTGACTGCGGTAATTCAGCACTTGCGGATAGGAGGATTCGACGCTTATAGCGTAGAGTTCGATTCTCCTGAGATGTTATCATTCCCAACGAGACGTATTGCATGTTTATTCGGTATATATCTCTTATATGACGGCCTCTAACTGACCTGTCGTTCTCAGCTTAGTGATTCCTAAAATTGCACCAGCGGAGGAGGATCTGATGCTAGTTCCACGCACATTTAATTATACAGAGTCACATTGTGAGGAGCTTGCTAAGCCTTGTGCTGTTTAATTTGCCTCTGTTTCGAAGGTGGAGGGGTCACTTCCGTAGTGAGAGCTCCTCGTCGCTCCGTTTTCACTGAGAATTTCCTTCCAGCTGCTTCATCAATTGTTACTGTATCTGCGGTACACCTACAATGGACCCGACACGTGTTTCTGTTGTTGATGGACGAAGAACTTATCCGACTGAGGGTTATGTTCAACCTAGTCGACTAAAATCATTCCCCCCCGTGCACCTGCTTCCTGCACTCAATACCCTCGCACAGCACTACAAAGGCGCCACTTCCTGCCAGTATCCACCTAATTGGGTCACTGACAAAAGACAGCCACTTTCATCCTGCGGACAACTGGGTCTGGCGCTATGAGTAAGTAGCATGGAGTTTGACTCTCCTGAGGCGTGATCGTCTCTCTGCGGCTCTTGGAGATGTCTTTGGCACGTCTACTTTACATCCGAGTTCTCCACTCATGTCTTCGGCAGAAGTGCCATCGTTGCTCCAGCGCCTCAACGGAAGATGTAACGTTTTCCTTTAGCCAAAATTTTGTTGTGCATCAAAGTGTGCTTTAATTTTATTTTATTTTATTCACGGCACTAGCACGGGCCACAAGCATGTATCAAGGCACTTTTGCCTCGACTCTCGATAAACTTTGTGAGTATGAAGGCCTACATCGCCCTCATCCTGTAGGCATCATACCACTGCTGAAGACTAAAGCAAGCGGGCGTAACCCTTCAGTTTCACACCAATGAGACGAGGCTTGGGGGGGATATATAAACACTAGCCAGCATCTATCGCTCGGACAGTAGAGGACGTACACAAACTAAAGACTATCTCATTCAGTCACATATATCTCGTATTTATCCGGATCCCCAAGTAGGAACCAGTCTCCACATGGTGGGTCGTACTGGCTGACCCCATCTCCAAATTGTCCCCAGAGAGAGCTCTAAGATCTGCTATAAGGGCATCCTCACCGATTCAATCCACCCTCCATCCATAATCTGTGGGTCAATTATCTTCAACGTCCCTGCGTAGAGCTCGTGTTCACGTAGTGCTTCGTAGTGTAAGAAAGAAAACAACGCCCCTGGTGCATATCAAGGGCCTTTGATGCTTAGGTGACGCGCAACTCTCTGTACGTAAACGGTCTTGTTTATTCAAAGTCCTTCTGGCATTGTTATGTAGATAGCGTGTTCTACCCTACCCAAATGACTGCCAGTCTTAATTGAGCACTTCACGGATTCCGCTATCGTTTCTGGATGTATAATCTTAGGCCTCATTATTAACATGCTATGTTGCTCTCTATGAACGAAGGGCTTACTTCTTTATCCACATCCACATCTTAAATCGGCCAGTCTGTGCATTAACTTTTTTCCCTTCTCCACTACTCCGGTCCGCAACATTGCCCCTTGAAGCTGAAGAAGATAATGGAAAAGGATTCGACGGCATGAGTACGCCAGGTCTCTGATGGCAATAGCCACTTTCGGGAGAGCCGGGCATTGTCCAACCCGTACCGCACATGATCTGGTACTGCGAAGTGCGTCTAAAAGGGTGGAAGAGCGTTGCCTGCACAAGCTTACTAAGTATCAAATACTCGGTGTTGGAGGTTTCATGGAAAGTATGCATTTTCATACTGCTGTGGCGACTAGATTGCAAGGCGATGAATGTGCCGACAATCCTTTGTCATTTCCGGGTTGAACGTCGTCTTGTCTGGCCTCCACTGTGCATCCACCCTGCTACTTATCCTGTCTCCATGACGTTCTTCTGTCTAGGGTTCGTACAGGACAGCTAAGTGGGAGGCTAGTTCCTGGAGTTCTCGAAGTATAATCTGTATTATTATGCACGTCGGCAGCGGAGAACCTAGTATGCCACAAGTATTCGTAAATTATGTCTTTCATTGACTTTCTCTGTGTCGACAGATGGTTCATCATTTCCGTACCAGTTACACATATACAGAACCATGTCTTGCACACTTTGGATTAGGAGGCAAGTCGAGACATTAACATTTCTCTATCCCTGCTAGCAGTCATCATGTAAATCAAGCCACCAAAACTGCCGTACTGAACCTTTTCCATGCAGCATACTAGGGGCATCCTGGTATTCGAAGGAGCGCCATTGGCGGTTAGCAAGCCTCACTGGCACGCGGTGGAATACTTATTGGCTGGACGCAGACCTGTAAAGTATAGAACCCCCAAAGCAACACTGATATTGGTATGTACTACATGCATAAGCTTGGAATACTAACTAATGCTATGTCGGTGAAAGGGAGAAGTGAAAAAAGGGAAGAAGGTAATCGACATGGTGATGTCCTAGGCAGATGGGTATCAGGATGGAGAACGGTTAGTCCTCAACAAAGTGAATCTCACCCGAACACAACCAAAGTCTATTACGCTCTCTCCGGTCCTACGAGACATTTACTCGCTGTAAAAATGACCAGTCAGCATGGGGGCACCCAAGACAGCGATAGTCATCGACTCACAGGAGGGAGAGGGTAATGTCGCCGTTGACCTTGGCCTGGATGGCGATCTCGACCTCGAGGTTGAGATCAAGACGGAGCTTCAAAGCTTCCTTGGGAGCGACGGTGCCCTGGTTGGAGCGGGTGGCAACAGAGGTGATTTCTGGGGCAGACATGTTATGCTGATGAAGAATAGAGACCTTGGTCTTCAGGCTTTTATACAAGGATCGACCGACCCGCGGTGTAAATGAGGGTATCTTTGCGCCATATTGCAGTTCAACAAGTCGGGTGCCTTGTCCGAGCAACTTAACTGTTTTCGTCTCGAAGCTGCAAGAAGTTACTGACTACGTAACGGTTCTTATTCCATAAAAAACATGCTGCAGAGTCGCTGTCTGCGACTCGGAGCCAGGGACCATTCTGAACATAGATAGATGTAATGGAGATGTAATACACAATTTTGCCATGGCCAGATGTATGGGTCCAAAATTCCACACGAAGCACATCGTGGGAAGGCCCGGCTTGATTTACAACTATCATTATCCTTCACCGCCATCCACGACTTTGCTACTCATATGCCATCAATTCCGCGCAACGGTACCCGAGGCACATCTTATTCCCCAAAGTACATTTCTGGAAAATACCAATGCGACGTTCCGTCTCGACGCACCCCATCTCGTTATCTTTTACATCAAAAACGCAGCAGCATTCGGTGCGTTCAGAATGGGCTATGACGAGAAAAGATCCTTCGACGGGATGACAGTTTCGTGAGTCAGCCTGCCTCGGTATTGTTCGAAGCTCATCGACCTATTGCAACAAATTAGCCCGAGTTTCGCCAGCCGCCACCACCACCGTTTCTCTCCGTACCGCTCTTCTTTTACCTCTCTGCGTCCGACCCAGGTATAGTTTTGTCATGGAGAAGAAGAGCATTCTCATGCAACGTGTGATGTCTGTCGTGCGCTGGGTCGGTAAGAGTTAACGTTCATTGCTGCAAGCTTACGATAGCTCGAATACAGGTGGTGCAGCACAGGACTCCTAATTTGACACTACAACATGCCTTATGTCCCACGAGAGCTCTGGGCCTCCAAAAATTTTCTCCCCTCGAAATCGTCGCTCTCGTATAAAAGAACCTTGACCGACCAGCAAATTCTTTAACAATGTCTGCCCCAGAAACCGCTACCAAATTCGCACCCACCCAATCCTCCTCTGTCCTCGGTGGACAAATCGTCGGTCGCTCCGAGCGCCAGGCTGCTCCTCCCGCGGCTTTGAAGCTCCGTCTTGACCTTAACCTGGAGGTTGAGATCGCCATCCAGGCCAAGGTCAATGGCGACATCACTCTCTCCCTCCTGTGAGTATAATCCGATGCGTTTATCCGGTGGACCAGGCTAAACTTTGACACATAGTGAGTGAACTTTCGGTCGTACTTGACTGAGTCGGGAAGGTTGGTCATAACTCATCAGGTTAGTCTTGGCTTCGTCGTCGTCGTCGTCGGGTGTTGTTTTACTGAGCGCTTTGCACCTGTAGTGCTCGTCGATGTTTTGATGGTGGATAAGAGATGTAACAGATGTGCCATTACTTGTAGCGTCGCTTCCCAATCCATGTTTGACCATTCAACCCTTTATGTGACTGTAAGCAAAACTGGGTGTTCCTAACTGTTGAGAGACGGGTGCCTCAGTCATCAGCAATGAAGGACTTCGTTGCGTGTCGCTTGGATTTCTGTTATTGAGACGTCATCTCAAGCTCAGAGCAAATCTTCGTGACAATCATACTATGGCCGGCTGTTAAGGTATCAATTCTAGTGATGGTTTGGGGAAGGGGGGGAGACCCTTTTATCAAAACATCTCGCTTTCTGTCAGTGAGTGTCGTACTGCAAAGTTTTTCTACTTGTTACTTTGGTGACGGACAAATTGTTCTACGCATCCTCTAAATGCATGTTGAGGAACCGTTTTTCTGGTAGATTCGCTTATCTTCAACTTTTTAGGCTCCCGAAATGAAGGTAAATATGACTTGCGATAAGAACAATTTATGTATGGCATGGCGACTCGGCGGCTTGAGGCAGACAAAAGAGCGCTTGGATATCTCACTTTTCCGAGTCCCCGTATCTATTGCATGCAAGAGTCAATTTACTCCTTTTGGTAGCGCTTTGTGTCTTGCTGCCCGTCCGAACATGGATCAGCTTGCGCTGTCCCATGCCGGCACTTTGTTCCTGTACTTGACTGATATTCAGTACATGGAAGGTGCAGAAATAGATTCGCACGTTATCCGGAAGAAGATAACAGCAAATTAGTCCTCAACTGCAACAAGAAGACACGCTCGGATTAAGCAGATATATGTTTGACATTAAATGCGGTGGGGCGTGGGTCCCGGTAAGTTACGCATCGAGCCTAACCATTTCAGTCTCGGTAATCGCAAGAACGTATGAGTCCGCCTTTCTGTATGCCTATGCGGAGTCTTATTGCAACATCTTTTTCAATGCCATCCATCTTCGACACCTACCCCTCAAAAGCGCCTGCATCTCAATACCAAGTCATAGCATGGAGACTAGGATCTTATTCTCATCATTTCACATTAGGTTGGTCAAGAATAGATTGGGGCACTAGGCGTAATATTGACAACGGTACAATTTTCCACACATGATATCCACCCTCCCGCTCAAAGAACCAGAGAAGTCAGACTAGCAATGGAACACGGTATCAGCAACTAATCCCCGAAGACAAGAAAAACTCAGGCTAACCTGGTATCCTATGACTGACCGTCCCCGCCGTATTCATGCCCGAGAAGGCATTTACTCACTACGCGTCGGAAATCAGCTAGTTCATGGGATAAACGCATCGGGATCTACTCACAGGAGCGACAAGGTGATGTCGCCGTTGACCTTGGCCTGGATGGCGATCTCAACCTCGAGGTTGAGGTCCAAACGAAGCTTCAAGGCCTCCTTGACGGGTGCGGCAGGCTGTCGGTTGCGACCGACGATTTGTCCGCCGAGGACAGAGGAGGTTTCGGTGGGTGCGAATTTGGTAGCAGTTTCTGGGGCAGACATGATTGCTGAAGCTGAGGATTTGTTAGCTGGGATGGAATCCTTTTATGCGCGTCCTGTCGCCTCTTTTGGGGAGAAGGGAAGAAATCTTGTGGTACGTAAAGGTTGTCTGGTGAGGAGGCATATCAAATTGGAGCGCACCACATGCGTCCCGGTTGTCGTAATATGGGGTGGGCGCTGCTACAAATGACTGGATGTATGGGGGGACAATTAGATGTCAATGATACGAGCCGATGCAAATAACGCGTCTGCCCATCCCATTTGGCGGTTCGAGAGAATAAAATCTTAGAGTATGAAGCAAACATGGAAGAGCTCAAGCAGCATTTGCCTCAGCTGTTCCGTAGATGTCCGGCGTTCCGATACCTGCATTCTGGACCTGTTACAGCTTGTGCTTCGAGAATTGAGGTACGGTAACTGGTTTCTTTTTTGTTCGGCTGAGCTTCGTACCTTGATAAAATTCTGGGTTGATTGTTAGGAGAAGAGAGCTGACAGCAAACCCGACGTCCAGGCAACTAACGAGAGACTTCGGGGAGTAGCGGCTTCGTTGTCGTAAGTAGAACGACCGAGGCAGGTGAAATGTATTGCGGGACGAGCGCATATTCGATGGTTCCGAGGAGAGTGAAGTAACACAAAGCATGGAGAACACGCGTTCGAGGAAGCTTTACTTTATGGAATGCAGGCAGTAACTTGAAGTCGGCATGCAGTTTGGTGATATTTTAAAACTGAATTCCAGGCGCTCGTGTTTCGGTGTATGCTTCGTTTTGGGGTAATGAACGAACCGGTGTGGGATGTCCGCAAAGATGATAGCTATCAGTTTGTATCTGTCTCTCACCTGAGGTTTATTGTGAAAGTCCATTTAACCTCAGTATAGAACATATACCGGCCGGTGGGGCTGTCTGTCCTGCCGGCAATCAACTGAAAGAAATACTACTTACCAAGACTAAATGATTCGGTTCTTCCTTGTTTCTTCGGCTACCGACATATACGACTCGTAGGACTATATTCGATGCAGATCCTTGAATATTCGGTGATAAATCCTTTCGTATGCCAGGATCAGCACAACGTAGCATCTCTACGATAGTTGTATCATGCAATACATAGATATCGGACAAGGGCGTTCTGCTGTCGTCGACGGAAGCGTAGTTCTGTTATGGACCTTACTTTTCAGTAGATAATTGATGCGCTTATTGATGGAATGGTGTTCAAGTCAATGATAGCAACCCTAAGTCTCTTGGTCATCATTTGAAACTCAGCCACTCTTTCCTGTGTCCCGTGTAATGCTACTGTCTGCCTACCTGCCCCACTATTATCGACGTTACACTCTGCGTCCACCCTCGATCTTGACGACGACGAGACCAAGTATCACCAACGTTCAATATTTTCTAAAAAATCGCCCTCTCTTTTCTTGACCCGACCTCTGGTAACTAAGGACATCTCAAGTCACTGGTTTCAGCTGTAACGACATGTCTGGTGCGTTCTATTGTGCGCAAACAAGCCTGGCTGGCACTAAAGACTCACCTACAGACCTCGCGTATCAATATAGGCACACTGAGGTCCATCCTGATATCTGACTGATTCTCTCAGATGCAGCACAATATCGGTTCTCTTGATTTTCCCGGCTTGCATTCAATAAATTGAATTGGCGCGTTCTCGGGTGAACAAGACCGAAACCAGAGTAGATGTCTTCTAGTAAACGTATTGATGCTACATAGCAGTTTTGAGTGAGTCACTACTTATCATGCGGGCGCCTAAAATTTACGCCTTTCAACCGCTCCAGTTCCTCGTGAAGAAATGAAAATACCGCCACCTATGGAAAACACCGCAGACTGAGCTCATTAAGTTCTTGTGGTTCTATGAAATACTCCCATACCGACGACGACGACGACGCAAAGAAGGCTTGGATTAGCAGAAGGATGGGCGCAGTTTGGTCCTTTCCATTGAAGACATACTGAGCCCAACGCAATCGCTGTCCCTGAACGTCCCCTTGGTCTGATTTGGACCGGGGACACATCGTTCGCATTGCCAAGACCACTGGGCAACGCGTTCACCATGACATGCAAATGATGTTTCCCCAGCCTCCCCTCGGTTTCTCATATACAAGACGCCGCTTTCGTCGGGGTCCACTCTATCCAGCTGAGGAACGAATAATCGACAATAATGTCAGAAGAATGATCTGCTTCTCCTACTCGCTCTCCATCCCCAGGCTCTTTTACCTATTTCCGTCTCTTCCCTGGTCCTAGAAGTCAAATCGGTCCACACAGGAGCCAAAGGACTCGGAAGCTCCGGGTTCTTATCATCAGTCATCAGTACATAAATTGCCGACACTGAGCGTAATTGTGGTTGTGGTTTTACAGTTGTTCAGGTTAGGACAATATTATCAAACACTCTCATAAATGCTAACGTTGGTCATCACAGATGAAGCCTCATAGCAGGTGCTAGAAGGACTCACTTAGATCGTAATCTCCTCTTATCGTAACAGTCGAAACTTACCGGAATGCCTAAAATTCGTTCAAATGACCTAGTTCCATCTCGTCTTTCCTCTCAAGGGCCAGAATTTATTCTATGTGACAAGAAGAATCACATATTGGACTGTTTGCGCTAGAAATCTTATCTCATTGCGGACTGGAAGAGCAACGAACACAAGTATGGACCCGTATCCGCCTCTTCATCCCCTTGCTGCGCAGACTGGATATACGTCCGTCGTAAGACTGACAGTCCCTCTATCCTTTCCGCTGAAATTGTGCAAAGATACCGTTTCCTAGCTACTCGCATCGCCAAGTTGGGCGCTATTGTCACTCAGAGGAAGAAAGTGACTCTTAATCACTCAGAGTATTTCAAACAGACTAAAGGAGTACGCCATGAATCATACCTAGCTATACGAATCCAAGTCCATGATTCATGTATGGTAGTAAGCGAAAGTAACTAGAAATGAAACAGATGCTAGACCTGAGTAGGAACTGGAAAGAAATTGAAGGTATAAGTAAGGAGCGGCGACGGTAGGTTGAAACAAACAAAAAAAAGGAAAGGATGCTGTCGATGGTCCATACTGATGTTCAAGACAGAACGATATTAATGCCTGAAGACAAATGAGCGTGGTGAAGGTGAAAGGTAAAATTTTGAATCGAAAGTACCTAGTAGGCCACATTCAGGCGGCAGTCCGAGGGTCCTTGAAGCCTTTGACAACGAAAAGCCTCATCGAGTCGATGATGGCAGAGAAGTTCTTCTTTATGCTGCTTTGAAGACCCCACCAAGACTCCTCATGCTCGATGTCCGCCTCCAACTTGATGGTGGTCACCAAGCTGTAGAAAGCGGTTTCATGCACGTCCTCATTGGGGAGTGCAAACAACACCCTGTACTCCCAGGAGCTGTTGCCCTGGACACTGGACGAGGAGAAATTGGCCCATCCATTCTTCTTTGCAGACTTCAAGTTGGTAAAGGTCATATCGATGGTCCTCGTCAACTCGTTTAGGTCTGCTACGACACCGAGGGCCTGGAGGAGGAATTGAGCGATCTTGTCGACCATTACGGTCCACTGTCGCATCAGACTGGGATATAGTCGTGGTCTTGTACAAGTCAAAGCTGAGGTCGGAGCCAGTGTATTTATCGATGGCGGCTTTGAAACCGCTCCAGTCGAAAGATTTCGGATCCAGATGAACGTAATGGTCAGTGAAATGCAGAATCTGCACAGAGGTGGACCGAAGATCTTCACGCAACTTGATAACGACATCGAAGGCGGCCTCGGCTGCATACGAATGACGATGAGTAGGGGTTCCAAATGAGAAAGTAAGGCAGACGGACAATTAGCTCTGGCAGTGAGTGAGTACAGAACCTTCAGCATTAGAGAGCCGAAAGAGCGACTTGTGGGACATTATGGAGTAGGTTGCGGTAGCCTATAGACGAGTTTGGGGAAAACTCGGGAGGCGCTGTTCTGCGCTCTGGATGAGAGACTGGCACAAGCAAGAGTTGTATAGGCGATGCGATGAGGGGTCAAGTCCATCTGACCATTCAAAATGTCAATAATCTCTGTTCATGAACAGGCGATGAATTTTCTCAAATGGCGTCAGGGATGGGATTCAGAGACAGCATTGAACGGCTTACGAAAATAAAGGGTAAAGCACATCGGTGGATAAATATAGCCGAAAATTCATGTTTAAACAAGGAGACGAACCTCGAGAGAATGCGTGGTGGAGAAAAATCCCGACTATTGCTTGAGATAATATTGCCGACTCGGACCCAGAGTCCAAAACCCCTTCAGAAATGTCTTTATATTGAAGGACCCTTGGTACACTGTCATATGCATTTATTAGACCATGGTATGAAGCTTGATCCTGGCGACTCAGAGAAAAATATCAACAAGCCAGATGAATAGACCGTTCTATATCAGGGTTTTGCTTGTCTTTTGGAATCGGCATTTAGGAAATTAGGATACAAGGCCAAGGAATAATACTAGAGTTACCAGAACCACAGGCAGAGCTCTGAGAGTGATATTCTCACGATACGCGTCTTTGAAGCTAAAATAGCTCCTTATGTCATCCGAGCCGTCGAGTACTTACTTCGTGCACATCATCATCACTGTATTCTGTGGCCAGAGCGTATGACCATCACGTCAATGTTGCTGACCAGGCTGCCTGATTGGGACCTTGTGCCAGTACCAACGTCTTTCCGATGGTTTTCTGAATTTCTATGGCATAGCTTTGGTACACATAATACCACTTACCACAAGAGAAGTATCGCAGGATCCACCTCCATCAGCAGTGGTGTTAGGCCAATTTCTGGGATCCGAATCGGCCACTACTCAGGACGTATTCTGTTCACTACTCGTCGTGTAGGTACAAAAGGGTAATACGCGTACCTTCGCTACTACCGGAATGCTTAGTATGGTCGAGGCGCGTTCTCTGTGCCCTGCCTTCTGAGCTGCACCCACTCGGAGTTATATATCGGCATGTTGATAGACCTCTCGCCATATTTCTAAAACACCGGTCCAAACGTCAAATTATGCGCATGGTATGGCGCGTACCAAAGGCCTAACGATGCCCAGACTCTCTGGAACTGGTTTAGACGGTATTGTAATTGTTCACGTTCAAGTCGGGGTTTCTCTTCGTTCGTTCTCCGACTGACTTCGATTTCCCAAGCCTTGTCACACTAGCATCGAAGAACATAATTCTGAGTTTCAAACGACAGAAAATGTGGCTGGCCTCCCTGTTCAAGAAGAGCTTTCGACTCTACTTTTGCGCCGATATGCTTTGACCTAGAAACCATGGAACGATGCCGACGTGGGCGGAAATATGGCTACTTTGTCTCCTGATCAATATTAATTTCTGTTGTACAGGCTCGTGGATACGTTCCACAACGTCTAGTCATCACTCCTTTTGGAGTTTCCTTTGCGTACTAAGCTGGCCAATATTTCCGCAGATACCATCTTTGAGGCCTTCAGAGTCTAGAGTTTAGAAAACCGCTGGCTCATGAACAGAGATTACCGACATTATGAATGATGGTCAGATGGACTCGGAATCGTACTGTCAGAGTCTCACTGACCTGAATGACCTTAACTGCATCTTCTCTCAAGGGGCTTAGCATCCTTCGGCCGTTTACTCTATTGCATGCTCCCGTCTCTTGTGCCCTCACCCCCTCCCAAGTCTCCTCCACACTCATCTTCTGTCTCACAATGTCTTCCAAGTAAGTTGCTCTTTTACGTCTTCGACCTTAACGATTCTGACCTCACCCATCGCCAGTGCTGGTGTCCGCGGTCCGTCAGCCTCGTTTTCATGAAATTATCACTCATGGCCATCCTAATAAAGCCCAACTTGCTTTTGAAGGGCATTTCCAGTTGCCTGCCGACCCTGAGCCCACCGCGAAGGAGAATGGGTGGGCGCATTTTTCCATATCGAACATCCAGGGGAACAGCTGCTGGGAGTACAGGGTGCTCTTCACAATCCCCACCGGCGGCTTTTCCACTTATTTCTACCTCTTGGTGATCACTGCGAAGCTGGGGGTGGATATCCAGGACGAGGTGTCTTACGAGCGACACCTCCAACAAGTTCTCTTCCACCATCGACTCGATGAGGCTGCTTGTCGCCAGGGCTTCAGAGACCCTTCCGTCTGAACACGGTACCCTTCTTTCGCAATTTTACTCTTCGCTTTTGCTGATCTTGTTGACCTCCAGGCTTACAACACGATAACAGGGGAACAGAACATCAAGAAGGAGCTGTTTCTCTTGATCTTTCAAATTGTCGTATGCCAAAGCGTATAACTCTTGATGTTCTTGACGTCTCTTCGTCCATCCTTCATGTCTCTTTGTGTCTTGTTTATACATCGCTTCCTTGCTCGGCGTCGTGTTGTACTCTCATTTACGCCCTGCTTTCATTGATACACGCCCTGTCTGAAACATAACAACTGCTCATTATGGCGAATGATGACCCGCCATTGTGGGTAACAGTAAATTTTCAGATAACCTGAAAGGCGCCACGGAAGAGCATGAGATACAACTAACAAGCCATGAAGGCACCCGCGGGTTCGCCACGCGTCAAGCGATGTCCTGGACAAAACGTCCAGAGTATGATGCCTAAAAGTTTGGATATCCATCCTTTAGCCTTAGTGCTACGCTCGACAGGAAGGTCGAACTGGTTCCCTGGTCCCTCGCTTGGTAGTCAAAGGCGTCATGGTCGGTTACAGAGCTACTATTGACGACGGTGGCAACAAAGATTTTCGCACTTGCTCCTACGCGTTTCGTTGACTTGTCTAATAAGTATTGAAGAAACAGATAAAGACTTATGCATTTGCAAATGTATTACAGAAAGTGATTGTTCGCATGTAAAATGCAGTAAATTGACTCGATTACTTCAGTCTGAGGGGACGGGCAAAACAAGTGTACGAAACACCGATTTCTCCTTGGAGTAGAACTTTAGATTGTGAACTTGATTGTCGATTAAATAGGGGTTAGCGTAAATACGATGCCGGTGAATGTACAGTGGTAGAAAAGACGCGCGTTTGTGGTTATCGCTTGAAGCGTTAGATCATTAAGAAACAACAGCAGCCATGCGAACAAGGAATTCTGTCCAGTATATGAGCAAAATTCCCAATATTTCTTCAAAGAGGTTACCATTGAAATAATTCAGCGTGTTTTCCATCACGGATAGGCCAAGAAGGCCGGTATAACGAGACTTCTTTATAAAGATGTCCATCCACCTCCACGATTGCCCTCTGGCGCAAGCACGCCACAGTCGTCGTGCATTGACCGCAATCTTCACAAAATCGAGATTGAAGTGTTCTTGTAGGAACGGTAGAACAAATTCGGTCTTGGCAGACGGTGCAACGAACACGACCCGTCAGGGAGCACTCTAGCCGTGGGGCACAGCGGCGGCGGTAAAGTAGAATCACTGCAAGGCTCATTTGAGTGCATACATACATAATAATAGGCTGCCAATGGGATACATCTGTTCTGCAAGAATGACATTGGCAAACTGCTCTGTGGACCTGGACAATTAACCGCTGCGTTGACAGCGTCGGGCGTTATTGGAAACAACAGCTTTGCGAAGCACAGAAGGAAATTCCTACTGCCAAGGCTCAGAGATAGAACTTGAAGAGGTAATCATTGGCGACACGTACTATACACGTCCTTTCCTGTACCATTTACCCTCTGCCAGGTTTCGTGTGAGCGACCGCTGGTCATGATAAATCTCCTTGGGGTGCAAGTTCAGTGCACCATGTCGAGCACCAAAATAGAGAAACATGGATTATCGATTCACGGAGGAGAATGATGACCTTCGAAGTTATGATAGTGAGGAGCAAGGAGTGGGACATCGCGTCTTACCAGGACAAGGTACGATGGACGAGTACGCAGTGGGTTGCGCTGTTGATGCGGTGAGGTATACGCTTGTCGTTATCATGTCAGAGGTACTCATTACTGACTCGTCTTGCAATGGTTAAATGCTCTGGCACGATGGCATAAAGTTCCTACCAGTCTGTTGGTAGAGCCCGTTAGCCGTGGTCGTGGTAGTCGTCGCCGTCGTCGTCGTCGTCGTCGTCGTGATCGATCATTTGAAACTCATCAGTCACTCTTCCACCAACTTCTATGCTCGACACAGCACCCACGACCCAGTACATCCTCACTGTTGGACTTCATCTGGTTTTATGACGGCTACGTTGCAACAGCATCTCAAGCTTGGAACCATGTCTCGAGACCAACTTATCTGATGATAAAGATCGTTCGCCTGCTGCACACCTAGCTTGACCCGGAATCTTTCCCAGTCTCACAAAAATGGATGCTATGGACAAGAATGGATTCACGACTGCTAAGCTACGCGTAACAACGGTACACTTTCATTCACATATAACGTCTTCAGCTAATTCAATCCTCTCGCCACCAGGCATAAGCTGTTCTACGGCAGAGTCATCAGGAACGAATCCGACAAACAAAATAAGCAAGAACTTACCTGGAATGAGGCCCTACAGACCTACAGGCGAACTACATTCATATGCAACTTTTAAGAGCTAGACGCCAAAAATCAGCCCAGTCCACAGCGAATGCATTAGCATATACTCACAGGAGCGACAAGGTGATGTCACCGTTGACCTTGGCTTGGATGGCAATCTCAACCTCGAGGTTCAGGTCCAAACGGAGCTTCAAGGCCTCCTTAGCGGGCGCAGCAGCCTGCCTGGAGGAGCGGCCAGCGACTTGTTGTCCACCAACAGAGGCGAAAGAGGGAGAAGAGAATTTGGTAGCAGTTTCTGGAGCAGACATTGCCGATGAAACTAGGACCTTTGACAGGATTGGCTTTTGTAGCTGACGCTGCTCTCGCTCGTCGGCTGCCCGCCGTAGCACCTTCACTCGTTCTGGAACCAAAGCTGTTCACCCGGAGGGAGGAGTGCGCGGTACGTACTAACCTCGCGCGGTCTCATGATGCTTCGTCCTGATCTAATTTCATAAAGGTAGTCAATATGTGTACGCGTCTAGGTCGAGACCCAGAAGCGCATTCTCGTGAGATTGGGTGCTTCCCGACACTCGCTCATCCATGTCTTCCATTCTACGTCGCACCGCTTTGGATTCCCCGGAACAACTCCCTTCTTAGAGCACTTTCTCGCTCGGTTCGCAGTACCCCGTCAATTTAGCCGAGGGTTATTGTCTTCAGCAGCCGCGTAGCTTGGTGCCGTTTACCCTCGAATTGAGCTTCCTTGCGGGTGCGTTGTTATTTTTCACTTCATAAATCCATGAATCTTACCAAGTTTCAGCTTTGAAGGCTTAAGATTAAAATAAACGGCCCCGGGAATGTGCTTACGCCGCAATGACTTTCAATTTGGTTATCACCACTTAGGCACTCCGGATGCGAGAAGTGACAATTAATTCATCTATTGCTAAGTGGTTTCGAAGTTGACCTTCCTTTACGAAACATGCGGGCCTAGGGGTGGCATGCTGCGAGCACCGGAAGTCGGCGAACGCTCCGACGTGTCGCGAGCTCCACACGCTAACGACGTATTTCTAAGGACAGCGCCTACCCGTCCAGCTCTGGCGAACAAGAACCTTTAAAGTTTATATTACACGGCGGCCAAGCGGCCTTTTCTCCTTCCAGCATAACGTCCCTAAATTATTCCTAGTTTTATCTCCATTGATTTTCGTGTGTTCGCCCCGCGAGTTATTTAAAGACGCCGCTTATTAGCTCGGGTTCCGAGCGTTCGTTAGAAATTCAATACTGAATACTGTTACAAGCGACGACCTATGTTTTCTTTACTTGAACAAAACAATAAGTAACCGCAATATCATAATTACTACAATGATTGCAAGGTATTCGGTGAAGATCCAGTTGCTCCTAAGTACCACAGTCAGTGCAAAAGAACCCATGGTTATCTGAGCCAAAAGATTCAAGTGGAACTCTTGAGTAACTCATGCCAAAGAGCATTGCCGTCCGACGTATCAAGCACACACGGTTACCGCCAGCATCCCTCTTTCATGAGCTGCTGGGAATTGTCGTCTGACCAAGGCTATCATCCCGTGACTTATACGATCCATATCCTCATCCTTATATCCTTTGCAAACCCAAACAACGTCAATCCTAGTCATAGGCAGCGCGTTATCTATCTGCGGCCATGACGTCCACATCCCGCCATCGTTTGAAAATGCCGTATCGTGCTGGACGAAAATGCGTAACATGAGTCTGCGTAGCCCGCTAGACTCCGGCTGTAGGAGGGACTGCATGAGCCATTGCATGATCCCGACGTCCGCGCTGAACCTTTGATGGGTGATCCCAACATGCAGTTCTTCCAGCTTCGTCAAATGAAGAAGTCGAGTAGGAGGATTAGTATAAATAACTACAATGCCTCGATATCAGTTTTTGGTCTCTCGGCCCGGACTTGGATTTGCCTACCAGCGTAATCAATCCACGCTAGACGGAGAATCTTGAGTTTCCGCGCGCTGCGCGAGTACTCAATTAATTGGTTCAAATCTGCATCCAAATAAGGGTTCTGCAAAGACAGCTTGACGAGAGAGTCCATGTACACGCTGCGAAACGACATCAATGGATCCAGGAGGACTGACGCTTTCGTGTACAAAATGGACAAGTTCTCAAGTACAGGGCCATCGGGTGGCGATCTTGGGATGATCGACTCGAATTCCTCAAAGTAGCATTGCTTGAGATTGAGCTCTTTGAGAAGAGGGAGGGAGAGAACGGCCATGTGCAAATCATTGGGTTCGCTAAAGCGAACGTAATTTAGGTCTAAGGAAACGAGGGACGACAGAGAAGACGAGAAGAGAGTAGATATAGTTGCGTAATGGTCGACTTGCGCCTGTTTTATCTGGCTCGCAGCCAGAGGCATCTCAGCGAGGAGCCTTGCTCTGGATAGGTCGTGAAAGCTGCCACACTGTGTGAATGTCACAGAAGAGAAGAGATACATTCGGGTACGATGATAGAAGACCCTAGAGGCGTAGGAACAGGAAATGAGTGCATCACGGTCGTCACTGAGGAGATCAATAATGTGTTCGATGAGTTCTTGAGATAGTAGTAGCATCTAAAAGAAAATTGTGGTTCAGTTTCGCGCAGTCCACTGATAGAAACTTACGCTGCACTGTTTCTGTTAGATTCCTTATCTGGGTACAAGGTAAATCCAGCCAAGTCGCGTCGGTAAGTTAAATGAGTCGAGCCTCAACAGGTGGTCCCACTAAAGCGGAGCTCAAAAATGCTCGATCGGCAAGATTCGGCTAAACACGCCTAGGTCGTGAGGCTTGCGATCCGACGCGTTTTTCTTTTGGTTTGCCAATTCAACGCATATTAACGTTGCAACCGAGGTTTGTATTCATCTCAAAATTGCCACGACCAACATAAATGAAATTTCCAGCGATATTTACAGTCCAGCCGACTACAACCGGCCCCTTGGAGCTGTTTCCTCCAAGACCGTTCCATAGCAACATTTACTATGGCCCTGGAGGAGCCCAGCTACATGGGGCTAAACATCGAAACATTTCAGCGAAACGTTTGACATCGAATGGTCCACAAATGTCCCTCCAAGTAAGAAAATACTTGGCACCTGATACCAGGAACTTTCTTTCTAATGACGAGATACATACGTTACTTCAGACCCGAGGCACCGCTGGCCTATGTTCTGGTGCAGAAGTTAGTCAAGAACACGTGTTGGCGACCGTTACCTCGATGGTTCTTGATGACAGTCAACGAAAAGAAAAAGCGCTGCCTAGACCCTTGCATTGGCTCTCGTGGCCTAAACTTAATCTAGAGCCTTGGACCCACAAACACACATACTCTTCACATTATGTTTGAGTAATCGCTCAAAGCAGCTAGGGTTACAAAATAGAGTGCAATCATTTGGGACAGTTCATTCCACGTCCCCGCCCGTCCGAAGGCCTCGAACCTTTCAGCGGACAGATGTCAACCGAACGCTGGTCCACGCAGCTTTTTATGAAATAAAAAGGGTTACGTATCTGCGACTTCAGCTTCCTTGTCTTCGAAACCGAAAGAAGTTAAGTTGCTACTACGAGGCGCCATACGGCCCGAGAATCCCGTTGCTACTTAGTACCCTCATTCCGCAGGGGCCCGAACTCATATAAAAGGACTGACTTGCTTGTATAGTTTCTTCAGTATCAACATGTCTGCCCCAGAAACCAAGTTCGCACCCACCCAATCTTCCTCCGTCCTCGGTGGACAAATCGTCGGTCGCTCTGAGCGCCAGGCTGTCGCACCCCCCGCGGCGTTGAAACTTCGTTTGGACCTTAACCTCGAGGTTGAGATTGCCATCCAAGCCAAGGTCAACGGTGATATCACCTTGTCGCTCCTGTTAGTATACCATTTCTTTGTGTGGGTCTGTGCTGACAGTGTGATTTAGTCAGTAAATGAATGCTTGATGTGTGACGACGGATCAGTTGGCGGAGTACCTTCGGGAGCTGGTAAGTCTAGTGTTGGACCATCTTGTTGGATATGCTGACGCGTTTACTATGTCCTAGTCAAGTTCTTCCGGAATGCTTGTTACCGCTTCATTGTGCCTTATTGACATTATACCAGACGTTTATATACATTGGATACCTTGAATATGATTGTTCTCTGGGCTCTGTCATTCTCATTGCATCTGTAAGGAGGCTACATGTCTGGAAATTCAGATATATCTGTTCGAGGGCTTTTGTTCTCATAATTCCGAATTGAAGGTCTGAGAAGCCTATTGTTAAGCACTGCTGGGACTGGTACATTTTCTCGGTACAAAAATAGGACCTGAAAATGTTGTGACATTTTATTTAATTTTGCAATAGTAAAAATAAGCTCAGTAAAATAAGTTGATAAATGATATCATTTCCATGTTCTTTTTTGTAAAGGAAAACAGCAAGAAAAATTGAACTGAAAAAGGCATCCCCCAATGTGAGAACAAAGGAAACCACTTTTCATTTGCGGAAGAGTTTGTTTTTGGCATATAAAAAGAGTGACAAAAATAGCAAGTTTTTCATCATGTTTTCCTTATCCCGTTTTTGCAGCACATAAAGGTGATTGCAAGTCACAACATTTTCAGAATGTCTGTTTCCGTGCCGAAAAGGCAGTGAAGGTGATCGCCAGAAACATTCCTAGATCGTAAATTGTCCAATTGACTTAAAGTCAATATAAGAAATTTAGATACATGAAAGTAATTTAAGAATCAAATATAGCTCCAAACGCGAGCATTCCCCGGCTCCTAAGACCATAAATAACCTTTTCCGTCAACTTTTGGTTCGATATCACGCAAACACACTCCGGCTTGAACTCCTCCACTAGACGATGAGTGAGCTTAATGATATCCGGCTTCCCATGCTTCCGCGTATCTGCAAAGGCGAGGTAAGCACGATGAACACCACGATAATAGGAATAAAATCACCATAAACAACCGCTCCAGGACTATTCTCTAATACCATATCAACCAACGGATCGCTGAACGTGGCACGTGTGTTTGGTGCCATCCAGAACAGCTTATGGTTGACCTTCCCACTCATGATGTGAGGCGTGAACGGTGCAATCCCGCTCCCAGTAGCGACAAACAACACCCTTCGGAAGAGAGGTACGATCCGTAACAGTCCACATGTCGGCATTCCTCGTACCCAAATATCTTTCGGCGGGTTCGTGATCATCTCCGTCGACCAGTCGCCTGCCTGAGAGATGATAATGGAGAACCCGGTCTTTCCAGGGATCGCGATCGTGGCGAAACTGTGCCATTCGTTTAATGGATCCGTAGAGAAGCGCTGGAATGACCCAGGAACTGGGTGTGGGCCTTTGAAAGGCAGCTGAGAACAGGCAAGGCCCAATGAAGGAATGACATCTTACCATAGTCAACGAACAACTGCACGGCATGGTCGGAGAGGACGACGCTACGAACGGGGACCTTCTGCAGTTTCACCCACGGAAGGATTAGTGAGCAACTCAGAACGATCATCAGCCAGAAGGGCGCCGAGTGGATGAGAGCGTTGCCAAGGGACTTCTCGCCTTTGTAATCGTTCGTGAGTAAGATGACCTACCGCCAGCGCGTTAACAGGAGATCGAGAGTAAATAATAACATGCCCTCACCTGTGCCCACACCAGTGCTGTTGCAGTCCATCCCATGAATCGATGAACGCATTCGAACGCGTCATGATGCTTCACACGGAGAGTGGGGTGGGCGAACATGACGATGCTCGTCAAGAATGCTAGAATAATGTACGTGAGTACGACTGTTGCGACCGAAGTCTAAAATGAATTAGATTATCAGGGCGCTAGATACGAAGCATGGATATAAAGGCATACTCCTTTGTTGTTTACGAGTTCTCTCGTAGCTTGAACGGCGAGAAGAATGAGCCAGATGGTACCGGAAACCGCTGCTCCAGAATGGACTCCTCCGTTATGGTACACCCGCGCGACAAGTTTACGAATCCAAAATGGCCAGCTATTATACGCGTCATTTCCATTCCCATCCACAGGAGTGGAAGTAACATACGACTGAGGTACTGCACATGCGACCGCGAACAGTGTATTAATAACTAGTTCTTGTCGCATGAGGATCGCAATGAAGAGATTCGAAACTGCCAATAGCGCGATCTTCTGCGAATCGTATCCCCGAATGGCATACGAGACGAAGATTCCCATGTTCGTGATGAAGACCACGGAGAACAGTCGTCGGTAGATTGAAAACGCCTTCAAGCGCAAGTTGCGCACCAAGCGCGGCTGTACCTTTTCAGGCACCTCGTCGTTCTCGTACCCGTCCCATGGGTTCATCTGTTTCTCGTCAGCGAGCTTGGACGAGGTACGGGAAATGACGGTCTCTGGGAGGCTGTGAGGAAGAGTGCAATCGCTGGAAGAGTGCAGCTGTTCTGCGTTGCTCATGTTGAATGAGATGTGTCGAAGTACTACGTAGCAAAACTGTGAGCTTCAATCTCACTGCGTAGTCTGAATCGGTTGGTGGTCACGAACCTTTTCAACGAGCGAACGTGACGATTCTCCAGCGGGTGTAGAGGCTAGTTCAGGTGCGGGCTCTGTCGACGGTCGAGAGCATCTTCGAAACTGGTTAAAAATGATGGTTCCGATCTGCCAGTCCTTGTTTGATGAATGCCGTTGCGTGGGACCTGTTGAAGAAGTCAGTGTTCGTCTGCGTCATATGTTGTTTTTCGAAAATGCAAGAACTACAATTGAGATACTCACCCACCTAAAATGATCGAGATAGACACTTGTAAGCCATGGAATATTCTGCCCTCTGCTAATGTACCGGTGATAGACATTCATCTGAACGAAGAATAGCACATCCAGGGATAACACGAGCATTTTGAAACGGTCGTGAACTCAGAATCCAGAAGCTACTGCGGCTACGAGAAAACTCTCGATTGTATGCGGAGTGAATTGAAGTTGGCAGGAATTCCGATCATTTAGTTATTTTGATTATGATGATCCCGCTGAAACCTCATATTGGCAACCCTGATAACTGGTGATCATTCATGCTGCATTCATTCCCTGGCACACGGCACCATCAGCTCAAGTATCAATCCGGTTGAGATAACGAACTCACAAGGTCAGGTCCTACAGGCCCCCGAAGCTCCAGTCCCTTTTTGAATAGGTACAAAGAAGTGAACTATGGTATTTCATCAAGGAATTTGATATCAGTCTGCGTGCATTCTGAGCATGGCGAGTGGAGGAAGGTGGAGGCGAGGATAAATTAGCTGCCACCGACTTTTCAGCTCCGGTAACTCAACTTCCGGACCGTATCTGGCCGTATTACACATCTTTCCCATCTACTTAAAGAGTGAATCTACACTGGTGTCTGGTCGTTGCGCTTCCCAAAAATGACTCAACGTATCCTCAAAGGTAAGTTTGGACTTTTTTTTTTTCGATGGCTATATTAATATCAAGTCATTCTTAAGTAGTTATCGCCCCAGTCTGTTCTTCAAGTTGGCCCTACGACCTTTGTCGTCATCTCTTCGCTGTCGTCTGACGTTTTATACTTCGAAACCTTGACGGCCCATTGTATTACACTTGTCGTAAAGTCTACGGCTCCTTTGGGCCACAAGTATATCGCCTTAGCCCTTGGACTATTGTGAAGACAAGCAATCTACCTGACGAACTTGAGGCCAAGACCATGCTTTATATGGCTAAAAGTACCACTATCCCTATTCCCTACATCCAGAATCACTGGGCTGGGGCAGACATAGATTTTGGAAGCGGGGAATCATACCATCAAGCGTACATTGTCGCACTGCTCCTCACGATACAACCATTCTCTGTGGTACTTCTGTGCTCAGGCTGGCTATCTGCGCGCTACCTCTTGGTTAGCCTCCGTAGGCCATCGTCGGTCTCTGCAGCTTTGTGAAACGGACATTATTTTAGTCACATCGCGTTGTTTATAGTGTCAAATTTCCTCTGACTGGAGCATTAATTTATAGTTAGTCCTTCGATTTCTTGCTGAAAAAATCTCACACTCATTGTCCCCTTCCAGCAGTTCTTATTATGTTTAACGATGCTTACCCCATCGATGTGGCCCATTATGGCGCTAAAGCTATGCGAGTCGAACACTGGTCTATACTCATCGTCACAAAGAGTAGCCAAAACGTTTTCACCAGGAAAGAGACTGCACAAGCCCACGCCCATCAGATTTCGGGTTCCACAACCGACTACTATATAAAAACTCCACAGGACGTATCTGACGTTCTCAAGTCCACAGCGTACCTAGGCATGGTGAAAGTGGGGTCGATCCCCAAGGACCATCTAGAGAACGCCCAGAGAGTCGTCCAGGATACGCCTGTCATCCTCAATAACACCAGCTGGGACTGTCGCTACTGGGTCATTTCAGCCTTACAGTGTCTCCAGAACGAAGGGTACAACACATTTTCATGAAGATTGGTGGGGGAATAGCTATTTTTCCTGCTCTCGAATTTTGGTTCGCAAGGAATATATCTATCTCTTCGAGCGGCTGCAGGGCTGTAGTCATATTAGAGGGATTATACTCGGGGTATTGTTCTGGATGGGTATTCAGGCATTAGAATGTCCATGTTCCTCTTCTACGCCCTCATCCGATATCTGAAGGAGTCTCGGGATGTTATCTTTAACTTCGTTTGTCGAACCCTTATGTTCTCGAAAGACGGCGTTCAGGAAATCGAACTCGAAGACTTCCCATATGACTCCATTCGCTCCCCTATATGGTGTCTCATAGATAATTATGGCGAGAGCGTCCTCTGCTACAGTTTATCAGCCACCTATACTCGCTTCATCACGGTCAGACGAGCTGTATTCCAGCTGGGCCAAAAGGAAGTATGCTTCTCGGCTCCTTATGAATCCTTGGTGCGACGAGGAAATTTCCATAGGGTGTGCTTTCTATTCATCGCCTCTGTATTCTATTTCTGACATCTTGGGCAGGGCAGAGCTTTTAAGTCACGACCAAGCCACGCTCGTCCTGTATCAATCGCTATTGCCCAAAGTTTTGAACTCTTGCGGGCCTATCATACGGGACACTTATAGTTGTCTCATATTCCAAGGATCGAGTACTATTATAGACCGTATCTATGGTCCTCGTCTACGAGTTTCTAGTCCTGCTTCTCTCGCTCAAGTACTCACTACTTTTTACTGCTCTACATGGGACAATATTTATACGCCCTGCTCTTCGGCTTTAATGTTTCGTCGACCGGCTGCAACTGCCGGAGGGAGCGACGAAGTGTATCTGGACTTCCGCTCCCCTCGTCTTGCACAAGAAGTGTGGGACCAACTTATTCATCTCGGGTACGAAGATGCGCTGGCCTGCTTCTCCCCTTTTAGATATAACCCCGCTGAAACTGTCGCTGGCCAATGGCTGTTTCAAGTCATTGCTCGCAAACAGATATGCCGGGAAATGACGCAATCAAAAAATTTGCCTCCTCTTCAGGAAATGCGTCTGTGCGAGGGGACAAGGAACGACCTTTATCGACGCTAAGATTCGTAATCATCACTGTTTTCCCATCAGTGGCGCCAAAAAGGCACCAGTCTTTCTTCCGTGACGGAGATTCTTTGCGACTTAACTATTTCTCGCAAGGTCACTAAAGACATCTTGTTTGATGGGTTATTCTTTGGCCATAACCTGTTACACAGCCAGACCAAGGCGACCCCAGATCCAACAGTCCTGTATATCCTGTGGACAACAACGGAAACCGAGAATGAGAGTTCTGAGCAGGGAATCGAGGTAATTTGTGAAATCCTGCGCCGTTATCCAGGTCTCGTGCCCATCTACCTCTTGGTAGTACCAGCAAACGATATCTGCCTCTACGTAGAACCCTTCGACGACCTGAAGAGCACCTGGACAATATGGCCATCTATTTCTTTATCTTCATTTTTCACGCTGACTCGTCTTAAATGTAGAACTGAAAAAGAATATATTATGTACATATTTTATGCTTATTCTCTGTACTTGTCGCACTGGCAAATTCAAGATTCCACGCGAGTGGCGTTTATGGCTAGAGGATGCCTTCTTGCCTGTACTATTGCTCCCAGGTTGCTTGAGCAAAGTTGCCGGTTTTCTAAACTCTAAACTCTAATATTAACGATCTACATTTCAAGCGGGCCAGACCTTTTTAGGCAGATCAATAGTCACTACAGATCCTCTAGAGGAACCCCGCACTGATCCTACTGAGGGAAGGCCATGAACGCTACACTTTTTGAAGAAGCTATCGAACGACGGATATCGGAGCATAGATAATCTACAAATACAAAACGGAATGCCCCAACAAATCCTCAAGATACCTCACAAGAATCCTCGCCTCATCCACTGTAATATTCGCCTCTTTGCACTTCCTAGAAAACTCTTTCTGTGGGACATTTACCCACGAGTTCCCATTGATCCCGACAGTGTCGCATATCTTCTTCAACGTCGCACAAACCGCCTTATGAGGCACGCCAGGATGCTTCCACGCCCGGCGCTGACACGCTTGGGAGCAATACGGAATCTTCCCACAACCCGCACAGTACGGAAACCTCCTCCCCTGCAAGGTGAACGTCTGCGAACAGCCGTACAACCCACATTTATCCATCTCCAGCAACGACTTCAGAATCGCTGCAGTGCTGGCGTAGGGATCGAGGTTCGTCACCGCTGCTGCGATTCTACGAGACTCGGATAGGAAGAGCGGATGGTACTGTATGACCTCTTTGTGTTGGAGATAGAGATGGTGTATCATCGCTCCGGTGTCTTGGAAGCGTTCCTTCATAATGATGCGTGAAACAAGGGTATTGGAAGTTGAAGATGCAATGCGGAGGGCTTTAGCGAGTAGGAGGAGGAGAGCTTCTCCATAAGGCCGCCACAGCATCACCATCTGCATCATTATCCCCAAGTCCTTCCGCATCGAATCAGATCCCACTGTACCCGTGAGACGTATAAAATCGTGGATCGACGCCAAATCGAAGGGATGTACTTCTTGGTATTTACTTGAATTCAGCTTGTCGAGCCGTGATTCGAAGATAGCAAGGATGCGAGAAGGATAGTTGGGCATTTTGGAGAAGAATGAGATGAAGGTGCTTCCGGAGGATCGAAGAAGGATGTTCACGTAGGAGACAACGTGGACGATCCCGTACAGATCAACCCACGTCCAGAGCATGCGAATGGTGGTCTCTCCGCCCTGCGGGAAAGTATCGGAGGCCTTTGTGGGCCACTGGGGCTGCAGACCGCTTCGCTCTGCCTTGTGCGCTTCTTTCCGCGCTTTGCGAAGTTGGGGTATGGCATTATTCGGATCGGGACGAACGATGGCACGAACGACCAGTTCCATTATCGAGTCAAGGACATCAACAAACGTGCACGGCGATTTAGGGTATCGAAAATCGCGAAGATTGTGGATGAGTTTGATATCACTGTCGGTTTCGACTGCACAAGTGCACTTTTCCAGGGAGGTGCCGAATGAAAGTGCCTCGGACCGGGATCGTGGTACTGTGAGGAAGCGAATAAGAGTATCAAAGATGTCGTGTCTGGTCCTTTGCAGACTGATGATAGTCTCTGGGGTGGAAGTGAATATTTTGAGGCAAGAGAGGTAGAATAGGGCGCAATGATCAGGACGATACGGGTTAGAGAGAGAAGTGACGAAAAGGTCGGCAAATTCGATGGCGCGCTTGTCGATCATTGCAAGAATCTGAACGATGTAACAGCTGAGATTCGTCAAAGGCTGTGATGATGAAATGAACGTACCGTAAATTCAAGTTTTCAAAGGAGAACGTTGTGGGGTGTTAATCGATGAGTGGCAGTGAGATCCTTGTACATCTTTTATGAGGACTTGATCCGGGACTGCCGGCATGGCAAAGATAATGTTATGCGCTCAAGGGCAGGCATACACGTGTAGTTAGATAGTGATTCTTGCCACTAAATATCGGAACGAGGCGCAATGAAATGGCCTGGCCAATCCGAAGCTCCCCCTGGGGTATCAAATTAGGATTGGAACCTTGAAGAACGGGTAGACATGCACCGACATGGATTCCACGAGGCTAGATGTGCTCCTCCATTGGAACTTGCAGGTAGACCAATGACCAGCTCAGAGTCTTCGCGGCGTCTTGACAAAGGAATACCTCACTCAAGTTACACGCTGCAGACGAGTCGACATCCAAGTGGTGGTGGTGCAAAAGAGGAAGGGACGGGAAACTCCGAAGGGAAATCGCCACCTTGGAAGCGCTGACACTTGGTTGACTTTCCCGCCTCTAAGCTTATGCAGCAATGTTCCTAGTCTGGTTACTGAGCATGCTTCTGTTGTTCGAGCCTCCGAAACGGTGCTTGGATGTTCAATCGATTTCGACGTTTCCATGTTCTTGGCTAACGTCTACAGAAAGTTGCGAAATTGAATATCAGTAGCATCACCGGGATTCCTTCTCCACCACCATCATCTTAGCCTCTACCAATTAGGACACGCTGTCTCGCTGTGGTACCGTCTCGACTTGCTGCGCATGAATACATATGTTGACCCTGGATCTGTAATATTGTCCAACTCAGAGATTGACCTCTTCATCGTCGAGCTCGGGCGACCAGTGCTTTATGCTGGAATATTCGACATAATGATCAGGTGAGTTCGAGTTGAACATATAAAGGTCGTTTCCAATAACCCAAAATCGCAGGCCAAGATTGACAAACTCCTTAGTCGTAGAAAAATTATCATCAAAACCGCATCAGAATAATCATTTTCACCCACAAGTCTCGAAGATGCTCTCGACCCTCTGCAGCTCCCTTCGCCAAACTCACTTCCACATTGTTTAGATGACTGCCAAGTCTGCTTTTTGCAGAAAGGCTACCGACTCGGAACGCCGATTCACTTAAAAGCGCTCGTTTCTTCAATGTAGTTCTTCACTCTCGTCAGCATGAGCAAAGAGCAATCCTCCAGTAACACATCGCTCCCTCACAGCCCCCCAGAGACCGTCATTTCCCGTTCCTTGTCCCGCCTCGCCGACGAGAAGCAGATGAACCCATGGGACGGGTACGAGAACGACGAGGTGCCTGAAAAGGTACAGCCGCGCTTGGTGCGCAACTTGCGCTTGCAGGCATTTTCGATCTATCGTCGCCTATTTTCCGTGGTCTTCATCACGAACATGGGAATCTTCATCTCGTATGCCATTCGGGGATACGATTCGCAGAAGATCGCGCTATTGGCAGTTTCGAATCTCTTCATTGCGATCCTCATGCGACAAGAACTAGTTATTAATACACTGTTCGCGGTCGCATGTGCAGTACCTCAGTCGTATGTTACTTCTGCTTCTTTGGATGGGTATTGAACTGACGTGTATAATAGCTGGCCATTTTGGATTCGTAAACTTGCCGCGCGGGTGTACCATAACGGAGGAGTCCATTCTGGAGCAGCGGTTTCCGGTACCATCTGGCTCATTCTTCTCGCCGTTCAAGCTACGAGAGAACTCGTAAACAACAAAGGAGTATGCCTTTATATCCATGCTTCGTATCTAGCGCCCTGATAATCTAATTCATTTTAGACTTCGGTCGCAACAGTCGTGCTCACGTACATTATTCTAGCATTCTTGACGAGCATCGTCATGTTCGCCCACCCCACTCTCCGTGTGAAGCATCATGACGCGTTCGAATGCGTTCATCGATTCATGGGATGGACTGCAACAGCACTGGTGTGGGCACAGGTGAGGGCATGTTATTATTTACTCTCGATCTCCTGTTAACGCGCTGGCGGTAGGTCATCTTACTCACGAACGATTACAAAGGCGAGAAGTCCCTTGGCAACGCTCTCATCCACTCGGCGCCCTTCTGGCTGATGATCGTTCTGAGTTGCTCACTAATCCTTCCGTGGGTGAAACTGCAAAAGGTCCCCGTTCGTAGCGTCGTCCTCCCCGACCATGCTGTGCAGTTGTTCGTTGACTATGGTAAGATTTCATTCCTTCATTGGGTCTCCTTGCCTGTTCTCAGCTGCCTTTCAAAGGCCCACACCCAGTTCCTGGGTCGTTCCAGCGCTTCTCTACGGATCCATTAAACGAATGGCACAGTTTCGCCACGATCGCGATCCCTGGAAAGACCGGGTTCTCCATTATCATCTCTCAGGCAGGCGACTGGTCGACGGAGATGATCACGAACCCGCCGAAAGATATTTGGGTACGAGGAATGCCGACATGTGGACTGTTACGGATCGTACCTCTCTTCCGAAGGGTGTTGTTTGTCGCTACTGGGAGCGGGATTGCACCGTTCACGCCTCACATCATGAGTGGGAAGGTCAACCATAAGCTGTTCTGGATGGCACCAAACACACGTGCCACGTTCAGCGATCCATTGGTTGATATGGTATTAGAGAATAGTCCTGGAGCGGTTGTTTATGGTGATTTTATTCCTATTATCGTGGTGTTCATCGTGCTTACCTCGCTTTTGCAGATACTCGGAAGCATGGGAAGCCGGATATCATTAAGCTCACTCATCGTCTAGTGGAGGAGTTCAAGCCGGAGTGTGTTTGCGTGATATCGAACCAGAATTTGACGGAAAAGGTCATTTATGGTCTTAGGAGCCGGGGAATGCTTGCGTTCGGGGCTATATTTGATTCTTAGGCTATGATTTATGACTTCTTTCGGGTATCTGTATGTAATTATCTAGTCTTATGACTTGCAAGTCAGTCAAATAATGATCTGGTATCTTTTCAGCGGAGTGGTTTGACAGGTATCATCCAATGCATTTACGGCGAAGGTGATGGAATTTTCATTGAATAACGAAACCATGCCATTTTAGACCAAGTCGCCGACGTCTCTGGACGACAAATTTAAAAACGTATGGAAGATCCAGTAATCACGAAAAGAAAGACCTAGGATACTTTGCAACCGCCAAATCACGTCGGCCATGAGATCGGCACGGCACATTTTCGCTTCTTCGTCTCCTTTCTGGTCCACCAGCTTTCGGATGTAATATCCAGAGGCAATTCGAGATACAGAGGAGTCATTCGGGCTCTTGACATCGACGAATTTTGAACAGAGGTAGCATTCATTCTGTTGGAACTGAGAAAAGAAGTTCTGAGTTGCTTGTCTCTATCCTCTTCCCTTGTTGCTCAATGTTCTGTAGTAGTAGTCGTCATCGCAAGATCTACGAGCTCAAATCAACCACAGGGGCCCAGTCTATTCCCTGTCATGAAACGAAATCATCAAGGTCTTGCAGTTGTTCGTCAGCTCACTCCGGGTCACCTGGTCGACAAAGTCCGTATACGTTCGACTACTTTTCATAAAATGCATCTCTTCAATCCCGATAAAAGCACAGTTGAGGTGTTTTCCTCCTTTTTCCGAGCATACTGCGCGATGCCGCAGATTGCCCAGGGAACACCTGTTTCTATGGATATCTCATCACACCCGCTGGCACCTATCCGCACTCTCCTTGCCTCGTCAGAGAGAGTTCTTGTATTTTCGCACACTTTGAATATACTTCATTTATTCTCTCTCTCACAGTGCAGTACAATGTCCTCTGATTGCGCGGCCCTTAATAGAGAGTCTCTCAACACTAGAAGCGCGCTTCGACCCGGTACTATCACCCTTCCAGGTCGGTCACGCATCAACCTACCAGCCAGACCGGTCAAACCCCCTCCTGAACGGATTAACAATCCGCCTGCCCAGAGCCGCCTGATGTGAAACACTTGTCGAGGATCTCCGAGCAGGCAGTCTTGAGTGCTGACAAGCAGAAGCCCCGAGCTCGCTCGAAATTCTTTGTTCCAAGATCTCCGCCTGAAATTCTTCTTCCCGTCGTGGGCCTAATTTGCAGAGCCCTGCATGCTCGCGCAGGGATCGCTGACAAGAGATTTCAGCAGAAGTTCCTTACTAGCCTCGCCGGCAATCCGTTGTTCCTGAATGGCCACCTGCAATCCTCGTGGCTCTAAATTTGAAGTTTCAATTTGTATCCGCGGATGCTTTCTTCAAACCGTGTCTGAAGAGAAGAAAATGGCTTCTCGACACCCGACTTGGAGATAATTTACAGTTAAGTTTACAGCCGCCAAAAATGATATGTTAGTATCTGTTCTTGAACTTTGTATTATGGGAATTGAGCTTACGTGTGTTTCTTCCAGGAATACAACAGGATCGGGTCCACCAGGCCACGCCCTCGAGATCGTACCTCCTCACCAAATGGTGATCTCATCAGCAGAGCGCGCCAGACGTCGTGAGGTTCCGGGGTTGTTCCGAACCAGCTAGGCCGAAGAGCCGGTAGGTTCACCCACCACGACATCACCTGGTCGATATGGCTGAACCTTTCACAACGTCCTTGCCAAGCCTCACATGAGACTGCCGATCCTGACTGTCTGCCAGAATACTCATCCCACCCCTGTAGAACCAGCGACATGCTTACGCATGGCGAAAGAACGTGTGGTCGCGGGTGTCCACGCTTCGTGTGTCTACATACCCTCCTGGTATCGTACAGCCTCTCACAGTTTTGATTTTTGGTTGACTGGTTTGATCGGTCTGAGTCATGCTCAACCAGACTACTACCACCGCCAGGCTATGTTCTCCGACGCCCCACATCATAGATCTGTCTACGGCTACTACGATGAGCTCGTAGAAGCCGAAAAACCATCCTACCAAGACACACAGACTACCATCGCTACCGCGCATTGGGTCCAGGAGGAGTTGAAGGAGCTGCATCAGGAAACAGCGTCGTTGACGTTGCATTATTGGTTTTCTGTGATAGGCGATACATTCCTCTGCCAGTACAGCACGAACGCCAAAGTCTCTACCACCGCGCCCCATTCCATCCGCTATTGCCCTCCGCAATGTCGCAAGTGAATGGAAATACAATTGTAGAGCAGCTCGCTTATCTAGAATATTATCCCATCTGGAATCTGTATCCTTAGCAGACCACGATTCTAAACTGTAATTACTGCTCAGCCCGTATGCATAAATACCAGCGTCAAATCAAGGACGTATGGCGAAGAATACAAACCAAGGTCCCCACGAAACGGCGGATCGTAATCGCAGACTTGCTCCTGAGCAGCAGCATTCATGGTCCGTGTTACACCCAGGCGTTACGAGATACAATATTGGGCGCATAGATTTATTAAGATGTCGTCAACGATGCCTATATCAAGGCAATCAACGTTTTTACAGCCATATCCTGAAGAATAGACTTGGCACGAAAATGGTCGACCAGAGCCCCCCGGAAGGAAGATTTTGCTGGGACATCGTATACGGACTCACTGGCTCTGTGGCAACTTTGGGCGAGATCCTAGCTCTTCGAGAGCGTACCAACGGATATCCTCTATGACTACCTCAAATATGAGCGAAGATAGCTGATAAACCAGATTCAACCAACCAATATCACCGTTTGGTGAGGAGGTACGATCTCGAGGGCGTGGGTTTAGGCCCGGTGAACCAGATCCTGTTGTATTCCTGGAAGAAACACAAGTAAGTTCAATTCCTATAATACAAAGTTCAAGAACAGATACTAACATATCACAGTGAGACCTGCCGCTTGGGGGGGGGTTTGTTGAAGTCGCTCAGGTTTAGATGTGGAGAGAGGAGGGAGGTTTTATTACTCGACATGCCCGCTCCTGAGAAGAAATGCGTCGCGGTCCACACTGTACCACCACCCCAAACAGACTACCCCGCATGTTGGTCGTGGATTTCATCGTTTCATCCAAAGCCTTCTGAATGCGATAGCGTTCCATCCCTTTGGAACGAAAAGTTAGGATCGAGCAAGGAGAACACTTACTGTGTAAACTGGGAGAAAGCGGCGGAGGTTGACCGCAAACCCTAGCGAAGTCAGGGACCATGTCGCGAAGCGTATTCTTCTCTCTATATCATCTCAACACTATCCTCAATGGCGGTCTGAAACAACGAATCTGCGGAAGCAAATAGGTTCAGGTCCTAAAGAGGAATTCACCGCTCGCTCTCTTTCAAATTCAGGGCTGCAAAAATTGTGTCACAGCTGCAGGTAGCAATTTAAGAAGAGAGGGCAGGAGAGCCTTGAACTCTAGAAAGTATGTGCCGCTAACACATCTTATCAGCACATCACATTGTCCCAGGATGTCAGGGATGCGAGACTTCAGATTACATGTTAGCTGCATTATGATGCTACCTTAACAAAAAATAGCACTCACCCTTATTTGAATCGACTGTGTCTATGTTGATGGCCATCGTGAGATTCGTCATGTCTAAACTTGACGTTAGGTCCATTTTTCTTCGAAAAGAGGAGGGACACACTGAGTTGATTACAACCGTCATCTGCTCTTCATCAAGGTTGACCATCGGTTGAACAGAGAGACATAGAGAAGGAAGTAGCATCTGGGACCACAGGAGCACGAACTCAACCGTATAGGTGAGTGGCACTGAAGAAAGGAGGGAGCAGCCGTCGCTGCTTTCTACTGGAACATTCCAAGAAGTTCGTATCTCTTATGGGGGCGACATTCTAATACATTGTCCTCGTATGTTCAGATACCTTCTGGGACTGAGTTTAGAGTTTTGATCTGTCTCCGTAGTCATACCGCAATCTGCTCCAAGTTAGCTTGGACGCTTGTCCATGACACACTGTGCCATCCCTAAGATTTTGCAAATCGTTAGATAATTACAGCTTCGACAGATAGCATGCCACCTGGAACAAACTGTCTGGGTGAAAATCCCTCACTTTTTAGAGAGATGCCAAGATGTAGTTCATGCTTCAGGGGATCAACGCAAAGCAGGTAGCACTGTCCATAATAAAACCAGCGAATAGTACAAATCCCTCTAAATATATGCGCTGGAGAGAAATTAGCGGAAAGAAACCCAGGAAAATAGATGACACGTACAATAGATTACAACAATAAAGATTGGTTGAATATCTGAGCAACGGAATCGGAGAAGGTATGCGGGAGTAATGAATACTACTCACTACTTCCACCTCCCCGTCACGTATTGCCAATACAACAAAAGGCTAACGCCCAGACTATCAAACCACCATAAAAAGAGTCCACCGACCAAGGCCGCCATTCCCCTGCAGTGGTTATGGGCCATACAAGCCCAGAAGGCACGTCCACTGCCGCACTCTGGATGGATGTGTCTTCATAGTCTTGTAGGTATGTGCGCAAAGATGAACAGCGTGTAGTTTCCGTCAAATTGTGCCAACCTCGTGCCCCAGTTCAATAAAGAAGCTCGAGACAGTACACTTGACACTGAGATAGACGACGAGGTGGAACAGGCCGAACGTCTTGCTTTACGAACAAAGAAGGCTAGATGAACCAGAAACATTTATGGATTCTAGCCGACACTAGTTCATCGCTTTGTAGGGAAGGGTCCTATCGTGGCTTCAAATTCAATATCAGCCTATTCATGGTCCTTCTTGATCTATACAAGTTCGCGTTTTCGCGGATGTATCGCTGTGAAGTAGTATAAGAGATCTTCATCGTGATCGTTTACGAATCAGTTACCTTAACTACTGGCAGTTTATTAATTTTACTGCGATTCTGGGGTTACAGCCAACTGGTGCCCGTGTTGCCAGTGCGTTCAGTCCAAGATGGTATCACGCGCAAGGGTATAGATTGCACAAGGGTAAACTTCAAAGAGCAACCAAAGAGTTAAGCCAAGAACAGGAGCTGTTGTAAGGCGAAGAAAGAAAAAGCGGAGACACAAGCGGGGTCGACGGGATAAGAAGCCGGGCCCGATAAGACGAGATGTGAATTGGAAATTACGCTACCTTGGCAACCAAGGAGTTATCACAACGCCCGGCGCCCCTGTTTTTCAGCATTTTCTCTTTTATTTCTCCACAGAGCGACTAGACCTGAAATTTTTCGTTCTTTTATTCTTTTACTGATAATGGCAGATATTCCACCCACCAGTCCTTCAAATTTTAGCTCCAACCAGTCCATCGGGAAACACGATGGTCATGCAGAGGGGAATCTCAACTGCATTGCCATGTACGCACGTCTTCTATGTCGAAAAATGCGCCACTGATTTTCCTTTCGTTCAGGCGTCATGGATGGTCTCGTTCTTTTTCTTTACCACCAACAGAGGTGTCCTCTATGTCTTACGATTCCCTTTCGCGCGCTTTGGAAATCCATACCCTTAATCTACGCCCCATGTCGGTTCGTATATACGTCGAGCATCCAGCCTCGTCAGGAAACTGGTGTAAAATTCGCCCCTTCAAGCTCGACGGATCGTTGCAGAGCGTCCTAGTCCGGACTTTCTTCGAGGAAAGGCTCCGGGAGGGCGTTGTCACGACGATAGATATCCGCGACGGAGTCGATAGGAAAGAGGAAACCGACGGGAAGAGTCTCCGTAGTGTGGGAAGCAGAATACTGCACCCACAAAGAGAGAAGACGGAGACGAAGCAAGGTGGTGGCTGGCTTAATGATTTAATTAGTCGCGTCAAGTCCGTGACAACGCCACCTAACAAGGAGCTCAGGGATGTCAACACTGACGAAGCAGAGGAGCTCCGCCCACGCGACGCAGGTGAGGGTGACGCCTCGAACAAAGTACGTTAGGTGCGCTCATGCTCTATTCGAGTAAAGAAAAACTGACGCTAAATCTCCTATTTCAGCGTTCGATCTTTAAGACTGGCATCCTTTCCTACTTCCTTCCGCCCGCGTCTGTTCCTCGAGCCCATAATCCTCCCCCGGAACTGGCGCAGGACCAAGAAGTGGAACAGATGCGTAATCGTGGGTGGCTCCCGCCTGGCGTGAAGAGACAATTCTCTTTTCGGCAGCGTTTGTCCACGAGAAAGGAGAAAATTCCAAATCCCTTTCTTGGAGGCAAGCATGCCAAGAAGCAGCAAGAAGACGAGAATCCTTTCGTTGATCCAAACCCTAGCGGAGCTGATGAAGAGGAGGAGGAAGGGGAGGTTGATGATTTTTTCGAACTCGAGCGGCCCGATAATGCGGATGCTACTGGAGTGGAGATGGATAAGCCAAACGGCAGGGTAACTCTATTTATCTTCGGTGCAGTTCTGTCTTATCCATCAGGAATTCCAGGCATGGTCAAGATTTAATCCAAAGCGAAGCCGAAGTAAAGGTAAAGGTAAGGGAAAGGCAGTGGAACAACCACGGAAGTCGCCTACCCCCCCTCCGAAGGATGATGATGTAGAGTAAGCCTTATTTGTTGTCATGGTGTTACGAACTACTACGATTTTCCCTTGATATCTTTCCTTTATCCGCCTAAATTTCTTATTACGGTGCTGTTGATCCCCTGCACTTTATTTTACTGACATTTTCCGTTGTGGTATATTATTCCCGTTATTTTACAAGTTACGTTACTATGTTCAAGTTGATTATGGAAATATCGTTCACTTTATGTCGGCGCGATCGACGCGTGGGAACTTGAACAAAGCAAAGCAACTCGTAATGCCACGTGCCTCACTGTCTTTTCCTCGTCGTTCCTCGAAGCTCTGAAATCTACTTCCTTCCTTCTACACGTCAGACTCTGGTTATTGGAAGTCTATCCACAAAACAGAACTTTCTGAATCTCTTGATAATTCTTCGCGTTGGTAAGGCTTTTATCTCACTGTAACGCGTTAACGCGTCGCCAAGCACCTGAGCTTATCGATCGACAGTTTACTTTGATCGAGAGTGTAAATATTTCAACATTCTCATGAGATGGCAGGTCGCGCGCACCCTTACCATCCCTATGAACCGGATTCAATTTCAGGACACGTTCGCTATGTGCACTCTTTGCAGCGAGCAGAGGCTTCTAAAACAGCCCGAAAACAAGCCAATGGTCTGCCAGTGAACCGTAATATAAATCAAACCCGACAACCTGAACAAGCTGCTGTCAAATTCGCACGAAAAACGAATCAAGTTAGTTCGTTCCTTGTTCGAATACCGCAAACGGACTGAAATTGTTATTAGATGGGAAGAATGCCTATTCCTGGGTCTTCTGGCGATAGAGCCCCGTCAGGTAGGCTTTTCTCTGTGTTTGACGTTTTCATCGTCACTGATCAATGTTGACCAGTCGCTCGAAAGGCATCCTCCTCCGCGTTTCCTAGGCCTGACGAGACGCCGTGGCGCATGAGACACGAAGTCCATAGAAAACTCCCCTCATCCCTAGTCCCCCCAATCGAATCTCATATACCCGAGAACCATGTTGCTAGGAAGCAACCTACCACGGCACCTGAACGGTGGGTTATTCAGGATGAAGAAAGGATAGCTAGAGCGGCTGTAAAGTCAACGCTTCAACGACGGTCTATCATCACTCCGTCCCGAAAGCAGACCTTTGTGACACATCATTCAGTCAAGAAAAAGGATCGAGAGGTGTTCTTTCTCAACGCCGATATGGATATCGTTAGCACTCGTAACCCCACTCAACGCCTTGCGTACGTAGTTTCATTTCACCTCCCTTTCATATGAAGAGGCTGACAGCATGTCATACACAGAACGAAGGCTGCGCGCAAAAACGACGTAGTTGAGATACCTTCTGATAGTGAGGAAGATGAAGCCAAATCCCTAGGTTCTGACTCCGAGTCTACACCATCTGAATCAAGTCCAGAATCCGATGTAGAACTGACACCAACTAGCGACGACGAACTGGAATATGTAGACAACAACCAGGAACAAGATAAAGAGACACATTCCATACCCGAGCCTGAGTTGCTCGAAGCCATCCGAGCGCACTATTTTACGACCCTCCGGATGCAGGATACGTCGAGATTGCCTTTCATGCGTAGGAATCTCCGAAGAGGCTTCCGGAATCAATGCCATCTGCGTGGATATGGCCTACAGCGGCCGTCAGGCAAACCGCACATCACCCTAGTGTACGATTGTCCTTCAGTTGAGAGGACCTGCACAACGCACGTAACGGACTGGCTCTGTCCAGTCTGTGAGCTTCACGGCACGTTTGATAATCAGGAGCAGTTGGCTTGTCATTTGACTTGGGACCATCCTGAGTTGGAAATCAGATGGGAGAGGGAGTTCAGTCTTAGTAGTGTTCAGGTAACACGACCTTTTGAGTTTGTTTGATTTCTCTGTGCTCAGCTCTGGTTTTTGGTAGCGTGTAGGGCCACGATGGAGATTGGAGGTAACGATACCGGCTATACCCGCGCCAACGTATGTCCCGTTTTTCTTGAAAGGATTCTCATTTTGATATGTGGGTTTGGCAAGGCCTCCGCCCGCAGAATATCCCCCAGATGATGCTAGTGAGAACGGGCACCCCTTAGAAGAGACTCGTGAGCCCGAGTACGACCATTTTCTATTCAAAAACAAAAGGAAATCTAACATTGAACAGAGTCCAGCACGAACGTGATCTGCACGCTGAGCTTCGCCCTGAACCTTCCTCGGAAGATGAAATTCTACTCAGGCCAGCTGTTGGGCATCCCCCTACACCTCAAGCCAAGCCCATAGCAACGCCAGTCTCTCTTCGGTGCGTCGAAAAGCTACAGTATAATGCATTCATTAATTTTATATCACCAGGTCCGTGACACCAGCCTTTACACCCCAGAAGATGAAGATGTTCCAACCCATTTTCCGTCCAACGCCCACTCCCAGTGCGATCCCTAGAGTCGCAAAGCGCGCTGACAGATCATGCACTCCGCCACCACCTGACCGGATGCTGGGCCCCGCCGCCCAGCCTCCGTACCTTCCGGATGACCTGTATTCGTGCCGTCCCGGGGGTCCTCGCGTGTTCGACCTGCTCCAGATGCTTGACATGCGGCCGTTTGGCGTCCTGGCTTGGACTGTCATCGAAAGAGAAGATGAGATCTTTGACAGCGATGATATTAAAGATGAACACAAGGTGATGCATGCTTTATGGGCGAGGTGGATCCTTCTAAATCGGTATAGTGCTAATTCGGGGGGTTTTTTTTTTTTGGCAAGCGTCGTGCTAATGGTCATATAGGAGCAAGTTTATAGCGAATTATTGTCGGGGTATAACTGAGTTTGTGGACCAGTATTGGCTGATGATACATAAAGCAGCGGGATGGAAGGCGTTGAGGTTTTGGCTTATGGTATGTTGTGTTTTGGGGGCGTTTGACTTGAGGCTGATCGTCCGTTTACTTATAGACCATGTTGGCGAATAGATATCTTAAGGGTGAGGAGGTCGCGAGCGTGCTAAAGTATTATGAAGCTAAAACTCAGATGGATCTATGGTATGATGAATGATTGTATATTCTGCGTGTATCGAGCGAATGTACGGCCGCCTTGAGGGTTATTCATGATTCCATGTAGTGTCTAGGCTCCTGTTGGGAGGTCATGGGGAAGGATGAATGCATGCTAAAAAATCTAGTTAAACTTATATAGAACTTCCATAGAGGCTTTATAGAAAGCATCTCTACTATGGTCTCCAGTACCGCTCGATTAGGAGACACCCCAAACCACCAAACGATTCTGCAGAGGTGCCCCAAGCTCATCGTCGATCGCGCCAATCACGATCGATCTTGTTTTCCAACTTGCTTCCGCGGAAATATTGAGGAAGTAAATACAATCTTAACCGTGCAGATTTGGGCTGAGAGGTCAGACCAAAAATGAGTCTGACATGGAGCACGTAGATGTCATATTGTTGAAAAAAAAAATTGAAAATACCATGGTACATGAGGCCAACGCATGACTTTGCGGAGATGCTCGTGTGCGAGTTAATCTCCTCCGTTGCATCCGACTAGCAACCGGAAACATTGGGACATGTCAGGCAGCTGCAAAGCGTTTTACACGTGTCTGTCATTGAGAAATGCTAAATGTCATGTTGTAATCGAATGTCATTTTTCGTGAGGATAAAGGGGTATCTGTAAGTCGTAACATAACACGATCCACGGAGAGCTAATACTTAAGAATGAATCAGTCCTGCTTGTGCCAAGATACAGGCGCCGAGACCCTTACCAATGAGATCCCAAACTAACCAACCAGAGATCCTGCAATCGATTTCAAAATCCGGGTCGACACCATCAATGAAAATACAGGGTTAATATCGCCCGGCTCCATAGATATCTGCTCTCCGCGTGTAAAGGTGCATACGACCTGGCATGAGATCGACGACTCACGGAGGACCCGACGGATCACATCTCATCTACTTAAAGACTCCATCTTGACATGGACACCATTCTTCTGGAGAGCAGGGAGCCCTTTTCGCACCCAGTCGTCAACATGATCATTCACTTGGCCCCAGATACTGAGCTCGATCCTAACCGATTTGAGATAAGACATGCGCGGTTGCGTTAAAACCTCATCTAAATCCCCCCAGTCGAGCCACTCCGATACATTACCCGAATTTCCCGTACTGTAGAGGTCCGCCTTAATCAGGACTTGCTCCATATGATTATCCGGGGCAATTGTCTCAAGCATCCTGGATAAGTACGTCCAATACGAATTGTCCATCGTGTAGACGGTGGTGATGAACTGTACGACTTTCAGGTTCTGGCAATGCGTCAATTGGAAGACCTCTGGTATGTCCCCGACTACGCAACCGACGTTAATGGTGTGTCTAATCTGAATTAAATGGACACACAATATATGTTTTCCTCGACAACCAACTTTTCGATATTGTTTCCCACGGTCAGAAACAGCTTCGTCGCAGCAGGTCTTATCTCTGGAGAGAAGTTTCCCGGCACCTTGAGCGTCAGATCCCTGACATCACAGACATCGATAGCGACATATGGACTAAGCATATAATTGATGAGGCAGTCGCTCAGCCGGACCGACAATGAATGAGGCTGCGGCCGCGTATGTGGCGGCGAAACTGGCGGCCTGATAACACACTCGGGAATGGCATGCCAAAATAACGGTAAAGCCAAACTCTTCACAGGCGACCCCGCAAGGAGATCAAACAGACCCTGGCACGAATTAATGACGATCCCCGACAATTCGATAGAAACCATATCCTTCGACGAAAACGCGCCAAGCAGGGCGCACTTCAACTCGGCTGTGGCCTTGCGCCAGTGGAATACGTGCGTAAAGTCATGGTTCTGGTAATGGTAGCCCTCGCTGGTCAGGGAGATATGCCGCAGGTGAGGCGAGAGCAGCTGGATCGTTGCAGGGAGGCGCTCGCTCGAGGCGATCCAGGTGTCGTCGAGGTGGTGCCTGGGGTCTTTAGGAATGGGATCCACGATTTCCAACCTGCGCACAAGGGACGCGACATCTGGGAAGGCTGTCAGGATGTCGTCGTACAGACGACGACAGGTCGCAGCGTTCGATAGGACGATTGATGAGAATAAGAGGGACCTGCTGCGAGCTCTGAAGGCCCGGCATACCGCTACGCAGCAGCCCAGGGTTGGCTTATCGTCCCATATGTAGTCGACGATGGCATCGATGAGTTCTTGAGGGAGGCTGGCCGCCATGGATGTGATGGTCAATGACCTGGCTCTGTTTGGACCTGTCTGCCTCAGAAGCTACTGTTGTTCGGTTCCAGGACCTACATGGACCCATAGCTGATCCAACACCATATCTGTCAAAGATTTTGTATTGATGTAAATGATACAATCCAATCGTACTTGTAAATAGCCCAAAGTTATGATTAATCCAAAGTTATAATAACACACATGAAAGCATCATGGATTCTCTAATGAATATGGTGGTAATGATGAAGTAGAAGACGAAGGCGACAAAGGACTGAATGCAAGCCCCTTCAACAACTTTGGTACCAGTTGAGCAGAACGCTCACTGTTCGGTCCAGGCGTCACAGGTCGCGAGCTCACTGGCGTGTTAGCCTGTGATCGATTGTGAGCGAGGTGGGCGCGAACGAGGTGGCCAGCTGCGAGCGCGCTCAAGAGGGAGAGTTCGCCAGCCATGACAGAAGCAGCAATGATCCGGGCGAGGGTTTGAGCATTCTGACCGGGGTTAGTCGGGTGAGCGCCCTTGACACCGAGCATTTCAAGAACAGCTTGTTGAGGCGCCAGAACGGTGCCTCCACCAACGGTTCCCACCTCGATGCAGGGCATAGATACGGTCATAAGTAGATCTTGACCATTGTTAGTCCTAAACATGTTGTTAGCATACAAGAATGAACCATAAAAAAAAAAGGTAGACACTCACGGTTCCATGAGAGTCATGCAATTCGAGCTCTCCACATTCTGCGCTGGATCCTGTCCAGTAGCCAAAAATATTGCAGTTAGAATATTCGCCGCATGGGCATTAAATCCACCAATCGAACCCGCCATCGCGCTCCCAATCAAGTTCTTCTTCGTGTTTAAATTACACAAAGCTTCAACCGTAGTTTTGAGCACGCTCTGCACGATCTTTCCGGGTATAATAGCCTCCGCGACCACACTCTTGCCACGACCTTCAATCCAATTGATAGCAGCTGCCTTCTTGTCCGTGCAGTAGTTGCCTGACAACGCCAGAACGACCATCTCCGGGAAGCGCTTCTGCATAACCTCCAACCCCTTCTCGGTGCCCTTGGATATCATGTTCATACCCATGGCATCGCCTGTGGCGGTCATGAACCGCACATACAACGTCCGGCCGGCCAAAGCGGTCTTAAGGCTCCTGAGCTTGGCAAAGCGGGACGTAGACTCGAAGGCTTCCTTGATAGTAGCGAATCCCTTCGGTGAATCGATCCAGAGTTTGGCTTCGGCAGCGTTAACGATGGAGGGGAAATCGATTGCAGGACCACGAGTCATGCCGTCTTGCGTGAGCACGGTAGTGACACCTCCACCAGCATTGAGAGCCTTCGCACCGCGCGAAGTCGATGCAACAAGAGTGCCTTCCGCCGTAGCCATAGGAATGGGAGTCAGGACGCCGTCAACCTTGAGTGGACCGGCGATACCCAGCGGAAGCGGGATGTATCCAACGACATTCTCACAACATGCCCCAATGACGCGAGACCAATCGTAGTTGGTCATCGGGATGTCAGAGGTCTCCAATGTCTGAATCCTTGACGATCGCGCTGGTGGTTTATAGTTAGAAAACAGCAGTACGCGATGAATGAACGGTGAATAGACGTACAGATCAAAGCCCGACGAATCCGGACCGCCCTTTCCAGCTCCTCGCTGCCGAGAACCTTCTCCAAAGCGTACGCCGCTATCTTGCCATTCTGGGCCAGCAGGATGATCTCCTCATCATTGAGCAATGACAAGGATAGACTTAAAGGGCGTGGGCCATTGTCGAAAATCTCAATGCATTCCTCAAGGGGTCGAACGAAGAAGTCACCGGCTGAAGAATCGTCACTGTCAGATGACTGAGGCGAATCAATGAGAGGGGAAGTCGGTGGGGAAGGCACCGTCAAGTTACGAGCTTTCAGGATCCTGTCAACATCATCGAGCGTGAAGGTAGCTGTTGGGCGAGGGCGGGGCGTGGGCGCCGCAGGTTTGATTGAGACCTCATGTGTTTCCGCAACCTTGCCCTCGCTGTCCTCGCTGGTAAACCTAACACCCCCACTTCGCGACGCAGGACCCTTCCCAGCCAAACCGGCACCAATCGCTTTAAGCAGGTATCCATTTAGGCTGATGCTTAAGGCTAACACAACAACGATCCACTTGGACAGCAGCGGATCGCCAACGAGGCGCGACCAGGACGACATGAAGCTCTCTACCATTTCTGAGGTTGTCCGATGAACAATCGGGGCATCGGGCGTCGGGAGCACGGCGGCGAGAAGTTGAGCAGGGGGGATCAACCGAACATGAACTGGCGGATAGACTTTGACCCAGACGCTAGTTTCCTCATCAACATAGACGTTGTCGACTTGTTCAGCATCGACCAAAGCACCCAAAGCGTGACGTATCTCCGGAGTGGTGATGTCGACTTTCCTCACGGAAGTAGGAACGGTGTGCGTGCTGACTCTGGTCGGCGCCAATGGAGCGCAGAGATTGAGGATGTGAAGCGTAAGGAAAGTAGCAATCTATCAAGATAAGAGATGAGTGAAACATCCAGGCAGGAAAAAAAAAGAGACTCACAAGAAGGGGCTTTAACCGTGCAACGGGGCTATCGGCTTGTTTCTCCTCTTTCTTGCCACGCGCTGAACCCTTGACACCGAGAAGCATGGAAGAGACTCGCTGAGCCAAACCTGGGCGCTTCCCGGCAGAAGCGGTTTTCGGTGTCCCATCAGCCATGACGACAGAGGGCGATTTGGAAGTTGACAAAGCGCGAACAGTCCTTATCCGGTGGACCTAAGGGAGGTAAAACAATAGGATAAGTAAATGTGTGAAGGTTGGAAGACAATAGGCCAGAAAAGGAAAACGATCTCACCTCAATCATGATGCACAATATCGAAGCCAGGAAAGTGCACAAGAGGAGACAGTCCAAGCCCAGGATGAGCGCTGCTAGGGCGCAGACCTCGCGAAGGCCGCTGACTCGACTGTAAGCGCCGACGACGAGCACGGCTATCTCGAGTATGTAATCCCGGATGATGGGATAGTAGACCTTCGTGAGAGATTCAAGGATCACTTCTCCGGATGGTTTCAACTGGCCGCCAGAGCTGGCGCCTCCAACGGGGCTCGTAAGATGTGGGTGCCTGAACACAGCACGGGCCAGGCGAATGGGCTTGTCAAAGCCGACCGTACAGACAAGGAATGGAAGAGCTTCCGATAGGGCGACAGGGTCCATGGGGATGCGAAGCCACATTGCTATCGGAAGAGAAAGAAGAAGGGCGAGAACGGACGAAGAAACAATGCCGGATGGCAACCAGAAGCTTGATCCAAGTTGACGGGAGCGTGAAACAAGTATGAGGAACGTTGCGTGCATTAGGACATAGCCAATGAGGATCAGAATGATGTCCAACGAGTCGGCCTTCTGCAGCAATGTTCATCAAAGAAAGTAGAGCCGTAGGGGAGTAGACGAACCTTTGCAAGGTCCCAGAATCGCATGACAAACGCGCGCGCAGCATACGCGACCCATTTGCTGCTTTTCATGTCTCCAATGGTCTCTTGCTCTCGTGTTTCCAACTCAAAACGGACTCCATACTCGTCAACGGTCGACTTTGCAAAGCGCGAAAAAGCATTCATGAACTCCTCCTTAGCCCCGGGAGTAAACGACAATGTCTGAGTAAACGAGCGTAAAGACGAGGTGATCGCAGAGAAGCATGTCGGAGCATCGGAAGGGGAGCTGTTTGTCGCTGAAATGGATGAACGATGACACAAAGAGCCGTACTTGCGCCCGGAAGAAGTTGGCAGGGCTTCATAAGTAAATTTCGACATGTTGTACACGGAATCGGCCAGGGGTGACATATCAAGCGAGATGGAGCCTGGAACGGCCTGTAATAACAGGGTCATGGACGGTGTTTGCCTCGGAAAAAAAAAGCACACGCACGTCTTTGCTCTTCTGTACTGAGTCGAGAGAAAACACGATCTGTTGGAGCTCGACGGGGATTATGGAACTGTCCGCGGCAGATTTCGCATGGTACCAGGCATGTTCCCGGACGTTGACCCATTCTTGCTGAGTGTAGCGAGCATGCGACGGACGAAGGGTGATTGGATTCGTCGGCGCGAAGAAAGCCGAGTGCTTGATGGCGGAGAGAACATGAAAGTAGGCGAGAGTACCGACAATAGAGAAGAAAACAATCGTTTCGATGGGAGAATAGGCTGCATGAATAACGAATGGCCTCAGTATGGCGCGCATTTTGGGTAAATTACACGGGTCGTTCTATATGTTGAAAATATATATCTGAACGGCCGCAGTGTTAACGATGGTAAGCAAGACAGCAAAGAAATACTCACTATAGATGACACAGATAAAAAAAAATGGCGGTACTGAGAGGCCCTCCCAGGCGAAATAGAGGGAAGAGAGAAGAGCAGTGAGCAAGAGACCGGATAGCAGTAGAGGGCGGTGGTACGATCAGGCAAACTTTTATGGAATATTTGACTGTATAGGGACCCCGATCACCTACGGACCTCCCTACAAAATGTATCCCCATGGAGGACCCGGTGCGTCCCTGAGCGGATGCAAGCTGCCTGCTGCAACGAATTTTGTCTCAGATACTGTCATCCATCTCCATCCATTCTCCGTATTTTATGCTGAAACGTTGCGTTGTTCATTGTTGCGTTGACTCTTGTCTTTGATTTTTGTTTTACCTTCTGAGACAGCATTGCAGGCAATTTGAAGTTCTCCCTATTTATTGTCAATTGTTTCCTGGATGCAGGTGCACGTACTGTATTCCTGTAAACTTTATTAATCGTGCCTGCATGTTCAAGGAGACTAAAGATTAAACCATCTTCCAGATGCTAACATATCTCCGATAACATCGATCGTTCAAACATTCACTTATCATCCCGCCTTCGCTTTCGGATTGGTTATTCCTAAGTTACTGCCTCTTTGAGCTCCTTTGGCTATTAAACCCAGGGCGCAACCGCGCCGGTCTGTACCACATTTACTCTGATCCGCTCGATAAAGGTAGTCCAAATGTCTCTCAGGATTGCCATGGATTTTCGTGCTCTCGTACCTAAGCTCCGAGTCTTGTGAGGTTTCTCGTCTCAAAAATAGATATCGTCTCAACCTCAAGCTCGATGCTCCAACGGAAAAACCGTATATCAATGATTCGGAGTGCATCGCATTGTCACTGCCATTTGGGGTGGTATGAGCGCGCATCCACTCTACTCGGGACCTGGAGCAGCTGTGGGTCCTAAGTATCTTACGGGCTTATCATTTGGTCATAGTGCTTTTTGGCTTCCATCCTGTCTACCGTGAATTTCCTTGAGTTGTAGCCATGGGAGAAAACGTGCAGGTACAGGAACTGGAGCGAGGGTCGACGGAAAAATACCTTCAATTGCGATCAACGACTGTGCATGCACTCGTGTGACTCTGCATATCATATCTAGACAGACGGTGAATGTGTGTAGTCTCGACTAGTCGTCTCCATAATGTGTTGGAATGATGAGCCACATATTTCACGTTCGTATCACCACGGGATATCAGCGCGAGGCAACTCTTTGCGGGTCCATCTTCTGTGCATGTGAACGATATTCTGGGTCCGTATCTTTCGGTAGCACTTCGTGAGACCCATGGCCACACCGACAATGCATAAAATGTTCATCCTCGACTCTGGACATTGTGTCAGATGCTCATACAAGTATGCGTACGGCGGATAGAAATGGCTTCCCTCCGTAACATTCGGCTGGATCTACGTTCAAGATTGTCGGTATATGCACTCGTGCGACTCAAACAGACGGCTGGTGAGATAACGATTGTTAAGATCCCAATTGCTGAGTACGCAACGATCCGCCTCCGCAACATACGGAGGATGTACCGGATTGGCTAATTGTCGTTTCCGTCCGTAAAACAAGGATGTATTCAGGACTTCACAATGGCTACTTATTTTCGGGTGACCCGTACAACTGGGAAGGTTTAATATATGAAAGAAGGATGGTTTTTGATGCTGCTTCATTATAAGCTCGGCTCTGCGCGCCGATACTCAATACCAGCGTCCCAGATACGTTATTTCAATGAACGCATTTGACTGAAGGCGCTTATTGGTCTGCGCCCATCTCCATTTCCCATCGGCACTCACTTTAGTAACAGGATGAGAGGGACGGGGATAAAAGAAGCCTGAGGACCACTGAAACCGCGAATTGTTACCGCTTATTGAGTGCAGATGTACACCACTGTATCGGAGAGTGATAAAGTTCAGACAGTAATACTTGGTGTCAAGTTCAACTTCCAATGCTGGACGTACCGATTCACCGCAGTCCACCTTCCATTCCCGCGGCAGGCAGTATATTTGAGTCAGTTAGTGCGGTACTGATCACCTGCAGAGTCCATGGGAACCATCTCTACAAGAAAGTGGGACCATTTGGTGTAGCTCTAGTGATAGAGATCCATGACGCGGAAGGATCAGGAGATAGGGCGCTACAAGGCTCTATAGGACACTAACACTAATGGTAGAGGCGACCTTAGATATCAGAGGCGCATAAGCGGCATCGCCAGGGAGACGACTGCCCAGAGAAGTAGTAACTGGGTAACCAAACTATGAACGGGGCTAGCCCCATAGCCAGGCGGATGGATGGGACCAACATAGCTGATTGCCCTCCGCCGTACACATAGTGTAACGCTCTACAAAAAAAAAAAAAAGGAAAGGAAAGTGGGACTATAGGGCCAATTTTTGGTCGTACGACGTGTATGATGATCGAAGAGGACCTGTCAATTGCCGTCGGCATAGATAAGATGTCAGACACGTGGTTATCATCGGCCCGAATCGGGGCTTGAACCTAATTACTAAAACTATACAGTAACCGGCACCCGGCAACCGCCGAACAGCCGCACGGGACAGAATATACCAAGCCCCATCAATATCTTCGTCGTCGTCGCCAGCAAGATGGTCAACATTCCCAAGTGAGTCTAACATTTTCTCTTTATTTGTCTGGGAAATGCTGATTCAGTGCCTAGGACGCGGAGGACATGTGAGTAGCCCTTTATCGCAATATTGACCACCGGGATGCCAATGGAATTCGTGGAACAGACTGCAAGGGCAAAACATGCAAGAAACACACGTATGTGAACTTGGATGGTCTGAGATTTGCTGTGTGCTCAAACATTGCTTTAGGCCTCATAAGGTGACTCAGTACAAGAAGGGCAAGGATTCCCTCTTCGCACAGGGAAAGCGTCGTTACGACCGAAAGCAAAGTGGTTATGGTGGTCAGACCAAGCCCGTCTTCCACAAGAAGGTGCGCTTTCTCGGTCGATGACAGAGATAACATTTACGCTGTTGATCAGGCCAAAACGACGAAGAAGGTTGTGCTACGCCTGGAATGCACCGTGTGCAAGTACAAAATGCAACTAACTTTAAAGCGTTGCAAACAGTGCGTGGCTTCTTTACGTGCTTATCTATTGTATGTTAATAACAATTTGTTCTGCAGCTTCGAGCTTGGTGGTGAGAAGAAGACAAAGGGTGCTGCCCTCACTTTCGTACGTATCTGTTTTATGATTTACTTATTGTATTCTGACCTGCTTCATCGTTATAGTGAGTGTTCTGTTGTCGTTGTATTCTTTTTCCTGCATCTCCGCCTATCATACTGCTACGATGTAAGCGCAATATGAGATATGCTCTACATGATGCCTATCGCGTGAATTAAGGCTACTCAAAGTAATGCCATCAACTGATGCTCTTTTCTTGACGGTGACTTTTCCATACTTGCCTGCGCCATGGCTGTACAGGATGGTCTGGATGCTGTTATGGGAAGGGATGTGACTCGAGAAGTCGTTCGGCGCGGCGGCACGTGATGTATTCCCGTTATAAAGGTTCGAAGTGTGCTCAGGCGCTTGTCTTGCTTGCCTCGAACGACTTACCATGAGGCATAACTCGACTAACGACATCCTCCTCGTTGATGGCCTCAGTGGATATGATGACCATTTAGACTATCTCACTGGCCTCTTTGAGGAGCTGCAGCTATGTTGTGTCGAGGCAGCTAATTTTAATGATATCTTGGACTTCATAGGGAGCGCCCTTCATTTTGGGCTAATCGTCAGGCAGCAACAAGGGCCAGATCCTGCCGCTGAAATGAACCAGGTAGGGTTTCTAACCGTTACTGGAGCTGCCGAAGATCTGACTTATCATTAGGAGCCTGTGTTGTCCACTGACGTCGAGGACTCCAGTCTGTCTGTCGTACAGTCAGGTGATGTACAGTCAGGTGATGAGGTGGTGGTGGTGGTAAGTGGACTTGTACATTCACAATATCCTTATGGCTTACCTTCCGTATAGGCTCCCGTCAAGCAAAAGAAATCCCGAAGAAGGAAAAACAAAAAGTCGGGTAAGGCCAAACCTCAAGGGCTCAAAATCCAGCCAGCTGGCGAAGATAGTGTAAGTCAATCATCTAGGAGACGTATTGATGTTGTGCTAAGAAATCGCTTTTATAGAATAAGGCCAATCAGCCAACACGAAAGGTCTCTAACTCGGTCAGCGAGTCTAAAGAGACATTAGTTACCCACCCACTAATGTCCTTTGTATAGGACAACGGAGATCCTTGGGACACCGATGATTCCAAGTCCTCTGTAGCGACTCCCGGCGTCAATATTCCTCGTGTCTGTAAAGAAATACCAGAGGAGCGTAACGCATGGACCAAGAATTGGACGTCGAAGCCCAGGATTGAAACCGAAGACCTTAACAAAACCTTTAGTTCAAATATCCCTTCATCCTCGTTCCTCCCACAGGAAGAATCCGTCCTGGAACCGTTTCTGATTAACAGTTCGTATGCGGATTCGAATCTCCAGGCTGCTCCGCATGTTCCGAAAGAGCCGCTTGGATTCATATACCTCTTTTCCACACCTCATCATCAGTCTCTGAACGCGGTGGGTGAAGTCAAAGTCGGGTTGATCCTCCATGAGAAGTACCGAGGTTATGGGTATGCCCAACAGGCTCTGCAACTTGTCGTGGCATACGCGTTCGACGAGCTCAAATGTCATCGCATACAAGCTACGTTACTACAGACGCCGCTGAAGGCGCATGCAATGAAACTGTTCATGCGAGAGTAAGTTTCGTTCACGCCCCTCTCTACATCGTCTAATACATAAATCGTAGGCGATTCAGCTATGAAGGAACCCGCCGAAGTTATTTTTTCAGTCCGCTCGAGCAAGAGTGGAAGGATACGACTGCTATGGCGATACTCGACACAGAATGGGTCATCCGTTCATCGCTGTGTGGAGCACCACCGACGTTGTGGGATGAGATGTTCCTCCGGCATGAACGCGAACGGGACTCGCTTTTGCGATGGGAGCAAGGTAACAGGGAGGAGGAAAGGCGGCTGCTTAAACGGACGTCGAGCACGGAGACTATCCGGTACGGCGATGTGTATTCAAGCGACATGACTTCGCCGGAGGATGGAGATAGGAAAGGGAAAAGAAAAGCAGTCGATTTGGAGGACTTTAAGGATAATCAAGCTTACCTTTCCCCGACTGGAGAAGAGGATTTGGCATTCGATGACGGTAGTGATGATGATGACTCCGATGCGAAACGCCTGAAGTCCGGTGGGGAACATGACAGCGATCCCTCTCCTCTCACTTTCGGGCGTTCGACTACTTTTGCTTTGAGCGGTCTGGCACAGACGCTGACCTCTCCCTCGATACCCTCGCTGCCGTTATTCGGCCAAGACCATGATGGATACAGCAGCTCCTCTGAGAGCTCTTGGGATGCTATGGAGTCATCGAGCAATTCCTCCTTTGACAGTTTATCGGATGCACCTTGAAGTGAAAGATTTGCCTGTTCAGACTCAATGTTTAAAGTAAGTCGGGTTTTTCCATGATTATATACATATATTCTATGGTATCAGTGACTGTTGTACAGCAGGACGTACAGATATAACAATCGTTCGGCAGCGGCTCTTCATCACCGAGATGCCCGACGCTGGAGCTTTCCTTTGTTCAGATTGTATATAAGTTCCTCGTACGAGGTACTAAGAATGGAACGTTGAATGGCTGTCACTACCAACAATCTATCCGATAACGTATACCTATTGCGCCTCCAAGCGCAAGATAGGGGCAGGCAGGCAAGATGCTTTGGGCCATCACAGCTTGATTCGAGGACTGGGAACCCGTGATGAGATGGGATCTTTGACTTGCGACTATGTTCTTACACTCCATAATTAACTGCCTCGTTTCCGTCTTCAAGGTGGGTACGCAAGGCTCTTCATGACAACGATATAGCATATCAGCTTGGAAATCTCCTTCAGGAACAACTTCGAGGAGTTCGTGTGGAAATAAAATGCTTGAAAAGGCAGACTGGACGTTCCCTGTCGAGACTAGCAATAATTGAAGCCGAATCCTGAGACCATGATATGTCCTAAGTCTCAAAACAGGAAGCAACCATGGTGAAGCCAAGTCACTACTGGCTCACTATCAAAACCAAATACACGAGTTGTTTTCGCACAGGGATCCAGTTTACAATGCAGGCTTCGGCAGATGAATTCAGTCGCGACGAGGGAGCCCTCATGCTCAATTTTGATAGGCACGATGCAGTTGATTCCCATTCAATTCAACATCACGAAGCTCTAACTGAGGAAGTTCCGCTCATAACGTTGCTTACGCTGAAAGAAGTCAAAGCAAATGCCATGCTTCAAGTTATGGAATACCTCAGATCCGGAGTGCAGCGCGAATCTTGTCACTTGTGAGTCTGTATAATTGCTCGACATGACCCCACACTTGTCAGATATACCATTCCAAATAGATAGAACGATTCAATTCACTGAGGAATACAATTCTAAAGACTCCCACACTCTCGTCCTCATGTATAGTTACCCGTCTCTTCATCATCGTCGCAAGTGATGTCGATTTCCTTTCTATCTACTTATTTTCACAGCTACAAAGCGTCCATGATCTAGAGAATCGAACTAGCATCCACAGGAAGAAATGAGGTTACAAGGTACACGCGGAAAGCGCACGATATACATTAATTATGAAGTTCGTACAGAAAGGAAGAAAAGAAGGTTACAACGCCGATCACACAAGATTTATAATTAACAATCACGGTCCGTGCCTTCCGTCACCAACAGTACGCTCCTCAAGGCGCACCCAATATCCCAATATACAATATCCCAAGTCAAATATGAATGACGCGTTCACGAATGACGCTCTCGACGTCTATATGTACCCAAGCGTCCTCGGTCTCCTGAGACTGAGTCACCTTTCGTTTGAGAAATCCCAGGGGTGAAAGAGATGGTGAAGATGGACAAGAAGTTGGGGATGAAGTGGAAGGAGTCTTTCGGCCATATCCTGAGAAGTGTGAACGTGTCAGGGGGTTGGTGAGCGGTCTACGAGTGAGGGTTGACACGAGGGAAACGCTTGAATGATCTTCTCGTGGAGGAGAAGGGAGGAGGAGAAAAGGACGTGATATTTCGGGGTGTCCCGGAGCAGGTTGCGCAACTGGTGGGTTGACATGCATTAATGCCTGTGGCGTCTGAGGCTCTGACACCTCGATATAGTTTGAGGTTGAGGTGGTGGAAGTGGAGAAGCGAGAGTGCTGGAGATAAAATGTTGAAAATGAGAGCCATCGGAAGTGGAGTAGATTCTGACCAAGTACGGCTCGCATTCGGGATGTCCTAGTAGATTGCATGTATCGAAGAAACCTTCGTCTTCGTGCCATCCCAGTGGCTCTTGAGGAATGAAAGGGAGAGTGTAACGCTGAGACTCGGGATCCCAGATCGCGAGAAAAGTCAGCCTAGATGGAACGGGAGAAGGTCGATGTTCTTCCAGAGGCTAAATAACAAGACATCAGTAGATTATACATCTCACCAGCAGTCACAACCACTTACCTCAACGACCGTGTCTATGTCTGAAGGGGGGATGTAATGTGCTAGCGTAGGTGTGATGGTACATGTCGACGAACAGTCGACTTGATCATGATAACTATTAGATTTCTACGGCCCAAAGCTTTAGACGAACAAGAGCGAAGAGGGACAGTTGCGCGCCTTGGTGTTAATTCTAAGCAATAGAGTTTGAAATTTGGCCTTCATTGATGAACTCAGACCAGAAAAGAAGACAAGGAGCGAGAAGAATTGAAGAATTAGAGCGCAGTAATGAGAGTTCGCGATAAAAGTGCCCTTAAGCGCATTTATAGGGGAAGAAGGAAGAGGAAAGAGGGAAGAGGGACCAATTTCCAGCAAAGGCCAAAATGAATGAAGTGATAGGTAGGCGTTACGGGTATCCGGACCCTATTAGATTTTCAAGAAAGCTCGAGAAAAAGGGTACTAGTTAGGTGAAATCAATGAGAATCGTCGTTAAGATGGGTATCATGGGCATTGGCCACCTGATCTGGTTGCGTTACCGAGAAGATAAATGAAATTCTAGCAGCAGCCTAAAAAATGTATCCATTAACACAGAAGGGTAGGATTTGAGCACGCCTCCGAAAACGGAGATGAAATTCCAAGGAGCATTGAGTGAGGAGGTAGAGGAAGGAGATTCGAGGCGGCAATTTGAATTTGAAATATGTAAATAAATCGGCAGCCAGAACAGCGAACAGGCTCGGCACTTTCCGCACTTCATTAGAATCAACACTACCTCCTGCAGCTGCAGCTCTGCAAAAATAAAAGTCCAACAGCTTGTTAAGTATACGATGGAGGCAGACTCTTCCGTTGATAACCCTTCATTGGCTTCTGAGGCTAAATCGTATGCGCCGTCTCCAGGTCGTCAGCAGTGCTTGACAATGACGAGAGGTGTATTGAATATTCCAGGTCTTCCGATCCTGCAGGGAACTATGTCTTTCAAATAAATATACGCGGCGCGCTCTTGTCATTCTGGCTTCTCGACGGTCTTTTCTATGTTCTAGGATCTTACCCTTGCGCATAGCAACCGACAAAAGATCGACGTTGACATCAGAGGAATATAAAAATCGTGTGCGGGGCACTGCTCTTCAACTTCTTTCTTCAGGACCGTCAGCAATTAACTAGGGACGATTACTAAACGAACAGCGCCCATATATATATTAGGATGTACAAGGTATAGTTCTGGCAGTCCATATACTACGCAGTTAAGTATCAACGTGTAAAATCTGACGCGTTCCCAACATACAGTCTCGACGGCGACCCACATGTTCGAGGCTTTAAATCCTCGTAAATTCGATGCCTTCAAATTAGAGTACAGTGAGCTATGTGTCCATCTTGTAGGAGTTACCCAAAAGCTCACCTTCCATGGCTCGCCCTAAAGAGTGATCACTTCTCTAAAACGACCAATCTTGGTCATGCAGACTATAACGCTTCCATTCATTGCTCCCTGGGGCTTATCGCTGGCCATCACGATACCTGATATTGTCGGTCTGAATTATCGACACCACATGCTGAAGCAATAATAGGGCGGATAAGCCCTCACGTACGCAAAACTCTGTGATCTCGGTTTACTCTCCGGCTAATAGAGACCACAGATGATATGCCCAATGATTCCGTCCGAAAATGTGTCGAGATGACACTGAAGATAGCTTCTTGCGCTGGGAAAAATGGTGTCATACTTGAATGGTACGGGTAGCGATAGGCGTCGATGGCAAGAGAATACCAGCAGATAGTGCAAATCCATCGTGCCCAAGTCATATATGGGCGATGTTGCGGCAGCAATGCGAAGGTGAGGTTGAGTGGCCTTTGCAAGGAGGCACGCTTAGATAGCTGACCACGCAGAGGGAGGCTGGTTCCTTTCGTGCAGCAGCAGCCATTGCACGATAATTCACTAGCTTTCGTACGTACAGCTGCCCAAGGTCTCTTACCATGGTGAGACAGTTCTATACTGCCGAAGATCGTCAGCACATCGCTTGTAGTTTCTCACAGCCTCATGGTCCGTTTGAGGAGAAGACGTCACAAGATAAGTCTTTTAGAAGCCATCACTCCGTCTTTGTCTCTCCTAGACTCCGAGCTGGCGAGTTTCATTCTTAGATCTACTGTATCAATCTAAACCTCACCGCGGTTCTCAGATGTCGAGAAAGCGTGCTTCATGATCAGCCGGTATGATGCAAGTTCGCATCTTGACGTGGTAGAGTAGGCATACTTAATGCATCAACTCTAAGGTTGCCTCGTTCTTTTGACCCCCTTCGCCAACCCATCGCTGTTCACTCATGTCAGACGCGGGCAAATTCCTCGCTGACAACGCCAGAAGTGCATTGGGACCTATTCTCGTGGGGGTCACGACCAATGCTTTCATCTCTGGCATTTGCATGGTTCAGTATTACGAATATTTCACCTCTGGATACAGGGACTCCTGGATGCTGCTGTAAGTTCTCGAAGCCGCAGTGAGGATACATATCGACTTAAATCCCTCCCTGCAGCGGAACCGTCGTCTGGCTGGCTATTGTCGATGTTCTCTTCTCCATCAATTCGGTGGTTATCCTGTGGCAATATGTCATAGACAACTTCGCAAACCCAGCCATCCTGCACCAGTCAAATTGGCATTTCAATCTTGTCCCGTTGTTCTTGTCGCTGTAGGTCTTTTTGCAATTCCAAGTGTGATTGATGCTGATCTTGTTCGAATATGTAGTACTTCGGTTCCTGTGCACGTCTTCCTTGCCCACCGAATTGGGCGCTTCTCGAAAAGCTGGGCGCTGTTCGGTTCACTTGTCCTACTTTCGTCTTCAGCGTCTGCTCTGGGTTCCGCTTCGGCAATCCAATCTCAGTTGGCCTCAGATGTCGTTTTTTGGTTGGACTCTGAGCTCCCGGCGCTAATGCTGATTGGTCTGGCACTCAGTGTGGCGTGTGATGTTCTTATGACGTGCGTTGACATCTCTGAAGTTGCACAGACCTGCTTACTATCGTTCGTTTTTTTGGCAAAGTGGATTGCTACTCTACTATCTTCGTCGGGACAAAAAGTCCTTCCCTAGTATGTTTACAGACTCTTTCAACAAACGTAATTCACAGAACCCTACGTGATAGAGACCAACAGAAAACTGTCAGTTTGTGTTCAAATTTCTATCCAATCTGCTATACCATCCACCATATGCGTAGTAAGTTCCATGTTGCTCTCCATACCCTGTGATATGCTTATTTGAATTAGATCGTCATACTGGTATTGATCAAGACACTTGACCCAGCTAATTTTCAACACGTCTTCGTTTTTCTGCTCGGCCGTCTGTATGAGTGAGTGCAGTGCATGGACAGATACATAGTTGCCCTCTGACCTTACCGGGTCCATTACAGGGCTACGCTTTTGTCTGTGTGTTCCTTTCATCTATCTCTCTGTTGGCGTCTATTCACTGGTAGGTTTGCAGAGCCTGAATTTCAGGCGCTCGATTCGAGAGATTGACAGCTTATACGGAGTCAATTCCATTGACCTGCTTGTAAAGTCGCATTCATTTCGATATCTCGGTTCCGCTGACGTCCTATTCCTCAGACCATAAGAAGACATCCCGCGTCACACGATTTTGCTGTGAGGGTGACACAAGAGACCAAGACGTTGACGGACACAGAGTGGCCTATTCAACGATCTTTGGAACCAGGCGTACAATCAAGGGTATCTACTCAGCCCAAGTTATCGTGTGAGCTCTTTGAAATCAGAAATGACTTAGTGCTGAAGTTGACTTCCAGTTTAGGCAGCTAATACACCCTATGTGTTCCATCTTTTCGACGCTGCACTGCTACATATAAATATTCCGATATTAATATTTTCGTGTTGTGAAAACATACTACCTCAGCAGAGATACCATTATGATTCGCCTATGACGAGGATGTCTAAAGTAATTCAAAATGGCGCTGATACCATTGAAATTCCGGATATAGTGGCGCTGCTGAATACAACGCACGTTACCCCTCAAGGTATACTGTCCAGAGCCACCAACGCATTCCCAGAAGTGGCGAAAACGGTAGAGTTGGGTGAAGCGGTTGTGCGGCATTCGTAATGACAGCCGTTAACATCGGCGTGGTAAGCACGAACCATGTTGCCACCCACAACAACCCCACCGTCCGCCACAGAATATGGTCCCGGAATCCTACTCTCCTTCCCAGTACGATAACAGCGTCTTCGACTGTGATTGCGACGGCTTGTAGCTGAAACCATAGTATGGAACGGCCAAATTTTGACCCCGCCATACGATCACCCCACGCATGTACATTGCCGGAAACGAAGAATCCAATGTAAAGTTGGGTATACGATGAGAGTTTTGTTCCAGGAGGGAACCCAAGCACTTTGGCAGTGACCTTTCCGATAGATGTGACAAACTGTCGATTTCAGGTAAGATATTTTCTCAGTAGAAAGCATTTCGGCACTCACGCGACGTAATATTTGATGCCAAACACGACTGATTCGAGATTATATATTAGCATTCAGAATAGCGGTTTCAAGTGAGACAGAACACTAACCCCCATGTGCGACGGAGCGTATATGCATCATGCAGTTTCCCGAACATTGGCGGCCAAAATTGTGGCTCCGACATACCCGAACCGACGCAAATGGCGGCAATTAAAGAATACAGCGCCTGGAGCGATGCATACAAGTTGGTCCACCAGGCCCATACATTGATGGCTTGTAGAAAAATGCCCTGGGAAGTGATTGGCAGCGCCTCTTTCGCACGGGAGGAAAATATTGGGTTGTGTATTATGTATGTTCCCGCAATGTCGAGGATAAGGATATAATTGACAGCGTCACGAAGGCACCGCGAAAGAAAGCGCCAGCGTGATTGCTTCGAAGTAGGAGGTATGTGTGGCAACTGTAAGAAGAGATAAATGAGCGACATGATAGCCTAGCCTGATGGCACTCTGACCTGATTGCTCCAACCTACGCCGCGAATCGATGTCCGAAGGCACAAAGCCCACCAGAATCTTTTCCAAAACGGCATGTCTTTTGGATCCTGCATGTCATTGACATGCCTGGTACCATCGGCTAGGGGCTCGGATAGAAAGAAAAAGTGTATTGATGTGAACAGAGAGGCGGCGTATATTCCACTGCCTATTCCATAGTCCCGAAATGTGTCGTTTGCGGTCAGAATGCCCGTCGCCTTCCATGATACAAGAAACTGGGAGGAAAACAGGACGTAACGTGCTGACACCGACGGGCGCCCCGCGATCACAAAGGCAATTACGAGCTCGTTGTACAGGACAGACAGCACTAGAGCAAGTGGGTTTGAGATACGCGCCATAATAGCGACGGGGAGGTTCCAGGCCATTTTGAAAATCTGCTGGCTTTTCTGCCATTACCGTCTTGAAAAGTACAAGTGGTGCCTTGACGGGGGAAGTTGAAGACAATTAACTAAGGGACCCTCATTTTGGAAAATCAGATTCACGAAGGCCGTCCAAACCTCGAACTCCGATCTTATCTGCTTCTCGTGGTACTTCCCAGGACAGAATCTTCATGATAAGGAAGGTGAGAATCTGAGTTGACCGTAACGGTAGGGGTGGGAGGAAATGTACTTGAAGATACAGTGCCAGTCCTTGTAGCATCAATGACACGCTGGCGATACCCGGGTTCAATAGCAGTCGTTCCAGGGGGGGCTGTAAGCTGCCTAGTATGCCGGTTCTCGAAATATTGACTTGGAGGCACGGGATAGTAGAGAAACTTGAGAAGTGATCCGAGACTTAAAAAAGTTCTGGACCCTTGACATTGGAAGGAAGAAAGTAATCTTTCATTTCCAGCACACAACACAGTGCATCCTAAAAGAGGACAAACAGCTGGGCACCCTAGACGGACTGAACAACTCGAATCCTCAACTTGTCGCACTGATACCGCCACGGTTGCTGTGGAGAGATGATCATATCAGGACCGATGATCGTTCGAAGGTAACGTCCTGCATCACGAACTAACGCAATGGCCAAGAAAGGTGCATCCACAAAGGTATCCGAGCTCAAATAACCATGCATAATGGTCTTGACGCAAAGGAGCGCAGAGTGCATCAACACGGACCGGTAGGTTTAAAGTCCGAATCTGTCCGAACTGCTGTCAAGCCCTGACACCAATGGGCGCTAATGCCATTGAGTCGCTGGCAATAGCTGGCAATTGGCATTGCTGCTATAAACTCTGAGGACGTATTTCTGCCTTCATGACTTTTTCCCACTGCCGGACCCGAATCTTGGAGGAAAACTCCAGGCCCCCTGATATATTACGCTGCCATCTGCCAGTTGTGAAGCCTTTGCTTTCTGCTCGTTGAGGGCTGGGTATAGACTTGCGGTGTCTCTCAGAGTCGTATGGCTCTGTAACTTTATTCCCTCCGGCTCTCCTAGGATATTCGTCTCAAGAACAATCAATCAGTGATTGTTGTTCGATCTCGACTTCAAACTATCTAAATCAATGTACCTTTAAGGGCTACAAGCGAGCTTTATTTGTATAGACCACTCATATCAACGGAAATCGCTTAGAATCTCGTGCCACCGTCTCCTCACCGAGTGTTCTCCCGGACCCAATTTGGTCTGTATCCACAAAGAGGCACTCGTGTCTCGCACTCTTCTCCCACACACGCGTACAAGCACGACATTTGTTGGTTAACGACAACGAAGAAGTTATATAGTGACTTTGCGGTTGCTCGTCGGTTCGCTCTCGCATTCCCAGGGAGTCCTCCATGATAGATAGTCTATTTCCACGGTAGGAAACCAAGAATGCCTTTATATGCGGACGGATGGGAGCTGCTTCATCCTCATACTAAAAATGAGTAGCAGCTCCATGACTTTGGACCTCACGGTCGGCGCCATTGTACGTCGTTGCTCGTGGCTTCAAGCTATGCTTCACACTCACCATAACCAACTATGTCTCTTTCGCTAGATCGTCAGCTCTTTCTTTTCAGTCAGGCTTGGTCTTTCGCGCTAAATTTTATTCGCCATTCTAACATCCTATATACTAGTTCTTAACTATGGGTATCGTTTGCGTCACGGCCTTCTATTACGTGGTCAACTTCCCGAACGACGCACTACCCATTAAGCTGATTGTCTTGGCTAACGTTATCCTTTGTATCGCTGGAACGATCACTGATGGGCAAGTGACTCTTCTCAAAGCACATATCTTAGCTAACTTCCGTGCGGTGAGGACAGGGTGTGGTGTTATGATTGGGCGGTGACAAACTATGGAAGTACGCAAGAACCTTCCTCTTTTCAATCTCGCATTGATCAAATCACACAGATCCTGCCTCAATGGCCATCCTACCGATGTAAGAGAAGACCTATTTATATCTACTTAAGTTTACTTACGCTACTTATAACAGTCCCGCCATCATTGAGATATTCTTCGTGTAAGCTTGAGCTTCCCATTCTGCGAATCAGACCAGTAGCTGACCGCAGCGACAGTGGGTTCACATCCCTACTTGTGCAGTGTTTCTACTCGTGGAGGCTATGGGTGATCACGCATAAGCGCAACCATTGGCTTTCTGTAGCCATCTGCATCCTATCAGTCACCCAAATGTGTAAGAAATAATCGTTACATTCGGGATCGGATTTCTATTTACTGTCCATCGGCGCTAGCTGTGATTATCTGGGTTGTCTCCTACTGGGCAAACCATCGGCTAATGGCTGATATCGGGGGAGTCATGTATGTTTGTCTTTTCGATCCCTGTCGCTCTGATAATGACCCGTTTCACAGGCCTGTTGGTAAGAAGACCACCTTATTCGGAATTATCGGGTATCTAATAAACATGCGAAGCCTACATTTGGTTGGCCAGTTCCATGTACGTTTTCGTCTTAATACGGAATCTCTGTCTTACTTCGTGTTTTAGAGCTGCCGATTTGCTCATTACGGTAGGGATGAGCTGGTATCTGAAGTGGAAGCTTCCTCCAAGCATATTCTCCTCCACGTTGTATGTATCCTCTCTTCTTCAGCTCTGTTTCTTACGGTTTTGATTTTCAGGTTCAATCAAATCATATCCCGAACAGTTCAAGCTAACGTACTCTCTCTCATCAGCCAAGTCCTGACTTTTGCATTCTATAAAGCCGACATTGGTCTTTATTTCTGTTCGTTTCGTCTATCCTGTAGCTCCGATCCCTATGCTGATATAAACTTACCCTGTCTAGTCCTCGTTGACTTTACAATTGTCAAGGTGTACACATTTTCGCTTCTTTGTTCATGTGCGTCCCTTTTGTGTAATCTGGGCTTCTCACTGATTCGTGATCTATTGGCAGTAAACGGTCGCGACAGAAATACTCCCGTACAAACTCGGCCCAGGGCCGATTCGGAAGTTCTGACCCTCGGAATTATGGCTGCAGGTACTACAAGCAGGTCGTCCCCTACTATGCATTGGCCGGTCAAGAAGGATGATTCAAGTGTGGGAGAATGCTGATAAGAGTTATATGCGGACGAATTTTGCGAGTCGCTTGTCATGAGTATAGCTGATGAGACCAGCACCATGACGAGGATTTTTCCATGCCATAAATTTTAATTTCTCATGTACCAAAATATCACATTGTAACATAAGGTAAACATCGGGGCGGGAGCACAGAAAATAAAGCATTACACAATTATGTACACTTGAATGTTCAGCAAAGAAAGTTAGGGATGGAATTTTCTAGGACTCTCATTAATTAAAGTGCCACAGGTCGGCAGGAGTGTGAGGGCTTTCGATTCAACTTCAGTTTGTCTGAGGTAGACTCGCAGAAATAAGATCCCCAGATAGCGGACACCGAACATGGCGGGGAAGAATATGTTGAAATTCGAGAACGGGTACTACAGCTTCCGCCCATCGTCCTTTCAGGATATACGCGAGGACGTACTTGAACAATGATCCGACGGCGATATTGAGAAAATGAAGTTGAATTTGAATACATTGAAGTATTTCACAGAACCGAACATCGACGTACTCTTGCTTCCAAGGTACAGTAACGGAGGGTATACATTACCGGCTGAAAAGGTCGGAGGACTTGCCATTGGAAGGATGAGACAGAGGTAAGTTAACGCCCGGTCGAGCTGCTGAGCAAAGTCATTCAAAGGGCCCCGGTATTAGACGTTTGTTGTAGATTTCCTGTCTGTATGGGGATTCTGCAACTCTCTAGGGCAATCCTCCTCCATCCATATCGAGTAATCTCTGTCTTATTTCTTTCATATCACCCGACCCTGGGACCCTCCACATTACTGTATGGCATGCTTCTTCTCGCAGAATGGAGTGACCAAAATCGATGATTATAGGCCTCTGGCAGCAGGAGGATGTTCCCCAAACGGATATCCCAGTGCTCGACACAGTCTAGCTCAGCAATGCGTTGGTATGCAGCAAGGACTTTTCTGGGGTATACACTCCGCATGGGCTGAAGTGACATCCACACCGACCTCGATGTCCTCAATACTTGTGGCATCGAGATATTCGAGGAGCAAACCCTGAACAAAGTCGGTGACAGCATGCAATACAGGAGGAGCACTGATAGGTAACTTGACCGTCCCGAAGAACTGTGGAACGACGGTGCCTTGTAGTGAACGCAGAAGGTGATACGCCCTCACCTCCATCCTCCCTGCGCGTGTCTTTTCTCCCCACACATCGATCTCCTTTCCCATCCCTCCGTCCTGACGATGCCACACCGAGGCTCCGTACCCTCTGGACACTTGAAGCTATCTCCCCCACCCCTCGCAGAATTTCCCAGAGATTTCTGCAAAGAACGGGTTCAACTGAAGGATGCCATGGTAAATCCGAGGAATCTAGGCCCCTATTCCTACATCTATAGTCATTTTTAGAATAATACTCGGATTGTATCCAGGAGGCGGTTCCGTCTAGTAGAATACAGCGGAAGTGAACGGTGCGGAGGATTTTTCAGTTGCGACAGGTAACTTCTGAACAGCGTTCAAATTCGCGGGGGTGAACTCGAGGACAAGCCTAGCCCTGGGAGTATAAATAGTATCGACAAGCAATTGGGAGGCTTCGGATGTTCATATTAACCCCCTCTGCTGTCCAATCAGGAAAGGCTGCCAATACTCCGCTGCATGAGAGGAAATAAATTTTCTATGCGTTGAGCTTTGAAGATATGGACGTGAACAACTCGGGAAGGCAAAGGAATAAGTAAAGCTGAATACCAGCCTATCAAACAAACTTTGCTTGCCAAGCCGAATTTTGCCTGTTCTAAAAGTTCAGAAACTTTCGAGAAGGATGGTCCTAAAAATAAGTACTGCATGCCAGACGCGTGGAAAAGAAGTTGCCAATTATGTGCAATCAACACCGCACCGCCTCAACTCCAACTTTCATGACCGCGCTACATTGTCATTATCTTCCTTGACATCGTGATGTCTTCAGAGACGCCGAACTCTTCAGGATGGCACTCTATACGACCTTGGATTCCACCTTTGACTCTCTCAGTGCGTGAGATTACTCCCGTATCGGTTACCTTCATATTGTCTGCAACAAGCTCGGGAGACACGGATCCGCTGCTGGCTTGCCTTGGTATCGAAAACCAAGAAGCGGACGACGGAGTGGAAATAGATGAGAACGAGTCGAAGAAATCCTCCATTGTTTCCGCTGCGTTGGCTGGGGGTCTCTCCGTCGAAGTTGATCGTTCTGCGTGGCGAAGGGTGTTCATTCGAATCGACGACAAGGCCGATGAGGCAGTCATTATCATATATGGCCTGATGCCTGGTCGGCAGTATGATGTTGACCTTGAACTGGTTCAAGGCGGCCATAAAAACAACATCCGTCGCCGAGTCGTAACCGAACTCGGAGGTGAGAATCAATTGTTCTCTTTTTCAAAGCTGATAGTAATCGGCACAGATTCCTCAATAGGCCTTGATGGCACTGATGAGAACCCTGAATCATCAGCTTTAGACTCTTCAGTGGGCTCTCTAGAGCCAGCGCTTTCCTCCCCGTCCACTTCTTCCCCAAGCACACCACCTTCCAATCAGCACTCGTCTCCAGGATTCACTCCCTTAACACTCGAGGATAGGTTAAACCAGCTGCAGCATACCTTGAATATCATGACCACCGAACGCGAAACTCTTTTAGCCACCCTTAAGACAGGTCGTCGTGACGCCCAAAAGGCAGACGCAAACGTGCGGTCGGAAATTGAAGCCTTGAAGCGTTCCTCGGAAAAAACAGCAGCAGCCGAACATCGTGCAAGACAAAAGGTACTTGCCCTGCAGGAGACTGTCAAGCGTGCGCAGCTCTCAACGAGGGAAATGGAGGGCCATGTTAAAGAGGTCGAGGAGGGGCTCCCTGATCTGCAGGCACAGAGAGATTTACAGGAGGAAGAGTACTTGAAGGTCAAAGGATATGCGGACCGTGCAAGAAAAGCAAAAGAATCCGAGGAGGAGAAGCAGCGAAAGCGTGTCGAGCTGATGACTGGAGAGCTCAATGGATTGAATAACAAGCTGGAAAGGCTCCAAGCGAGGAAGGAGAAACTGGAAACATCCATTATACCTGACCTGGAGGAAGAACTAAAAGCCATCGAGCTCGAGATTGAGAACACCGAATCAGGTTCTTTTGGATACTTTTTCGGTCCTGACAGTCAGCATCTGGACGATGATCCTATGCTTCTTCGTTCTCATCAGACTAGCTCATTTCCCCGACCTTCGCCTGCACCAATACAGCGACCCCAGGGTACTTGGAGTAGTCCGCCTCGACAAGCCCAGCGCTCGTCTTCTCTACATTACCAGAAAACGCCAACAGTGCTTTCCAATCCTCATCGTCAGTCTTCTCTCAAGGCCACACATCATTCGAATTCCAGTTCCTCGTCATCTTCGCCGCTACCTGCAGCTACGTCAACACTTTCAAGTCGTGCACCACCATTTGAGCCTGGGAAGCCGCTGAGAGCGGCTATAGTAAGTCGAACTCCGTCCTGTCTTTCGTGTGTCTCACGATGTTTTAATGCAGTGGGCTGGAAGCGCTACTTCCCAAGACAATCGTGGTGGATAAGTTTGGGACGTGTGAAGAGTTTCATCCAACCACAGGCGCCACCGCCTTGTGGAAACTGTGGCGTCGGAAGAAGGACCGGCCCAAGAGGTAGCGGCTCCTTTCTATGCAAATACGGTAATACCCCACTACTAGAGCTAAGCTCGACGATCGGTTTGTTGAGCCAGAATTGCTTTAGGCGTGCCGTACAACATGTACATGAGCTAATGTGCAATCTATATGGAGGGCTTCCTTGTTGTCCTTCTTCTCTATCGTCTTGGGAAAGTTTTCCAGCGCGAAGAAATCACAGATCAGACTTTCTACAAGGTTAAACTTGCGTTGTGTGGTGGCAGAATACACTGACCGTACTTTGACACTGAACCTTCCACTTTCCATATAGGATATCGCTCTTGGGAAGGTCTAATGCCGAGTCAAAGTATGGCCAATCTGTGGAAGGTATAATGTCTGTCAGTCAAACTTCAAGATTCCTGATTTGACGTCGGCAAATATCATGGACGGCAAGCACCTGACTACTAGCGGGCGTATAATTGTCGCCTCGATGAGTCCCCGTGTATCGAATACCGTCGAACAAGACTCGGAAGTCAGTTAGTACTCCGAAATAATCATTGATAGGGTCGCATACCACGATAACGGGATCTATGACGCATCGTCACTTTCAGCGAAGCCTTCTACCAGCTTCTCAAATCGAAACAGTACCGATGATTGTGTGTCCTAAGAACCTGTACGCCATTAAAAGTGCCTCAATGTCCCTCAAAATCAGGAGAAGGTATGGACGCTCGCCTTCAGGCACTTTGGGGGCTTGGAACAAGCCGAATTGGTCTGCCATACAATGGGTAATCAGAATTTCCTTTTTTTTTGGTGGCCTCCAACCTCTGGCCTGCGCGATATGTTGATCTGCGCCGCAGCAGCTAACAAACATGCCAAGATCAAAACAGAATGATGGACGTCTTTAGCTTTCACTAAAACCTCAGTATCTGAGATTCCGATAATCGGCGTCCCGAAACTTTGAAGTTATTGTTTTACGTTCCTGTGTAGTTAGTGGGTAAGTACGGACACTCATAGAAAGGAGTGTAGTGACACGGTGAAAGCGTAGAGCGTTCATCTTTGAGGGTTGATGCGAATTTCGGCTCTGACATCATTCTTTATATAAGTACTAGTAACTGGTGATGTGAAAGCCCAGCAGACCGAGTATGGTTTTGCTTTGACAGACATTGTATTATACATAGGTTCATCAGAAACAACAAGAATTGTGGGCCCATCAACAGTTTTGGTCGTCAAACATTTTAATTTTACAACTTGCTCGCTGCGTCTCTGAACACCCGTACTTACAAGTGCCGAAAAAGCTGTCAAGTTGCTGAGAAGTTTCTTGATCCCTAGCCTCATGTCTTCCCGACGTGATCAATGAGTTGACTGTAATCAGAAGAGTGGATATCTGTATTGATATGCCGAAGGGTGGGCACCTTTCTCGTGATGATTCTTGTTCGATCTTCGCAGACGGCAGACGATAAATCAGCAAATAGAAAACGATATGGTCTCAACCTACCAGGTATGAATCCTAGGCATTGGCGAATCCACCCTCGCCTGTTCGAGGAAGAAGATCATAGTAAATCACTGAACGACGTTCCAATAAGCAAGATAATAGCAGGAAGTTTCGAGATCACTTTCGTTATCCACGTGGTGACCTCGTTCCATCAACTTGCAGTAACCAGATGAATCAGTCGGTCTAATGGAGATCTCCAAGAACCTCAGAGTTATTTACTCCGGAACATGAAGAGAATGTCCAGGGGCAAAGAGCACATCTGGGAAAAGGCAACCAAACCGAACCTGACCGGCGTATCTTGGTTTCGTTTGAGAGGCGGCCGAGAGGCGCGTTCAGATAAATTATTGATAATTCAGAGGAGACATAATTAGTGTACCGATGGGAGTAAACGTTGACTGGGAGTACAGCAAGCGACAGAAAGAGTTCGGACTCCACAGGTTCCACAATTCCCACGGTGCGTTTCTTGACTTTGAACCCCAACATCATGAGCACATGCCACTCCAATGCCACTCTGTCAACCTAGCACCGTCTCAGCTGGCTACCTGCTTTTTTTTATCAAGACATAGAAGATCCGAACTCAGATATACCTATTCATAGTTTTAGTCCTTACCCTTCTGCTTGAGGCATGTCGATGTGGAAAAGTTCACACCTACATGTGCATTGGAAGCACCTACATATCCTGCTAAAATGTCGCTCTGTCTCTTTCTTGTTATTTGACAGTAATGGTGTCACCCAGACGTCCAGAGCGTGTGGGCTTTTGCCAGAACTCGACGTTGATTCTGCAACATAGCGATCGTCGCAACTTCTGGGCTGATAATGGCTAGACAGGGTAAAGCCAAGCGACCGATAATACCTCGAAAGGTGGACCCAGGACGGCCAGTTGTCAAGAGTTCCTGAATTTCACGTTGCCGGACTTGTCTCATGTAGTTGCATGAGCTGGTCCTCCGGTTGTCGACAAGGGTAGATCCAAATATCTCCAAGGCATTTACAAACGCCTGATCTATGTCTCGAAGCGCTTTGCCGGTGGTAACAGAAGGCTAGATACCGAGTATCTAATGCTATTTTACCCGGTAAGTGCATACACTTCCGAACATATCAATGATGGTGACGTATTTTGGCTATATAGGCGACTTATCGCGAAGGAATCGTCTTCAGACACCTGATGGCCAACTAAAGTCGACCTTATCTGGTCATTTGACGTTGGACTGCAAACGACACCGGATGAAGTACCATGTCGACTGGTCACTCTTGTTCCTGAGGCGACGGCCAAAACATCCCTGAAATGGGATCAATTGAAAGGTGCGTATAAAAATGCTCGGCGGCCTGGTAAAATATGCCGGGTCGATGCGCGATCGCGCACACTTTAGGCTAGGGTGCCTTCTGTCCATCAGCTTCCGAATGAAGTACATATCGTCATATCCGCCGGAGAGATAATTTTGACCCTGTGGGTATGCTTTTTCGCAAGATCCACATCTCGACCCTTTTGGCCCATGAGACTTATGCCTCAGAATCCGACATGATATTAAAAGGCTGATTGTGCTGGCTGGCTGCTGACCGCCCTCGACCACCTTCGTGTGCCCGACCATCTCGTTGTCTCCCTGTTGTGCTTACTGGTCATCGGTTCAAGCATCGGAGTCATGTATATTCTCTTGCAATTCCTCGCGCTTCTCTCTGTCGTGACATGGGGGGTCGGGGCTTCTCTACTAACATCTGTCTCCCGACTGAGTCCTGACGGGTACGACTTCATCATCATTGGCGGTACATTTGTTTCGAACCATGTCCATGTCATGACATTGATATTTCTAGCAGGCGGCACAGCGGGAAGTGTCTTGGCCAATCGCCTGTCCGAGAATCCCAAAATCAAGGTTCTGGTCATAGAAGCGGGGATCAGGCTAGTATCACATCTAAAGTCTATCCTGTTCCTGTTCCTGACCGAGGTGCAACAGTAACGAGGACATTCAAGATGTTGAAATACCTTTCCTTGCCACAGCGCTGCCTTCAACTAGGGTTGATTGGAACTTTACGACAACTGCTCAAGGTTAGTATCCGGTCACACAGTACGTAGAATGATATTTACCGGAAGCCTATTCACTGGCAGCCGGCCTCAATAATCGTTCGATAGAGCTGGCGAGGGGTTTCGTCCTTGGAGGAAGCAGCAGTATCAGTGCGTAGGAATCTGTGACTGCTCACAAATGTTCATTCGCATAATCATGTCTTTCTAGACTTCATGACATGGAACCGTGGCTCGAATGACTACTGGGAGTCTTTGGCAAATGCATCTCACGACCCTATGTGGTCCTGGCCCGCAGCTGAGTATTACTATTTGAGGGTCAGCTGCATCACTTAGATGTCTAGCTTGTCGGAATTTGACCGTAAATGAACAGACTTCTACGCTTGTCCCTCCCTCTGATGGCCACAATACAACAGGAGAGATCGAACCGGAAGCTCATGGGCAGGAAGGACCTGTGAAGGTCAGTCTGGCTGGGTATAGAACAGAACTCGACCAGCGCGTTGCGGATTCTGCCTCGATTCTTGGCGGCCGATTTGCTTACAACGAGGACTTCAATACTGGGAAATCAATAGGTCTTGGTAAGTAATGCGAAACGGGCATCTTAAGATTTTAACCTGGTATTGCAAGGCTATGTCCAGAACGCTATAGGAAATGGGAGTCGGAGCAGTGCTGCGACAGCGTACCTTCTACCCATTGTTGATCGTTGTAACGTAGACGTCATTGTCTCGACCCGCGTTACCAAAATATTGGGATCAAGCGTGGCTTCCGAGATCGACACAGTCGAGATTTCTCAGAGCGCAAATGGTATATCCTGCTCGCACCCTTGATTCACGGAGTTGACTTATTTGTTCACAAGGCACCCGCACGAAAATCCAAGCGAAAAAAGAGGTGCTACTTAGCGCAGGAGTGATCGGTAGGTTTACATTCTCGGCTTTGAAGCATATAAATGGATTCTCAATCAATTCATTCTTCAGGAACGCCTCATCTTCTTTCGCTTTCCGGAATCGGGCCAGGAGGCATTCTGTCAGACCTAGGCATAGACGTCATTGTCGATGCGCCGGCCGTTGGTGCCAACCTCGTTGATCATCCACTGGTCGCGAATTACTTTACGGTTGATTCAAACAACACATGGGATCCCATCCTGCGGAACAGCACCTTATTTGCGGACGTTCTCGAAGAATGGGAGACAGAAAGGCAAGGTTTATTCGTTGACACACCCGGGAACACGCAAGGATATTTTAAGTTGCCAACTTATCCCGGGGGTGTGGATCCATCAACAGGGCCGCTGTCGGCAAATACGGAAGTCATATTTTCGGTGAGTTATATGAAGGGCACTGACAATTTTTAAACTTTTTGCTGATATGACCTGTCGAAGAATGGATTTGCGCCCTTTGGGCCAATGTCCTACCCTGCCAATGGCTCATACATGAGTATTCTTGCAGCCGTTGTCTCGCCGACATCACGTAGGTACCTGCTTTTTATGCTTCCGACGACACTCACCCTTTCCCAGGAGGAACGGTTACCGTTAACTCCACTGACCCTTTCGCTGCACCAGTGATCGATCTCGGCATTCTGAGCACCGAGTTTGACATAGTGGCTATGATACAAGTTATTAAAGACATCCAGACCATACTCGCCACTTCTCCTTGGGAAGGATACGTCACCGGTATCTATGGAGATCTAGCAAATGCTACCACGGACGATGAATTGACGGATTTTATTCGCAACAATGCGGTAATAGTAAACCATGCAATTGGGACAGCAAAAATAGGTGAGGTGGTGGACTCGCATCTCAACGTAATAGGTGTGTCAGGACTTAGGGTTATCGATGCCTCTATTCTCGTGCGTTCCTTGTCTTTATTGATATTCTGGCTGATAGCAGCTTTAGCACACAATTCCCGAATGTCACCCGCAAGCTATCATTTACACGATTGCTGAACGCACGGCGGCGCTAATCAAGCGTCAGTACGGTATCTGAAGCGAGGGACTATTGCTGATTTATAACGAGGCCATCTTTATTTTGCATTTAATGGCGGTACTGTACCTTAACCGATACTTAGGGATAAGAATGAACTCGGCATAATGGGCTCATACACTGATTGATATCACAGTACATGGTCAAAAGCAACTACTAAGAGATTGATTGCAGACGGAACTTGGACTGATTTTTCGGCAGATAAGTTAAGATTATTAAGTCAGGATGCATCAATACAACGAAGGAATACATTTTTGTCCATATATCAGTCGGCCTAGCACGCCTGCGAGATGATCGTTTCGGCATGACCAGAGCGAACTACTACATTACAATCAAAGGGATTTGGATGACTAGTTATTGCAGATCAGCAAAACCATCCATCTAATTAGAATAACTAAAGACCTACTGCGCGAGGCCCTCGCAGAATTCAGGGGTGGGCACTACATACCGTCCATTCTTATCTGGCAGTACCTCCACGTTGAACATAGAGAGAATAGACGCCGAGGCAAGCCAAAGAGTAGCATCCGCTACTAAACGTCCGGGGCATATTCTAGCAAGATATCACAGTTGGTGGTTTACCAACAAGACATTAACTCACCTACGCCCATAACCGAACGCCGCAGTGAAGTGTGGCTCACCGCGTCCTTCGGGTTTAGGTAGGAAACGTTCAGGATAAAACCGTGCAGGATCATGGTATACACTCTCATCGAGACTTATTGCTCTTGGCGACAACCGGTGGATTTAGGCTCCTTTTCATGGTAAATAGAGTATGGGGCGTACCTGGCATTGGCGAATACTATGGATCCCTTTGGGATGAACATTCCTCGGTAAATATCGTCGTTCATACACAGGTGAGGGAGCCCTTTTCAATATACGAGAAATCAGATACGGAAGCAACTGAATAATAGACGCACAAACCTAGAGGTACGACCGGAAACCATCTGTGCAAACAGGCAGCTAAGTTTGGATGACACAGAAATAAAGTCGTGTTCACCTTTTGATCTCTTGAAATAAAGCTTCTACGTATGGAAGATGTGGCCGATCGTCATGATTGGGCAAACGACCGCCACCCAAGACGCTGTCAATCTCCGCCTGGGCCTTCTTCTGGCACTCAGGATGACGCATCATAAGTAGGAAGAATATCGAAAGGGTAGCTTCCGTCTTATTCAGACATAGACTTCAAGTCAGCGTGGTCATTGCAAGAACGTGTACTAAGCTTACAGAATCTACTCCTGCGCCGAAGATGATGGCGGCAGCATCTTTGATATCCGAGATACGTGCTTCAGTCTTGCTGCCGGTATCAAGCATTTTCTGGATTTCCTGACCCAGGATAGAAGGATTGTTATGTCCTTGTTCCTAGTTGGATCTTAAATTCAGCACTTGATATTCATCGCCAAGGAAAAGACGTACAATATCCCGAATAAGAGTACCGTAGGGAATTTCACGTATTGCATGGGGAACTCGACTCCAAGTACGTGCCCACTCTGCGAAGTAGGTACCAGGAAACCAAGAGGGGAAGTATCGCACTAATGGACAAGCGTCAAAGACATTTACTGTTGTCGAACGTAAGAGTTCGCATACGGCACGGGAGGAAGTCAACTGGCGTGTTTCCTGGAGGTCCCGAATTATCAACCGAGTATGTATGCTCCCTGGCAAGAGTGAGGTATATGTCGTCATCCGAGGTGATTCTATGACCGAACGCCATTTCGACAATGGTTGAGGTTGTAAAACTAGAAAGTCATCCAATCAACCTATCCATGCGTCGTGCACATAATCAAATTACCGATGAACAGCTTCTTCATAACACGTGGGCCTCGCGAGTAGAGCTTTCAGAAGGACCTGAACAGCCTGAATCTGGATGGGCTGGTATAATTTAATTTCTTCACGTCCCAATGGTTGCGAAACAATCTTTCGATGCCGAAGAAAGCGTTTTCCGTAGGGTAAAAATGCTAATGATTGTCCCCAACCCATGCTATGAAGACAGTGAACGGTGCCCCAAAACATGTGGGATCAAAATACAGACATGTCCATGATAATGAAATTCGGCCTAGAACTGTAGTTCAGCCCTCTCTTCTCGAGTAAGTCTGTGGCGGCTTTGTCACTACTAAGTATGATGATGGAACGTCCAGGTACACGGAGTTGCATGACATCGCCTAAGAAGATCTTCAATATCTACGATAAGAACCAAGAAACAACCTCACCGTAAGTCTTGGACCAGTCATGGAAGGCGTTCGGCTGATGCTGCGATGGTATTATCCTGAGATGGCCTATAATCGGGTCGGAAGGCGGACCGGGAGGTAGAGGGGGCCTTGTCGCGAACATTTTGCGTGCGCAAGCCCTCCCCAGAAACTTCAAGGAGAGTACCACCACAAACCCATATACAAACACTATAAGAGGCAGCATGATAGCGGGGCGAAGGCGAGTGCTGCGTTCGTGTTCAAGTTTATTGATCGGCGCCTATGCAGCCTGAGATATCAGAACCTTAACATGGCTTCTCCCGAGCTGATTAAAAAGTTCCTATCAAATGCCACGACAAACGATAATAGAGACCTTCAGAGGCAAGGTTATGAAACCGCCAGTGTAACATACCTGTAGTTACTATGCTTTGCACAACTTCAACGTTCCACGGTGGAGGCAAAGAGTGTACGGCAATGTGGGCCGGTCACCGAGAGAACAATCAAAATCTATCTTTCTTCCGTACCCTGATATTTTGAAAGAGTAACGCGGGCAATGAATAATGAAGCCTCGAGCTATTTTGAGCGATTGCGAGAGGATAGATGTAAACATGCATGACCTCTGTTTGGGTACTATTCTAAAAATGAATGCGGCGCTATATCAGTGATACGCAGTGAAGTGTGTCATAGGCTACCTGGCGTTTATCGTATAAGCAATACCCTGATTGTGCTGGATATGTTACTTCTCCACGATAAGAGCGACGATGTTAGAATAGTGATTTATTGGAGGAAAGCAATAATACATTTTTACGAAGCTCGACATTATGTTGTTTCCCACATTGTCGCCGATAACATACCGTACAAACCTCACAAAAGACCATCTTCAGACAGGATTATGTCCGCAGCCTAACAGAAAAAAAAAAGTTGAACAGGTGATGATAGAGGATATATGCTACATACTTTTTCTCCAATCGCGTAAGCGACACTTTGTATGTTGCAAGACAATTCCTATAGCCGTTGAATACGTATACGTAAGACAGAAACCCGAGCCATACCAGGGGAATGATAGAGCAGTCAACCTTGAAACAGTTCTTTCAGTTGATCGTCACATCAGTGAGAGACTGGATTCTTACCACTCTCAAATTTTCCGAGCCATACACACGAAGCCGGCTGTCTACAACACCTCCAAGTTCCTTAGGCAGCATCGACGCCGTGCCCACGGGGTGATGTACTGTAGCCAGAGTATCAGCGATAAATTTATTGACCACCTCTACAGGAGCGTCCTCCTCGAAGGGCGGGACCGTGACGGACTGAATAGACTCGGCGACAGGGCCGGTTTTGTACAGACGTCGCATAAATGAGATCATGCTGGCAAGAACACCAACGTCAGCTGGATTAGCGAGATACTTCGGGTCGAGGTCAGGGTGCGCTTTGGGGTCAGTGGAGTTGATATGAACTCGACCACGGGTAAATGGATGCATGTAAGAAACGAGAAGCGTCGTGTACCGTTTCATGGGATCTGGGGTCACGCCTGCTACTGGGTAATGTCCATTAACAGTAAGGATTCTGTAGATGTCAGGTTAACGAAAAAGAAAGATAAAAGAATCCAGGATATACTGACTGGGAAAACACTTGATTCGGGTCCTTCAACCACCCGTGAAGGATCTCATATTGCTTCTCCATCCCGCGACGAACTGACGGGTCTAAAGCGTCGAGCTCTGTGATAGAAGAAAGATTTGCAGATTTCTCCCAGTCGGCTAGGCTGGATTCTGATCCAAAGGCGGCGGCAGGCATGAACGCAAAACATGATGAGACACCGGCTAACAACCCTTTACGCTCGGCACTAGAAGCATATCAAGATGTAAGCACTTCGTTCTCGTCAGGCAAGCGTAACCCAGACTTACTAGAGTTTTTGCTGATCGGCTAGCTGTTCCGGGTCGCCGAAGATTTCAAAGGTCTTGAACGACTGATCGACCTCGACCACTGTCGGAGCCAAAGCGTGATCCTCTTGGAGAACCGGTTAGCATTTCTTGGACCGTCTTACTAAATGGCGCAACACACGAAGATTTTCACCAACACCAGGAAGATCGATGATGGCATTGATTCCAAGCGGGGCAAGTATCTTCGGGCTTCCAACACCAGAGAGCTCAAGAAGTTGCGGTGTGTGCAAGGTACCTTAGGTGATTGTTTGGTTCTTAGCAAGAGCGGAGATTAAAGGCGTCGAGACGAACCTGCAGACAATAATATTTCTTTCTTCACGTGGACTGTAGACTGAACACCGTCTTTCTCAATGTCGACGCTTGTTGCCTTCTGAAGTTCCTCTGCACCAGCTGTAAAGTTGATCTACGCCTGTCTTGTGTCTTGAAATTCATAGTCAAAACGGAGTAAAGATACCTTTGTTGTCAATGTCCCTGTTAGAATCAAGAGGTTAGGCAGATGCCTGTTTGGAGCATAATATCCTGATGCCGAATAAGAGCGGGTGGCCGTTTTTGAATCCACGGACGTCGGTGCCAGGAACGCACCCACGGGGCGGCCCCCACTCTGGCGAACTCTTTATCAAAGGTGATAATGAAATATACTAGAAAAATTACATTATCTGGGTTACGGGTAACACCCATGCATTCCAGAGAATCCAGAAGGGGCGCATGGATTTCGGTAATGTGTGGAGGATACGACTTTGCAATAGGACCTAGTTCGGATGTTGTTGATGAGCCAGAAAAAAAACCAGAGAGATAAGATGAAGTGCCTTCGTATCCATGGTTCTTCGGATCCGGGGATGCCGCCACGCGCTGTCCGTCAACAGATTCATCCGGCGTTTGAACGCGCTCGCTCTATTTGCTGATGAGCAAAATGATCGCTTTGATAGGGAGGAGCCTGCCTTCTTCATGTACGCGGATAGCGAGTCCCAGTTCCATCCTACATTGCCGAGCTGTTCGATCGCGTCGAGTTCCTCTTTAGAGGGTCTGACAAACCCCAGGAAATTGAGCTGCGAGAGGCATTAACACGTGGAATGTTTGACCAATACTCTGATAAGCGAACAGACCATTGAAGAGCCTCCTAGGCCTTTTCCATGAGACTGTAGGATTTGACGATTACCCGCATGTTTTTGTGGCACCTAGATGATCAGAAATCTGTTGGCGATATGACGCACTTAAAGCTAAGCGAAGATACGCACCGTATAATACGTCCAATCATACTTTGGATTGTGAATGGCCCGGCTCATCATTCCTGGACGCAATTTAAAACTAAAATGAATCTTTCCAACGTACACAAACCTGGTACATCAACCAAAGGATCATTTTCATGATAATCACCAGCTTCAATAACAGCTACAACGGCGTTCGGACGATTCTGTGCAAGCCTTGGTGCAAGATCCGATTGAGCAGCTTGAAGGGGATGAAACGCGATCAAGCTCACCGTGTTGCAGTCGCCAGACCGCAAGTTCCTCCCCCGACAACCAAGACATCAACGTCAGTGCTAAGAAGATCCTGTAGGGAAACGATGGGCATATTGATAGGATGGGAAAACAGTGAGAGGGAGCAAGAGGCTTTAAGTATGGCAATCTATGAACCATGCTTGCCGCGATGACGTTAAGACGAGAACTCGAGAGGCTGATGACCCTTAGATCAACAATATACATAAGGAGAAAGCCAAGAGCGAGTCTCCTTGCCGAAATGACGCGTCAGAATGCTCATTTCAGCGCCTGACAGGGGCCAAGGACCGGTTGGGCCGCCAGCCAACAGTTGAGGTTTGCATGAAGGTTTAATGACGATCAACGCCAGCTTGTGTAGGGGATAAAAGCCCGGACAGATAGTCATACAATACGGCTCGACCTTCATCATTTTACAATGAAGGCTTCCGAGCACAAAACAAGAAGTATTCTTTTTGGGCGCTGGCAGTCTTCTCCATCTCATCTTCGACCCCATTTACCAAGGCATCAAATTCTGCTTCAGAATTTACAAAGCCGAAGCCGCCGACATTCAAGATCGGGGTCTTCATTCCCCGAAAGACGTTACACATATTTCTGGCGACAGATAAAAAAGAAACTCTCGTAAGGGATGTCAGTGTGTGAGTCAAGGTCTGATACGCACTTTCGGTCATCGCGGCCTTCCAAGCCGCATAGCGATAATTGAATCACTTCAACGCGAACATCAGCAAAGCCTGCATTCCTGAGCATCAGAGGCATTGCTTTATAACAGTCCATAAATAAACCCTTGGAATCGAGCAAGGTTCGCATCAATGATTGAAACCGAGCGGTGAACGGACCAGCGCGCCAGGAGCCAGTCTCACAAAGTTGAACCCAACCTCCGGGGGTGATAACTCTGTACATCTCGCTGATCGCAACCGGCCATTCCACTTTGCGTAGGGCAGCCAACAGGAGCCTTTGATTGACCAGAGCAAAGGTGTTATTCCAAGACGACGGAAGACGAGTAATATTCTCAACGGAGAACTTGATGTTGCTAGGATATGAGGTGGGATAAAGTCGCGTTATGATATCTACACCGTGGAGCTGTATGGTAGGCGGTAACTGAGGTGCAAGTTCCAAAAGCCAGATGCCTGTAAGTAAAGTAGTGAGATGAATCAACGGGTGTCACCGGCTAAATTACCTGTACCAGTGCCAGAATCCAGAACTTGATCATTGGCCGAGAGACGAATACAGGGAAACAGAAGTGCTCCACCAAGTGCTTGCCGTATTACTTGGTGTTGTAAGTTCAACCTGAAGTAATTTATAGAGTTGTTAGGCGCATATGGATACGATATCAGAATAGAGTTGCAACCTTTGTCGCTCGAGTTCGTCAGAGGGGAGCACGTACTGCGAGCCTGGAATGGTGTGATGAGTCCTCTCTGAGTGCTGAATACGATTCATGGCTGAATGGATGTGGACTAGGTAGAATACAGCCAAGAGAGCAAAGACCCATGTTATGAAGCTACTGTAACGTTTGGAAGCCTGTGATCGGTGAGCTAATCGTACGAAGACATCGGTCTGTTTCTCGTCCTAGTCCCAATCTGACGCGGAGCAGACGAAATAGTCACAACGGACGCCTCATAACTTAAGCGAGAATCCCAAAAAAGCAGAGAAAAAGACGTGAATGGTTGAAAGCGGTACGTATAATGCCTTCTGAGAATCCAGGATCCGGTCGGTCATGGCGACAGTTGCAAACGCAACCGCCGTTTGGACTACGCTGGGTGCGATAGAGAACCTGCGGGAGAAGCACGGCCAAATGACGTCCTGATAACGGAATACTCAATACTCAATGAACGCATTGTAAGGACACTTACATACCTCTGACTATGTTTCCCTGACCCGCCGCCGGGAGTACGTTGCGCCAGAGAGTAGTTATTGTTTGGTAATGCCGCCAAGGGTAGTCCAAGTAGAACTTGTCGATAATCACGATGGCCCACGAAGAAATCCGATGGTCGCCATTCATCAACAGTGGCGGAAAGCCACCCACACTGCACAGAAGTGACTTAGTGGATGAGTTGCAGATATGGTCATCAGCGAACGGCGATTCCCGAATTCGAAGTCTAAATCGTCGCATGCTCTCCACGCTGTTTTCCGCCGGTACTTATTTTTACCCTCTGATGCCCTCAAGATGGAATCTGTTACTGCCAGCTGTCCCTGCTCCCTGCTACCTGCTGCTATTTCAGCTTTTCGATTCGACAGATGGCCTTGCTGTATTCGGATAATCTTGTGTCGATATCTATTCTTGTCCGGACAGAATTCTGTCATCAGGAGACTTCGAAGTTGTGTTGTGGCGAGCGACTTTGGGGTTAAGATGGCCTCGATTTCGTGAAGACCCTTTAATAACATAGAATTCTAACCGAAGTAGTCCCCTACGTGTTCTTTCCCTTCCTTCATGCCATGTCGTCCGTCCCCATTGCTCAGCTGTAGGTGCATTTCATCCGCGCGATACTATGTTGTGCTAAGTGCGGGTTTTTTTTGCAGGACTGGTCCGTTGGTAAGACATTCGTTCTTCATAGAAGGTTTGCGCTACTGATTGGAAATTTCTGTTCAGATTATCGGACATTTTTTTAACTGGGGACTTTTCGGTGCCTTAACTCTCCAAGCATGTGGGTTCGACGCACTCTATACTCGCTAAACGTTGAAACTTCCCAATTCTGCAGACATATATTATATAGCTTTCCCCACCGACCGTTTTTTCCCTACAAAAGCTTTGGCTTTGGTTATATACCTGTTTGAAATCGCGCAGACATGTATAGCCACCAGTGATGCATTTAGGAATTTTGGCACGGGGTGAGTTTTCTGTGTTTCGGGTGATTTTGGACTCATGTTCTTCGCAGTTGGGGCAATCTGATACAACTTGACGCGCTTGGGACCTATTGGATCAATGGTCCGCTAATGACCTCACTCGGTGAGCAATGCTTAAATTTTCTGCCTTTGGTGCAATAATTGAGATACGAGTTCAGTCAGCGCTACCGGACAGTTTTTCTATGCCTGGCGTATCTGGATTTTGACCAGGGAATTTTGGGTTCCCTCCGTCATCGTATTGGTGAGGAAGTTTTGTGTCATTTCAGATATTCTCGTTAATGAACAAGATGTTTTCTCTAGCTTTCTTTGACCCAAGCTGTTGCTGGTATATATGCAGGCGTATGGGCAGCTGAAATTGGACACTTCTCCGAGATACAGACAACGACGTATGTGGTTACTTCGGTTCGTAGTGCTTCCTCCTTTTTTTTCCCTCTGCGTGATGATCATGACCTTCTCAAAGTTGTGGCTTGCGGGGACGGCTTCGTGCGACGTGATCATTTCCGTGACCATGACCTGGAGTTTGTTAAGAGCACGCTCCGGGATCCGGTCAACAGACATTCTCGTCATCAAGATTGTTAGACTAACGGTCGAGACTGGCTCAATATGTGCGGCGTTTGCGATCATCGATCTTGTATTTTATCGGGTGTATCAGCACAACAACTTCCACCTCGTGCCTTCTATAGCGCTCTCAAAGTTATACTCGAATAGTCTGTTCGCGGTCAGTGTTAAAAGTTGGTGATCCTTATGATCATTGTATTCACAACATTTGTTTGTAGGTCCTCAACTCCAGGGTGCGGATCGTTGGCGGGCGTACTGGAGACAGTACCGCCCCAGATCCAACGCTGTCAGTCAACGCGGGCGCAGCAGCACGGCAAGCTTTGTCAGTGAGACATCGTCAGCGGTCGAAAGTAAACTTTCATACGGAGGCAGAAGCGCGTCCAAGTCGGGATACCTCGGACGAGGTGCTTGATGCTCGCGTAAGTATTAATCACGACCTCGCATGTTTGATACCTCGCTAAAATTCGTTGAGCAGTCACTGCGTCACGAGGCTCACGAGATGGAACAGGTGAAGGTTCCTTCGTACACTGCTGTATAGACCTACATCTTTTCGTTTGTATGTGCTATGAGTATTTACTGGCCGTCCGCTGTACAGTGGTTGGGATATTAGACCTGTAGCTTATTCAACGGAGCTCCGTTTATACTGTAACATATTATCTGTATAAGTAGCAGAAGAACATTATAGGAGGGAATAATACCATTCGATTCGTCGAGTGCATTGGCTTGTTTCACTGAGTTTTGGACATTCCAGTCCGGATTCCTCCGAGTTTCCCAAAAGAGGTTTACAGCACGTGATTGAATGTGGGCCAATATCGAGAAATGGTCTGATTCTCGGAGTTGGCAACAGACCTTCTCTTCTACACCCCTCTCGCTCTCCAACCATGTTGGATTTTTCAGCGCCGTCTCCGTCAGAGTCGGCCAGCTCTGGTTCCCACTCCTCTTCAGGCTTCGACTCATCAGATCTTTTGGACCTCAACTTGATTTTGCAAGACGACATGATCCAGGACAGCCCAACGGAAACCGACTGGTCCCAGCTCACCTCCATGTTCCAAGAGCCGATGGGGTATACGGGTTTTGATAATATGGATTTTGGGGCTTCCAATATGGTGGTTGAGCCCAGCCTATTGACCAAGACGAGCCATTACGAGTACGATTTTCCGTTCACGTTCCAGTCGCCTCCTGTTCTTTTGGCTGCTGAATATGGCTCTGTACCCAGAAGGATGAGTGTATCATCATCTGAAGAGTCTTCGCTGGACCCCGCTGCAGAGCTGGCCCAACGAGTCCGTGAATCAGCCGGTGTTGTAATGGCCATGCCTACAAGTAAGTCCAGTTCATACAAACTGGGCTCATTTATAAGCTATACTCTGTCTAACACGGCTCATTTACAGTGGGTTCAATGTCGTCTGCATCACTGTCTTCATCCTCTTCGGTATCCTCGGCTGCATCGACACCTCCTCCCAGCACCCCTCCCGCCTCCCAGGCTACCCCATTCCACGCCACTGTCGTCCCTTCTTCTGCCACAACGTCCAATACAATACTCATGTCCTCTCGGCCTAAAACATCTCACACCACCATCGAACGCCGGTACCGCACGAACCTCAACGCCAGAATCCAGTCCTTGCGCATGGCAGTTCCCGCCCTTCGGGTGTTGGAATGGAACGATGGGCCCAAGAAGAGCAAAGGAACGAAGGCCAAGATCAGGAATGAAGAAGATTCGACAGATATCATCGACGAGCGAGGATACGTTGATGGTGTCAAAGTGGCAAGGAAATGCAGCAAAGCCAATGTCCTCGGAAAGGCCGTCGAGTACATTCGAGTACTAAAGAAACGAGAGATGCGGTTAAAGTGTGAGCAGGATGGACTGAAAGCTTTGCTTTCGGGGTTGGTTGGCGGACCTGCCCTACTGCACAGTTGGGAGAAAGAGTGGAAGGAGAAATTTGGCGGTGAAGAGAAGGACGAAGTGGATGCCCTTGATATCGATGTTCCCGAGTCGGATGACGAGGACAACGATGAAGAGGAAGAGAGAAGAAGGAAGAAGCCCAAGATTGAGGTTCCATCTCCGACGCCTGACACCTCGGTACCCGCTGGTCTGCCTGTTGTACCCGAGAAGAGGAAGCGTGGTCGGCCTCGTAAGGTGGTACCCCCTGTGGCACCAGTTGAAAAACTTGGAGCCAAACTGGAAGCCCAATCTCAGGCACCACAGTACCTGTTGGCGACATTCGCGCTATTCTCCTTCTTCAACAATCCTTTCAGTTTGACAACACCTGCGTCAGAATATACTCACGAAGGAGTTATTCTCAGTGCCAGACCCCATTCTACTCTCAGCACATCCCAGTCATTGATTCAGGCGTTCCATCTTCTTGTATCGGTTTTAGTGTTCTTCTCCATTCTATGGCCGTGGATAGGCAAGATCAAGGGCCGGGTCAACTTTGACTTTGGAGCGTTTCGTACCGCTAAGAAGGAAGTTCATTTCCCGACCATGACGCGGACCGCTAGTCTGTTGGTAGCCCTTGAGCCGGCCAAGAGAGGTAAACAAGGCGAGGCGGAACAGCTTTCAAAGGCTCTCGGGCAGGGTCGTAAAGGAGAATCATTCGAGGAAAAAGGACTTGAACAGCGGGCGCAGGTCAGGCTTGCAGAAATTTGCGTCTTCAATCCAGGTTTGTGATCTCAATCGTGGATTTTGATGTTGACTGACCATAATTTAATAGAGCGAACGTCGCTGATTACTCGATTGCTTACAATGTACCGACTTCGCAGTCGCCTTCCCTGGTTCAGTGCTAGCGCGGGCGACTTGAGTACGCTGGCGATGCTATCGTGCCCTGTGGCAAAGAGGCATGCGGCCAGTATCTGGGAAGCTGCGAAACGCGACGGTGGCATCGCTTGTGCTTACGAGCGATTGGTGTTGGGATCTGTTGATGTCGACGAGGCCGTATCGCGGCTGAAAGCCGCAGGTACCAAAGCCGAGTGGGATAGATACACTCCAATCGGTGTTGTCGCGTGTACCCTTGTTTTGGAACGCACGAAAGCCCATTTGGAAGGCATCTTCGTCGAGTCTGTTGTCCCTGCTGGTGTTGAAAATGCCAGTGAGAGTGACAAAGAGGAGGAGCTCCGTAGGATTACTGTTGACGCTGCCCGATCCTTGGGTGGAAAGATGGCGGAGCTTGGAGACGTCTTTGAGAAAGTGTGGCTTGGCGGTGGTGGTGGCCTGGAAGGAGTGTGGGTTGACGATGACCAGGAAGAGGAGGAGGAAGACGATGAAGAGGAGAAGGGTGTAGAGCGTGATATCAAGTCGCTGATCCGTGGAATTATGCTTTATAGGAAGCTGTTCCCCTCTGCCGTGATGGGATGTGGGGGTGAGGGCGTGTCTATCCTGCTGAGCCCCCCGCCGAGTCCGTCGTTGACTGACCATGAAGGCGCGGGGTACAAGTTGAGGACGATTATGGGTAGGAAGGTGTTTGATGGTGAGGAGGTTGAGGAGGCGAGGGATAGGGTTGTTGATGTGCTCGTTGCGTCGGAACGTCGTGGGAGGCCATTTTAGTGATTTGGTTAGGATGTCCACGGACCAAGAGTATTTGTATATCTATATTTTAATACTTGTATCCTTCTCGGCTATGGGGAGTGGATTTATACTTGGATATTTAAATGGAAACGAGCTATCATTCAGTCGCTCGGTTGACATACTGGCCCTACCTTCTGAATGACTTTACAAGCAGCGAAATACTATAGGGTAATGTTGGCTTCCAAGAACGTTCAATGGTTTGAGGATATTCTTATCACGTATTTATTATTGTTATGTTATGTAGCAGACCATCTCAATAACCATTCCTTTATCAAAATAAGTTGATGTACAAAACATTAAACCCACACCATCAAGCCGCCGCCCAGGTATTCCACTACTACGAATGTTCGACGTCCGGGAATCAGATTCACAGTGTTCTGGCCCCACCCCTGCGGAATAAGGCGAACGGGTCAATCATCATTCAAATAAGGATCATAGAGTACTTGCGCACTTAGGCTGGCAACAGTGTCTCACGAAACCCTGACACTTGAGCAGGGCCACTCGCCACAGCTGACCTATTACACAGTAAGTAGCGTCAAGAAAAGCGGAACGTGGAAATTCAAGTTACCCATTTTTGTTCAAGTTTCTCTTCATGATTTTTAACTTGGTTTGAGAATGGTGAACGTCAAGTTACACCAACTTCAAGAAACGTTTACGTTCACGTTTCGCATCTGATAATTACATCTAGTTCAAGCACTAGGGCCCCCCATACTGGAGCAAGCGGAGCTATGAGCAGTTCAACATCCACTTCTATCTGGTAGAATACTGCTGGGGGGTGACTTCATACCTGGATATTTTTAAATGAAATCGGGTTGTCACCGAAGTCGCTCAGCTCAGCTATACGGAATAAAAAGTCGGATTCAGAGAGAGAGAGAGAGAGTTCAAGGATGTGGATATGCATTTACTATAGCAAATCAGAAACTTACAAGCAATAGTCCCAGAGGCACCCAGTTATTCCAACTTGATTTTTCGACTCCCAGGAACCAAAGTGCGGACCTTATGCCGTTCCGACCTCTGCTGATGAACGAGCCAATGATCACACATATATGGATCATAGGTGCTTGCGCACTGGCAACAGCGTCTCACGAAGCCCTGGCACTTGAGCGAGAGCACTCGCCACAGCTCACCTATACAATAAGTAGCGTCAAGAACGGAGCGTGGAATCGAATGACGCTGCTCAGACCCACCTTGACGACTCGGTATGGCTTTGCACGAACGCCAATTAAAGTTTCGAAAGTCGTCAAACCGTTCTCCGTCGTATTTCTCACAGTAGAAACGCATAGTGTGGTCCTCGTCGTAGACTACGTGCACGGTGTCGCCAGAAGATGGGTAACGGGTCAGTGCAGTCTCAACGTGAAGGGAAACATGAGCCGAAGACACTCATCCATGTTGTCTCTGTACCATTTTTCACTGTTAAACCCCTCGGGAAGGTTGGATAGGTATCCGATATCGTAGCGCAAGACGAGGGACCACGTCGTGCGGACAGTGGTCAGGTGAGGGCTGGAGTCCATGGAAAAACATATTTCGGTATGGGCGACCTGCTTCACTTTGTGGCGACTGATATTTAGGGTCTCTTGACGGGAGAGCTTGAGCGAGAGTTTCTGGATGTTTGGGAAGCAGGTACGGAGTCCGATGAAGTTACGTTGCTTGCAGAGGATCATGTATATCTCTTTGGCTGGATCGGCGGTGGAGCTGTGGATGTTGGGCTGGCAGGTGATGGCGCAAGTGGAGTCGGGCAGAAGGTCGCCGTAGATGACGGATGCTTGGGAGTGGATGAGGGCATGTTTGAAAACCAGATTCCAGAGAGAATGTCGTCGATTAATTCGGGTGGTAGTGCTGAACTTTCCATGATAAGTTAATCCCTACTTTCAAGTTCATCGGTACGCAAAGTAAAGTAAGAGATGAGCAACGTACAGCCGATAAGAGTCCAAGTGGTTCAAGATTCAAGGCACAACCGCTGGAATGAGGTCTGCAGTCTGTCAGAGGAACCTGGCAAAGCAGATTCGAGGGCAGCGCTGGGTTTCGAGGTCAGATATCTACTAATATTGTAGGTGCATCGGTATACCAAGTTTCAGAGTCGCTCGTCCCTAACCTAATGCACGTACTTGACAACACCCCAGTCGTTCAGCTCTCTTGTCTTGGTGTCTTGCTAGTCCTGGACGTCTAGTGGTGACCGTGGCTGAGTGAAACTGAGTGAAAGGCTACCACGTGCACAAATTCAAGCTAAGTATGGTCAACGTCAACCTAACATTTAAAGGATTTGCGTCCGATAACAACGTCATCCAACGAACGGAGCAGGCCAACAAGACTTTGACACTGGCGATACTCGCCACCATCGGCCTAGCAGTAAAGAACCGTCAAGAGGGAAAACTAGACAAAGTCTCTTACCGACCTGTAAGGCTGTAACCGAGCACCTAAACGTCCTAGAATATGGTAGTGTATACCCTGTATAGAAGCCCGTGCTCAAGAGAAGGGGAAAAAATCAATGGGGTATAAGGTAAAGACAGTTAAACAAAGGAATGGTCGTGCCAAATTTCCATTTCGAGTTCAACCGCCCTCATATATGCACCTCTACCTCCTCCTTCTCCCAACAAAGGTATGCTCCAAGCTATATCGTAGTTGGCGTCGCTCACGCGAGGATTTCCAGTCTCGTCACGAGCGACAATGTCTCTTGTTCAATGGGCGACACCTAGCATCCTTTCTTTCTTCCTGATTCTCCTCTACATCCGCGACAATGACAGGAAGCTAAAGGCTATTCCAGCGCGTGCAGCGCATTTCTCACCAGTTCGTTGGTCGCCGAAGGACGTGGAGAGGATGGCTTCCGAGTGCGAGCTTGCCGCCCCGTCGATAGATGACCAGCTGCCGCCGAAGACCGGAAGGAGGTATATAGTTGTTGGTGGAGTGTGTCGTCTTTTTTTCTCTCCATGAAATGCACTGACAAGGCTATAGGCAGGATTCCTTGGTGGGTGGATTGTACTGCAGCTGCTTAAACGGGGAGAAGACCCCAAGTGTATCAGAATACTCGACATTCGTCCTCCAAAACGCCTAGATCTCCTCGAAGGAAAGGCAAAGGACGTGAATTTTATCCAAGTTGATATTTCCGACAAGGTGGCCGTCGACGCGGCTTTCAGCAAGCCTTGGCCTGATGACGACAAGTCACCAATATCGGTATTCAACACGGCCGCTAATATACGGTTCTACGAACGACACGCTTCTCTCATCCCATTATCCGCCAAGGTCAACGTCCAAGGTCCCGAGAATATCATTGACGCGTGCCGGAAAGTCGGCGTGTCAATTCTCGTACATACCTCGTCCGGCTCCGTTGCAGTGCATAGCTCACGTTTTCTACTCTGGCCGTGGCAGGAGGAGCCCAGACAGTTTGTCCAAGTCATCAACGACGACGATGAGCTTATTCCCAAGGCCCATCAAGACTTTTTCTCAAATTATGGATATACGAAACGACAAGCAGAAGTACTGGTGCGTGGGGCCAACGACGCGGATGGGCTTCGAACCGGGTGCTTGAGGCCGGGGAATGGTATCTTTGGTGCTGGAGGAGACATGCTTTGCGGGGCATATCTCGTCCGGAAAAGCAACCCTACATGGATACAGAACATCGTCTCCTCGTTCGTATATGTGGAAAACTGCGCCGTTGCGCATCTTCTCTATGAACAGCGCCTTATCGAGTCGCCCAATCTTGGCGGACAAGCTTTCTGCATCGCTGACCCTGGCCTACCCCCAACCTACGGGGACGTCTACACCGAACTCGAAGTCCTCGACGGAGAAGTCTCCTTTCCCCACCTTTCCCCCACTTTCATACTCCTCCTCGCCTATTTTTTCGAGTTCCTCTACCTCACGCGCTACCTTTTGAATGTTTACGGATACCCTTTCCTGGCTAGTTTTATACCCAATATCGGTGGAAGCGATCTCGTCAACCTCCAACCTTCTCTGTACAATTTGACGATGGTGCATCTGATTTTTGATGATTCCCGGGCGAGGTTGTCGCCGGATAAGGGAGGGTTGGGGTATAAGGGCGCTTTTACGACGTTTGAGGGGCTGTATAAGACGGCCGTGGAGCATAGACGTGGTTTGAATCGGCCTGGGGCGATGGCGAGGTCTGATGTGGCGGGAGTGAGCTTTAAAGGGATGGGGTTCATGAAGGCCCAGCGTGGTGTTGGATGGCTGGCAGATAAGATCAAGGAGGAGACTGGTGTTGACCCGGTGGAAGTCTTGGCGAGTTCATGATACTCTGGGGTTCAGAAGGACATGGAATATACCGCGCTCTTGTATTATGAGCTCAATGGACTGCTGTGCATCGAAGCAAATGCGCGAGAACGATGGAACGTTGTTCAGATCTGCAGTACTTCCCAATTACTTACTGTAGCCTTAGGTCATTATTATTCTCGGGAGGGGCACATATGACTTTCGCGACTTTTATGTGCTGTCCGTATAGCGATGCCAACACGGTAGTCACCTCAACGAAAAAAAAAAAAACCAGACCACTAGTTTGACTCTATTATTACACTTGAAGACTTATCCAACATATGGCAGGACTTTTTTATGCGCCACTACGACCAGCAGCTTTTACAACCCCCCCTTCTAGTATCGGCAGCATTTTAGCAGGATTTTCGATCGTTGGAGAAGGCAAAAAGCCAGCTCTAACCAACCACGCAAGGTATTTGCCCATCAACTCGTCGTCCACCGTCGTGTTCACCCTTTCTGTATGGGGCCGTAACACACTGGCTGTATTCGTATCGTCCAAGTCTGGCGCCTTGGTACTTGTCGGCAGATCATCCAGTACGAAGTGAAGGAGGGGATACAACGCGTTGTCTTGCACCTCCATGACGTGCTGTTCGAGCTTCCTCCGCCAGACGAGGTACTCGCATTGTTCGGTGGGGAAGCCGTACTGCGTAAGGGAGGAGAGCATGCCGTTGAATGTGGGGAGCGGGCGGGCGGTGATGTGCATAACTGAAAGGGCAGCGTCGGGAAGGGGAGAGACTGTCGCTAGGGAGGTGCATAGTGCGACGTGATCTACAGGTACCATGTTGACGGTGTTGTTCATGTCGGGAACAAGTCCCAGCTGGATACAGCCCTTTACCATACGCCAGATGAAGTCGTCGGTATTTGTGACTGGAACAAAAGAAAAGCGTGAGTGTCCGCTTGAATGATATGGAGGAAGACATACCGGCACTCCGAGAATCGCCAACTACGTAACCGGGTCGCACGATATGCCCCCTCAGGCCTCTCCGCCCTGCTTCGAAAAGAAGCTTTTCCGATACCCACTTGCTTTGACCATACCCGGTCTTCAGGGACGCTCGAGCGCCTTCCAGGTCATCGCTTTCGGGTATGCCTTGTTGGTTTGAATCAGTCAATGATTCCGAAAGGCGGACGTAGTGCTCAGTGTCGACATCTGACGTGGAAGACACGAAGACAACGAGCTTTTGCTTCCCCGTCGACGCGAGCTCGATAGCAGTCAAAGTAGAAAGAACGTTGGCCGCCCGTAGTTTCTCATACGGGTAGACCCAATGCACCTACCCCGACCGTCAGTATCATGGAATAAACTCGAAACAAAGGACGAACCAAAGCACCGTTATGCAGGATAGCGTCAGTCTCTTCGGCCACCCTGCTCCACGCCTCCCCCAAACCGAAGTTTTCCAAACTCAAATCACCAGTTAGGACCTCCAACCGCCCAGTATTCACCCATTCATCATCCCATACTCCTCGATTCGTCGACCCTTCCTTCAACCTAGCCAAAGCTTTATCACGATCGCTCGCCCGGACAAGGCAAATGACCTTTTTCACCCTTTCACGCCGCAAAAGCAAATCGCGCAGTACGAACGCGCCCAAGAAACCAGTTGCACCAGTGAGGAAGACTGTAATCGGCTTTATCGCGAAGTCTGAAGGAAGCGGCGCGTAGGTCTCATGCAGCTTCGGTAACAGCTGGTCGTAATCCTTGCCATATTCGATAGTCGTCACGGGCTTTTTCTGAGGGACTGCAAGGAGGGGTGTGGTAGTCAGCTCCTTGTACGTGAGCCCCAAGTCAGCATTACGCAGCGCCTCAACGGCTTTGACGAGGCCAGAGATGGTGGGTTCGTCGAAGATCAGTCCTAGGGGCGCGTCGACTACGAAGGTCTTGCGGATCTCGAAGATAAGGCGCGTGGCAAGAATGGAGTGTCCACCGAGATCGAAGAAGCTTTCATCTAATGGTAGGGGGTAGGGTGCGTTTGGAAGTATTTTGGACCAGAGCTCGCGCATTTTCCCTTCTGTTGACGTCGCTTTGCCAGTGGAGGGTGCAGCGGTGGCAGATTGGGCGGTATCGGGGAAAGGTAGGGCGGGTTTGTCGATCTTGCCGTTAGGATTAAGCGGCATACGCTTCAATGGAACAAAAACTAGCACATGTGTTAATGTCGCCGTGATATGTAGAGATAAGCAACCTACGAGTGGGGACGCTGTAGCTAGGCAGTTTCTTTTTGAGATGCTCTCGGATATCCTTGATTAGGCGCCGGTACTTCCTAATACCATGAACCAGTCCTTTTGGACCTTCCTCGTCAGTGATATCGCTCGCGAATTCATCAAGTTTATCGCCACCCAAAGGAACAAAGTAGCTAACAAGAATTTTCTCCTCGTCTTTATCACGCCTCACAAGGGTGACATTCTCTCGAATAAGATGGTGTTGGCTAAGATGCGTATCGATCTCTCCAAGTTCTATTCTGAACCCGCGAATTTTGACTTGGTCGTCGGCGCGTCCTGTGCACTCCACTACGCCATCAGGCATGTATCGTCCCAAATCACCGGACCGATACATCCGATCACGTATGCCCTTCCAGTGTCTAGCCTCAGGCCCTGGAAGTGTGTTGTTCAAAGGCTGCTTGATTGTATCCTTCCTGGTTGGCGCGGAGGCTAAGAACCAGTTGGTGACGAACTTCTCCGCGGACGAGTCGGCATCGAGGTAGCTCTCTGCCAAGCCACCAGAGCGAACGTAGATCTCGCCGACTTCACCGATGGCACACGGGATGTTCTTGTCATTCCTGTTCACGACCAGAAGCTGGACATCAATCATCCCTTCACCCGCAGGCATGATGTCCTTCTGCGTGGCAAGGAAAGTAGGATCAACCGATACCGGCGGAATGGCGAAGTAGGAGACTGCTCGCTGTGTCTCCGTCGTTCCGTACATGTTGATAATCCGGACGTTAGCGGCTAAGGACTGGAGCCGGAGACAATCGCGCTTGGTGAGGACATCACCAACGAAGAAAGCATTACGAAGCGAAGGGATTTGACGCGTCGCTTGTGCTGAGAGTAGCTGACCCATAGCCGGTGTTAAATGAGTAATCGTTACTTCACTATCAGCCATCCACTCTGCTAATCGTCCAGGAGTTCCTATATCATCGGCCGTGGGAACATGTAACTGAGCGCCAAAGAAGAGGGGAGTAAACACTTTTTTTTTACACCATCAGAAGCATCGCATAGACATCAGGAAGAGAACATACTGTCGCGTTGGATTGGATCGTGGGCAATCCCACTAAGCATCGTAAACTTGGAATTTTCGTTGAGATCAAAGCGTTCACCCATCCAGGGAAAGAAATGCGTCAGACTGAAATGACGTCCCCTTACACCCTTAGGAATACCGGTACTTCCGCTGGTGAACGAAAGGGTGCCGATACTATCAGGACCAAGGACCACGTTAGGATCCGTCTCCGCTAAATTAGATAGGGAGTGCAAGACATCGACGTTGTCCTGACTGACGTCTCCGAATATGGTACCGTCAGGCTCGATCTCCAGTGCAGGCACCTCTACTCGAATTTTGAGATCCGTAGAGATGAATTCACGCACGGAAGGAGCAATGACTCCAGCTCCCTTGAGGACAATTAGGCCGCGCGGCTGGGTAACCCGGAGGTAGATAATTTGACGCGACGCAGGGTACGCGGGATCTATGGTCAACACGTTTAGAAGTAAACAAGAAGATGAGGTGGAAATAGTAGTGACCAATTACAGAGAAGGTCGCTCCGGCTTTCAGCACTGCCATTACGGCAACCACTAGATCGACGCTGCGATGAGCATAGACCATTACGACCTCTTCTCGTTGGACACCTCCTTTGAGAAGGTGGTGTGCCAAGATGTTGGAAGCTCGTCTTATTGCTCCATACGAGTAGGTAATCTTCTCTTGTGGATCCGAAAGGGAACGCGCAGGCAGACTCTGAATGACACACGGCCGATTCGGCCATTCACGGGCATTGCGGGAGAATACATCAGTGATAGCACCCTTCCAGTCGCACCAGTTGAGGTCAGCGGTTGGATCGGGGAGCTTTTCTCGTTGAGCAGGAGTCAGGAGTGGAATGGCGCCAATGGGAGCGACTGGATTAGACGATACTCGACGGAGAAAGTTCGATAGTTGGTCGACGATGGTTGAGATACGAGCATGAGTGAAAAAAAGGGAGTTGTAGAGTATACGGAGAGAGATACGGGGGGCGATGGATGCACGGGAAGATGCTGGGGGCCGTGTCACAAAGACTGTAAGATCGGAAGTCAAGCTTGTAGATCGTATAAAATTCTCCATCGGCTGGTCCATTTCATCGAAAAAACGGACTCGGAAGAGGGGGCCCTCTAATAATGGGTCCCTGTTCTTGTACAAGGCATTGGTGATGGCCTCAAAAGGAACTGAAATGGACTCTGCCTCTTGCTCAAGCTGCTGTACCCTACGCACAATGGCCCAGAAAGGATCGAGAGGATCTACGGAGATGCGGAGAACGAGGGGGTCCTTGGCAGAGGCAGAAGATGATCCTATGAGAATATCTGTTTCTCCAGTGTAGCGGTGCAAAAGGACGGTAAATGCAGCCAATAGAAGATGGAAAGCTGACGGTCGCTTGGTATGCTGACTGTCGTCGTCATCGGAATCTCCATTCTCATCGTACAGCGCCAACTTCATGAGGGAAAGAGAAGCATGGTCTGAGAGCTCTGCCAAATGAGCAGCCTCGACGAGTTTGTTGGCACCTACTGGCCGTGGATAGTCGGTAGGCAACGAAATCGACGGCAAATGTTGCAGCCTTGCAATATTTTGAGCCAAGCGCTCCTCTGTCGTCAATAACGCCATGGTCCTAAGAAGAATTATCAGTCTCGAGTACTTGGAAACCAGAAAATGACTCACTCTGAATGTTGAGAAAAAAAGGTGGTCCGGATTTGCCTCGGCCGAATCCCTTAGTCGCGTACGTCACATATCACGAGTGAACGCACTGAACGCAGTGTCACGCTTCGCACTTGTGCTCCTACACTCACCTAGGTGTACCTTGGATGATTTTAACTGTCTTGGTCTCGTGTCCTGCAGGAGAAGATGTTTCTTTGATGCTCTCTGTGTAATGATAAGAATCAACTCTGGCGCAAATGCCACCGAAACGACGACGAACGTACAACTCTTGGCGGTAACAGATATACATCGAACCCAGTCAAATTGCCTGCTCCTTTCTGGTTACGCCGTGATGGGCTTATGATTCGCTTGCGTCTGCCACCGCTATGATCTAGTAGAGCATTCGGCGTCAAGGTGGGAATCTGCGTCGGAAAACTTGCGATAATCCGATGTGTTGGTGGTGCAATATGCACCGATTACGACCTTGGATAGGCCGCAGCGGCTTGGTGACGTGAGCAGATTGCATGCTCGACCATCTCACAGCGGAAGGTGGCATCGATGAGCGTCCTCGGAGTATCATGTCAAGAGTCAAGACTCTTGGAAGGACATCCGTTTTACCGTCTTACGAGTCTGAAAACTGTTACGCTTTGGCTTGGGCTTTGTCGATATCAAATTTCCTGTGATTCGAATAAGGTACGTTGTACGTTTTACATCACCCACTGGTAGTCAATGTTAACAGGACAACTCATGTACTTTCATCTTCACGACCCGGAACTTGTTACTCGGATTCTTACGTTTGCCGCTACAAACTTGAAGACACACGTTCCATCCTTAGCCCACTGCAGTCCCATACGACTTGTTCTCTCGATCGGTATGCAAGGCTACTCACGAGGAGACAATTAAAGGTGCTTGCCTCAGCCAGGCCAAAGGAAGAAACACGGGATGCTGGTCAAGAAATTGTTTTCACAGACGTGCCGGAAAAGCCCTGCAGCCGGCTGACAATAGAAGATAGCCAGGGTGTGTGTGTCGTGCTTCGACGTCCCTGTATTTTCTTTATGGCAATTTGAATCTATTCACTCTATGACAGTCCTTCCCACGATCATACAACTTCTCCGTATGTGGTCGCTTAGCTACATTTCAGGTGGACCTAGACCCATACCTACTGCGATGACGATGCAATGCCCTGCTTCAGCAAGAAGAAACGTTTAGCGATAAGAGTTGGGATGCACTTCTCGAAATTGTGTTTGATAAGAAGCGAAAACTGCGCCTGCTCCTGCTTATTATCCAAGGTGATCTTATTTTTCCTTTCTCCCGATGTGAGCTCATCATATGTAAAGGAAGCGTGCATCTCTGGTTCCTAAACCTTTCCGGGCCCGGAAGACTGTTGTGCCGTTTCGACGGGCTCTTTCCACGTTGATGCCGTCGGCCCAGGTTGATCGTATCTCGGTCCTCGTCGGACGAACAAATCGTTTTCAAGTACATATGGCCCGCGATTATTCCTATGACTCCAGGCCCCCCTTCAATTGTTTTGCCTCGGCCTCCTGACGACAGATTGTCAATTTTTCCTCGCGATGGCGCCTTCCCCTACCCCCGCCTCTCCACACATTCGGAACCTATCCTCCACGGATGTGCAACGACCCGGTACTCCGGATAATGACGGCCAATCTGTCGTTTCAGAGACCATTGAAAACACTGTAATAGACATTGAGCATATGCCCGTTCATGATGATCCGCGAAAATGGTCACGCTTTCGCAAGGTGAGTCCTCTCTAATGTCGTTCGACCACCACTACTTATGAGGCTGCGGTCCAGCACTTCATACTGGCTGTTATATGTTCGGGTTCAATGATCGCCGGCTTTGGCGCCAGTATACAAAATCGTGAGCTCGACTAGATGACTGTACATTCTACTTTGTATTCACATGATGTACAGCTGCGAACGAAGAGATGGAGAGGGACCTGCCTGCAACGAGCGGGGAGATAAGCTTGAGTGTGTCGCTCTTCATTCTCATGCAAGGCATTACCCCGCTCCTCTGGAGTTCTATCAGTGAAGTCAAAGGCCGCCGGGTATGTTACGACTGAAATTTCCATTTCTCTACTTATCCGTTTGATGATATTAGTTTGTTTATCTCATATCGCTTCTCATATTCACTGCTGGCTCGATTATCGTCGCCACGAGCAAGACTATTGGCTTGTCAATCTTCTCTTCTTTCTTGCCGACTTCATTTATTCATTCGACGCCTCAGAGTGATAGGAATGCGCTGTGTGCAAGCACTGGGGTATGTCTTGCAATATCCTTGGTTGTATTTTTTTCCCCTCACTCTGCTCAGGTCAAGTGCCGTTATGACCATCGGTACTGCTAGTCTCGCCGATATTTTCGACCCAGTAGAGAGGGGCTCGAAAGTGAGCGTAGTTTATCACATTGCATCATTGCATCATGCTGAATATTGCTTTTTAGATGGGCATATACTACATTTCCCCTCTTCTTGGTCCTTCCCTCGGTCCTGTATTTGGTGGAATTCTCACGACAGGATTTAACTGGCGTGCTCCCTTTTGGTTCCTGGCCATCCTGGCCGGCACCGTTTTTCTCTTCTTTTTGTTCTTTTTCAAAGATACCTTTCGGCAGGAACGAAGCTTTGCATACCAGACAGTGCTGAAGCGTCTTTTGGACGAGCGGGCGGAGAGTCTGAGGAGGGAAGAAATATTACAGACGAAGCTGGCGGAACGAACTGACACGAAGGAAACGATAGAAGATGACGGCCGTATCTCGACTGTTGACATAGAGAAGCAGGATCCCACCTCGAAAACCGATACATTGGCTCTTCCTGCTATAACGCTCACCTTGAAGGATGTCGCTCCCATTGAAACGTTATGGCTGGTCATCCGGCGGCGGAACAACTTCATACTGTTGCTGGCTTCTGGTAAAGTAACCACTCTAGTAATACAATCCGCGCCTGATGACTTCCACTTAGGTATTTTATTCTCCTACTGCTTTACCGTGGTATACACGACCTCTCGCACACTGGCAAATGCTTACGGTTATGATGCGCTATACACAGGACTCGTGTTGCTTTCTTTCGGACTGGGTTTGCTGACCTTTTCTTCACATTCCCCGCGTATCTTTCGGAACTAATACGAATGTCGTGTAAGGTTCTATGGTGGGGAGTATATTTGGAGGTCGCTACTCTGATCGCGAGCTAGCAAGGCTTGCAAGAGAGAATGGTGGTAGAGGCTGCCCTGAGGTATGCCGGTCGTCCCCTTACCCTTAGAATTTCAATGTTCATCGCCTTCCTGTAGATGCGTCTCAACAGCACACTCCATGGTCTTTGGCTCTTCCCCATTTCCGTTGCAGGATTCGGGTGGGTATTGGAACGACATGAGCACATCGCGGGGGTATGTGTAATGCTGTTTCTAACTGGAGTATTTGCAATGTAAGGTCCCAATTGAAAGTGATGCGTTTTCTAACAGTCTTTTGATAATTTAGTTACATTTTTTCGAGTGAATTGGCCTACCTTGTAGATGCAAACGTAGGTCGTTCATCTAGTGCTGTCGCTTTTAACAGTCTCTTCCGTGGACTTGGGGCTTTCATTGCCGTAGAGATTGCGGTTCCCATTCAGGTTCGTCGTGTGTTCTTCTTTCACGCCATTTTCAGGATTTACAACCTGTCCAAGGATGCGCTTGGTGATGGTATGTTTCATTAATCGTTTTCTACCGTGTATGTTGCTCATGGCTGAAATGTAGGCTGGATGTACACCATATTTGCTTTTGTACAAGTGGGCAGTGGATTATTGGTGCTACTGGTAAGAGCAAAGGGGGAGAAGTGGAGAAACCGAGCAGAAGCTCGCGAAGCTCAGGCAGCACAAGAGCAAGCTGCGTAACACTGATCGCTAGGAGAGACTGGCTGACATGCCATTTTAGAGAATCCTAATTCACAAATAGAATAGAGGCCCGAAACAAATATTTTGGTTCTTTCTTGGAGGAACGCTCCGAAAATGCCTAGTGTCCACATTTAGCCCTAGTAAAATGAGACAGTAGCCGTCCATGTGATGCCGCCCAAGACCACGCCGCGGCCGCACTAGGCGCGTACTTAATGTCACGATCACGAGAATCAGGGTCACCTTTCCCCTTTACCAATGCATCACCACTAAGACGCGTTAGTTTCGTACCTAAGAAAAGATTGGTCGCATTCGTGCATACAATACCAGCTTCAATTATGTAAAAAGCTGCTATGACCGTAAATTAGAGATCTCAGGTGATATCGTGGAGAACACACGGGACCGGTGCCATTAATATTATTCCGATGTCCTGCTCCGCTGACTGGATTGTCCCACGGAGAAGTGGGAGAAATCAGTCGGTATCGAACCCTCCTTCGCATCATCTTCCCAACCACCATAATGGAAGCAGTATACTATCACGGAGTGGGTATCGTTTCTCGCCATCATGCCTGTGCTGAACAGAAGCTGTAGGTCAATAATCTTGATATTATCACTACCCCGATTCCCCAGATCAAGGAAGATGAGGTTTTGATCAAGAGTTGTGTTTTGCGTGCTGTCCTTGACGAGTGATTAATATCGACTTCAGTTGCGTGCTGCGGAGTATGTGGTACTGATCATCACATCAGTCAAGGTGAATTCGACATGCAGTGTAACAACGCGATCTGACCGCTGGATCCATATCAGGGGAGTTCATCACCAAGTTCCCAGTTAGTCCGATATCACACTGCTAATATTTCTTGCGGTCCAATGTCTTCCTTTAGCTTACACCTGGTCACGAAATGGTCGGAAGGATCGCCAAGGTTGGCCAATCAGTCAAAGGCTTTGCTGAAGGTGATCGAGTCGTAGCTGATCCTGGAATTACGGTATGCGGGTCCTCATCCTCGACTTCGCGAAGCTGACAACATCATGCCATTAGTGCGATGAATGCTTCTACTGTCGTCGGGGTCAATCCTTGCTATGTGAAAACTTTGAGTCTCTGGGATGCACCGTTGCAGGCGGCTTTGCAGAATACGCTGTGGCGTCCGTAGTCCTTTCTGCTTTTACCTATACTGATGTTGATTGTTACGCTCAGTCATAAAAAGAAGGTCTACAAGATTTTTAACCTTACTGATGAGGAGGCTACTCTCATCGAGCCTGCATCTTGCGCCATTCATGGTGCTGACAAGCTGAATCTTCCAGTCGGATCAGAGGTTCTGATTCTTGGGTCAGGACCAACAGGTCGGTTTCAACGCGGCATTGTCTTCCTCGGTGCTAATCGACGTCTTTGCAGGCCAGATCCTGTCTCAATTACTCAAGCTCAATGGTGCTTCCAAAGTCGTCCTCGCAGCTAACAAGGGCATCAAGACTCGCATCGCCAAAGAGCTTGGGACGGCTGATGAGTATATCGAATTCGACCGCGAGAAACCTCAAGCACAGTGGGACAAGATCAAAGTTGATTATCCACATGGCTTTGATGTAGTAGTGAGTGACTTGTATCTAAAATTTTATTTCTCATTCCATATGCTCCTAGGTCGAAGCTACTGGATCAGAGAAGGTTGCCAATGACGCGATCAACTATGTTAGACGGGGCGGCACCTTGATGGTTTATGGAGTCTATGCTAATGCTGCTCGGGTTCACTGGCCACCGTCGAAAATCTTTGGGGATGAAATTAGGGTAAACTTGTTCTTTGCCTTTCTGGCTTGATGCAGGACTCATACTTGTCCTCTAGATTATCGGGTCTTTCTCCCAGACACATTGCTTTCCTCGCGCTGTGGCTTACCTGGACAGTGGAAAGATTAACGTGAAAGGGATGGTACGTCAATCTGTCGTTGTTTTGAGTAGTTCTGAACTCGTAGTTCCAGGTGACGGATGCCTTTGAGATCAAAGATTTCCAGAAGGCGCTTGATAAGATGAACAGCAAGGAGGCTCTCAAAGTAATCATTAGGCCTGCTCAGAAATAGGTTGCTAGGCATGTTTATCTGTTACTCTCTTTAATGATGGATATCGTTTCTGGACGTATAATCTTAGGCCTCATTATTAACATGCTGTGTTGCTCTCTATGAACAAAGGGCTTACTTCTTTATCCATATCCACATCATAAATCGGCCAGTCTGTGCACTAACTTTCTTCCCTTCTCCACCACTCCGGTCTGCAATATTGTCCCTTGAAGCTGAAGAAGATGGTGGACTAAGTACCAAATACTCGGTGTCGGAGGTTTCACAGGCCACACAACGGAACCATGTCTCAGGCACTTTGGATTAGGGGGCAAGTCGAGACATTAACATTTCTCTATCGCTGCTGGCAGTCATCATGTAATCAAGCCACCGAAACTGCCATACTGAACCTTTTCCATGCGGCATACTAAGGGCATCTCGGTATTCGAAGGAGCGCCATTGGCGGTTAGCGAGCCTCACTGGCACGCAGTGGGATAGTTATTGGCTGGACGCAGGACCTGTAAAGTATAGAACTCCCAAAGCAACACTGATATTGGCATGTACTACGTGCATAAGCTCGGAATACTAACTAATACTATGTCGGCGAAAGGGAGAAGTGAAAAAAGGGAAGAAGGTAACCGACATGGTGATGTCCTAGGCAGATAGGTATCAGGATGGAGAACGGTTAGTCCTCAACAAAGTGAATCTCACCCGAACACGACAACCAAAGTCCGTTACGCTCTCTCCGGTCCTACGGCACATTTACTCGCTGTAAAAATGACCAGTCAGCATGGGGGCACCCAAGACAGCAATAGTCATCGACTCACAGGAGGGAGAGGGTGATGTCACCGTTGACCTTGGCCTGGATGGCGATCTCGACCTCGAGGTTGAGGTCAAGGCGGAGCTTCAAAGCTTCCTTGGGAGCGACGGTGCCCTGGTTGGAGCGAGTGGCAACAGAGGTGGTTTCTGGGGCAGACATGTTGTGGATGAAGAAAGGTTCTTGATGGGCTGGCCCTTTTATATGTGTGTTGACCAGAGCTAGGCCTCAGGCAACGTTATCCTTGCGCTATGATGTTGTCCGTGTGCCGGGCGCCCCATGGCAACTTGGTCTTGAAGATGAAGAAACCGCCTTCAAGTTCACGTAACGGTTCCTATTTCAAAGTAAACACTTAAAACCGCAATGCTCAAATGACAGGAATTCCAGGTGTCAGTGGTAACGAGGCGAGGGGAATTCTATAGTCACCTTCTTCTGTTGTGTCCCAGGACACTAACTTTCGGCAAGGGGAGTGGGTGTATGTGGGTCCCAAATTTTGCTTATTCACCGTGGGAAAAGCTGGTAGCCTATCGCCTGCATCATACCATTATTATCACTGGTAGGGAAGAGTCCAGCTGAATCTTCACGCAAAATGGCCAAAACTACTTCCTGGACCGCAGCAACTTTCTTCCTTGGATCCTGTCCACCAAAATCTCGCGGCCCTGGTTCGTTACTACCACGAGACTTCGAGAAATGACAGGAAGGCGGCTTCCGTACTACGACGGTTTGGGGGATTACTTGCGTGAGGATCCTTGCCTTGAGGCATAGCTGAACATTTCTTCTAGTCGCCACCACATTCCTCTTCTCGTAACAATATGCTGGCGGCAACCCGAGTTCCGCCAACGCCGCCACACCATTTTCGCCTTCGATTGATGAAATTCAGTGTCGAGCGATAAAGACATCGTACCATGAGGAAGACAAGTTCAAAGGGTTGGGCTGGGACATCAAATGGATCGGGGCGTGGTGTGTCTGTTTCTGCAGTAATTGTGACAAAATGATCAAGGGCTGCCATGCAGATACTCTCAAGCTATTGACCTCAGTGTCAAGCTCGGTTGCAAATCATATTTAGGTCTCCTTCCCAGTATAATGTCTCCCTGCCGTCGTGAGAGAAAAGCTCCTCTGCAGTAGGTTTCTACGAGCTTTGTAGACAGAGTAGAGTCTAAGAGCCTTTCCTTGCCAGCGTCGATGTCATCACACACTATGTTGACGCTAACAGCCAACATCGTGCTCGTGGACGAAAGGGTCTGATTGCTGATTAGCATGGAGTTCAACTCTCCCATGGTGCATGCATCTTTTACATCCTTCATCAAATCTTTTCTTGGCGCGTGAAGTTTTGTACGTTCAAGTGATTTTTAACCACGTCTTTCGTTGAAGTCTCTCATAATGTACTTCACCGAGTCGAGTTTTCGTGTATTACCTCATGACCGGGACACGACCTCACCCATGCTGCGGTAAGGATGATGGATATTTCGTTGTCAGTGTTCGTCCTAGAACTTACAGCGCCTATCAGGTCTCTCTTGACGTAACTTGAAACGTCGACGACGCAATTGTATCCCATGATTGACTCCAACAAACAGTCCAGCAAAGTTTCCATCTTTTCAGGATAAGTTGTGTGGCGGCCCGGGCAATACTGGAGTGCATTCTTGCAGTTTTGTATGTCTCTCAGAATCTGACGGCTGTAAAGCGCTTGCATAGAATCAGTTTACGATGCGACGGATTTCAACGTAACGACTGATATCTCATGGAGCTTCATGCGATACACGTATTCTGACTTCAAATTATCACCAAGACGTGCACTTCAAAGGTAACTCAGACTTTGAAATGCGAGGATAAAAACAACCACTGATATTGATATTTAGGTGTACGAGCGCCAGTAGGTACCAATACAGTATCGATGAAAGAGAAGATGGAGGTTAAAACAATTATTAACTGAGCACCAAAAGCAATACATTTCAGTATCGAAACCGTTTGATATTCAACGAGATGTATCTCACCTGAATCACAACCGCATTTTTACTCCACTATCTGCTCTCGCATGGCACATTTACTCGCTGAAAAAAGATGGTCAGATGGAGGGCACGCAAGATGGCAGGAGGCAGCTCACAGGAGAGAGAGGGTGATATCACCATTGACCTTGGCCTGGATGGCAATCTCGACCTCGAGGTTGAGATCAAGACGGAGCTTCAAAGCTTCCTTGGGGGCGACGGTGCCCTGGTTGGAGCGGGTAGCGACAGAGGTTTCTGGGGCAGACATGTTTATGCTGATAATAGATGGAGAGCCTTGGGTCAGGCTTTTATATGAGATTCGACTGACCCGGGTATAAATTCACGCCATAATGCAGTTGGTAAGTCGGCTGCCTTGTCATAGCAATCTGTCTTCTTCCAGAATTCAAGGTTCAGAAGAATGCAAGGGAGGTGCTTGCAACGTAACGATTCCTATTTCATAATAAACATGCTGCATATTCGAGCATCTCATTGACACTTGTCTACGACGGGCCCGGGCCTTCTGACCGTGGGGCGTTGAGACCTATGGCAGTCGTACTACATATGCTAGCGCTATGGTCGACACAAAGTACAAGCATTTATGCATATGGGTCCAAATATTCCAGGGCAAGATTGAAGAAACAATACAGCGGGAGAATACTTGCCTTCCCGCTATCACCACCAGCACCAGAAGCTTCGCTCATTCCGACATCGATTCCGCACAACGCTCGCCATCGTAAATCCCACAGGAAATTTCCAGGAGATGGAACGTCATCATCTTTCGGTCTGGGCGCAACGCATCTCGTCATCTTGTAGACCAACAGCTCTCGCAGAAGCAGAAAAGACTTTGTTAGGATGCCGGTATCGTGAATTTGGTGCCTCCTCGAAGCCCATCCCAAGCCTATTGCAACAAATTCGCTCGAGTTTCGCTAGACGCCGCCATCGTTCCTCGTCCTTGTGTTCTTCTTTCCGACCCAGGTCCAGGCGTGGGTCCTAAGGGTCCTAACGAACATTCGTTGACATAGCTTGACTGGTTCATCCGTTCGTAGGAAAAGTCACAATTCAAAACTCTCCATAGGCCTCTCCTCTTCCCTTTTTAAAGTCAGTTCGACATTCATGTCAGCTTCAGTCCATGACATGGAGGCTCAGTAAATCCTTGGGGGAAGATGCACCGATATATATACTTTCGTACTTGGCAAACCTTGTTGAACTTGAAGTGTTGATGATTGACAGAGAGGGGAGCACACACGTGGCTGTCTACATACCGGACCCGGCTTCTTTGTTTGCTACTACCAGCATTTTCGTCGGAGATTTGCTGCACATCTTCGTAAATATTTCCTTCGTTGACTCTCCTCGCCAACAGATGGTTCATCCTTTCCTACAGCAACCACGAATGCGCCAGGTAAACATGCGTGGAAACTCTAAGGTACTGTCTTTGACATCGGCTCGTATGTCTTGTCCAGGCCCGGGGATAAATTAAAAGGACAAGCCAAGATACCTGCACTTCGACCTCTCTGCTAGCAGAGATTTTCTAACCAAGCCACCGGTGTCGTCCTACTGAATCTTCGTTGGCGTAGAGTTTTGTTGGAGGATATCCGTATGTTTCATCTTATCTTACTTTTTGATCACTCGCTCTATTTGCCTTATATATACTTACACCTCCTGTCGTTTCCCGATCACCTATATAGTCCAGCCGTTCCTATCTGTATGCCTCAGTCGCTTCACCCACGTTGTGCCCGACTGAGATACTCACATATATTCTTCTGTCAATAAGTTTCTTAATCTTTAAATAAGCGCCATTTCCGAATCAAAGGCGGCTTGGAACCCCGAAGTAAAACTAATATTGGTATGCACTATGTTTATGAACACTGAATACTAATTTAACTTCTGGGAAGGTGCGAAACGAAGGGCAGGAAGATAATCGATATGATTATGGACTAAGCAAATGGATGTTAGCATCGACCACGGCTGGTACTCGGCACATCTCACCCTAATCCGACAGCTACACTCCAATACCTTTCCGGTCTTATGGCACATTTACTCGCTGCGAAAATGAACAGTCAGCTTTAGGTTGTGCAAGACATCGATAGTCATCGACTCACAGGAGGGAGAGGGTAATGTCGCCGTTGACCTTGGCCTGGATGGCGATCTCGACCTCGAGGTTGAGGTCAAGACGGAGCTTCAAAGCTTCCTTGGGAGCGACGGTGCCCTGGTTGGAGCGAGTGGCGATTGAGGTAGAAGTTTCTGGGGCAGACATGTTGTGCTGATGCTGAGTTGGTTGCTTGGTCTTCAGGCTTTTATATGAGAATCATCTGATCCTGGATATGAATGAGTATCCTCGCGCCATAACTTAGCCCAATACGTCGGATGCCTCATTCAAGCAACATAGCTTTTTTCGTCTCGAAGCTGTAAGTCGTACGTAACGGTTCTTATTTCATACAAGACACGCTGCAGATTCGAATGTTTCATTATCATTTGTCTGCAACTCAGGTCTTCTCATAGACCCATGATATAGAATGCACGCCGTAGAATACGCGCTACAACATCTCGTTGCTATGCCGGTAAGAACTCTCATCCGTACGGTATTTCTAGGCCCCAATTTCAAGCGAAGGTCTACACCGTGTCAGGAACGGTTTGCTACCTTCATCACGTACTCACCATCATCTACGAATTTACTGAGTTTCCGTCGTCAGTTCCGCGCCACAGTCGCCGACACCACCGCCATCCAGAACGTTCACGGCCTGGTCGATTTCGTCACCACAGCACTCCTGACATGTATAGTATGTAACGCTTGCCTTCAAGTTGGTCACCATGAAAAAAACACGAGAAGATGCCATCACAAGTTTCTACAATCCTAGGTTCTCAAGGTCAAAGATGTGCTTTGAGAATAACGAGAGAAGGACTGATGACAGTCTGTTGAGCGGGCCTCCCTCGGGCGACAATAAAATGCCCTATCATCCTATTGCAACAAATTAAACCAAGTTTCGCTGGTCGTCACAAAGTCTTCGCCCTCTTTGCCTCCGACATAATAGTCATGGAGAAGTGGGGGGCGTGGTAATCATCTCGCTCATATACACGCTTGACTGATGGGAAATCACAGGTTTTAGAAGGTTTCCGTTGAAGATTCACAAATCGTGCGACAAATCGAGGCTCAGAAGATGTACCCAATCTCAGGTGCAACTTTGTATTCTCTCCTCTTCTTGCTTGTTAAATTAGCTTCCCCCTGGTGTTCTGAGGTGTGAAATATCCTGTATGTCAGGAGCCTGGCATCTCCAAGGGATTTGAATGCAGATGTGGAGCTTCAACCAGCATGTTCTTCGAATGGCACAAACTTGTTCTTGACTCGGAAGTGCTATTTAATTGTTACTCCTCCGCGTACACCTTACTGATTCCTTAAATTCTTAGGGGTGATGGTGTAGCTGGTTATCGCATCTGTCTGACGGCAATTCTGTGCACAAAAGGTCCTCAGTTTGAACCTGGGTTGGCTTATTGCGAGAAATTTACATGGGCTTCTTTTTGTTCCCGCAAATCCTTCAACTGGCCAGTGGCTAGGGTTGTGCACGAAACACCCAGGGATGTAAGTAATGGTTTTGTACCGACCCCCCTCAGGGAAGGGGTCGTGGTTTGGTATTTTTCTTACTCTCATCATGTATATTATCACATGACTGACGCGCAGCATCTAGTTTTTTTTTTTCTGAATCTTTACCTTCGCGTTTTTACACATTTTGTCGATCTCATGAACTGTAAATGTACTTGCAAGCATTGTACGGCTATTACTGTGCTTTACAAATTGAAGATACACACAGTAGCTACTGTAGTATTGAATTATCCACATGATAGGTTAGTTACCAGCAACTTACCTGTCCAAAACCCCGGCGTATCAAAAGCTAGGGTTTCATGCACAACCCTACCGGTGACCACTGAGGAATCAGGAATCAGGATAGGTTTGTTGCGCCAGTATTTCTTATCTGACTACTTATCTATCATCCAATCTCGATGATGAGTCAGAGCGCTGGTCGCCGGTAAAGCACCCAAGCTTGGATCGTATCTGAGTCTTAAAAGTCTTGGATTGTAGAGTTTGCAAGGCCTTGCAGTTCAGACAATCTAGTTACATACTTTTGAATATACTTAATAATTTATATCATACTAGGGAGTTATTCTACTGGCAATTTGCAAAAATCACCATTCATTTTAGAGTACTTAGGTAAACCTGTTTAAACTCTTGCAAGTTGCATCCGGTCTGCAAGACTCTGGAAACTTTGGACTTTACGCTCGGTGTAAGCGACTACTATGCGTGTTCTGCCCTCCTGATGTCTCGGAGTCGGGGCGGATATCTCATCAGAAAAACTTTCTCTGCATGTCACTACCTTTTAGCATCATCTTGGTATCACCATCGAAATTCAAGAGACACACGAGCCGCTGTCAGAACATGAGATGACGTTGCGCATAGTGACTCGGAATGGCTACGGCGAAAATTCCGGTGAGCGATGCTAGAGACGGGGTCCTTACGCTCCTTTTGGAGAAGAGGAGAAACGGACGAGAAATGATACAATTGTTCAAGTTGATAACTCTTTTCTGTCGACGCGTGAGGGAAAGCCATATCACCGGATGCTCCCAGACGGACGATAAGGCGGAAAAAAGTATTTGACAATCCAGAAGGTTCCGACCAAGAAGTTACGCCCCTCACTCCTGTGTATATGGCCACAGCAGCAGCTGTGGTGTTCGTCGTGGAATGCCCAGCGCTGGTCTTGCCATCGTACATTGCATCAGAAGCACGCGAATCCATCTTCCAGGCCTTCGCACATGCCCCATCTTTTGAATGAAATAACAAACCCTTACGTGTCCACATTCCTCTCGTATACAGTCTTCTCTTCTCCAAATTTTTTATACCTGCATGCTTCAAGTTCGAGACTTAATTAACTTGCTACGACGAGGCACCCGAGTTGCTAAATGCACCATGGCGCAATCATAACGTTGCTCTCGCCCTCATCCTAATCTAGAACTCGAGATCGATACTTGTATAAAAGAACCTTGACCGACTAGCAAATCTTCTAACAATGTCTGCCCCAGAAACCGCTACCAAATTCGCACCTACCCAATCCTCCTCTGTCCTCGGTGGACAGATCGTCGGCCGCACTGAGCGCCAGGCTGCCCCTCCCGCAGCTTTGAAGCTCCGTCTTGACCTCAACCTCGAGGTGGAGATTGCCATCCAGGCTAAGGTCAATGGCGACATTACCTTGTCACTCCTGTGAGTGCTTTGCTCGTGTTGGCATATCGTCGGGCTGACTGTTTGTTTTCATAGTGAGTAAACGTGCCACGCGCACGGGAAGATGGCGTCGGAGCAAGTTGTCTTGTCTAGGTGAGGGATACTTCGATGATGAGTACCACCCATTGTTGATGTTGATGCTCATCCTCTTAGCGCATAACCACTTTGATTACCCTCTCCTTTTCTCCGACGGTTGTATTAGTATTTTACTGGCGTTCATACATGGAGTAATGCTAATACCTCGCGACCTTGCGGTTGTTTCGTTAATCCGAGTTTCCGAGTTTTTTCCGGCACTAGAAAGCATGGAGAAAAGTCAAAATCCATGAAAAGAAGGCACAGCCGTGAGCTCTTGAGCTGGCTCGTTTAAGGCTCAGTGCTCACTAAGAACAACCACCGTGCCCGTCCGTCCAATTACTTACACATGTCCAACGTACCGCTGGTGCTTCTTTTCAGTCGCTGTTGCCGCATAAAATACAGGCATACATGGTTAGCGAAACTGTTGCACAGTCGAGAGAGATACTAACAAGATATCTGGGTGCCGAACTTCAAATTGAATTTGAGAACTGAGTGGCTGGCATCCTTTGTTAGTGTCGGTAGTGCATTATGTCAATAATCCAACAAACCTTTCTTAACATCCATACAGGCCCACCGCTTTCACTATACCTATCAGCACAACTGAACAGGGTTATCGAACGATCCCCATCTCGTGAGTTTGTCTCTGGTACCCAGCTGGTTGAATTATCTTCATTGAACTCCAGGCTGGGTACAGCTCCTCAAGAGTTCAATCTTTGGCTCGACACAGGTTCGGATCCTACATGGGTCCTGAACCAGTCGTGTGCCGGCTCTTGTCCAATTTCAGACGCCAACCGTACGGCTTATATCCCATCGAAATCCTCGACTTATAATGCCACTGGAGAAACGCTCAACGTCGACTATCTTGGGGGCGCCGTTTCCGGGTACGCTTCTTTTTGAACGATCATCCTTGTGCTCACTTGGAAAAAAAAGAAAAAAAAAAAACAGCATGATCTTCACAGATGCTTTGTCCATTGCGAACTCCTTGACCGGAGTCTCCACACGAGTCCTCCCCGCTTCTTTATCTAATTGGGTATGGCTCGATGCAGATAGAATGCTTGGCTTGACTTTTCCTCGCGCAGAGTACGCCCGGGGACAAATTTTACTCACAGTGGCGTAGGGATGTCGTCCACGCCTCCCTCCTTGAGAGTCTCCTCAATCCGGAGACCCTCGAAGCGCATGAATTGGCCATTTATGCCGGACAAGAACTGTCACCAAACAACGGCGTATTCCAATTTGGCGGTCACTCCACGGAGTACAGCAGCACGGATGTAACGTACTTCAATGTCCAGCGATATTCTAACTACAACAATGAGCTTATCTACTGGTCCACCTATATCAATCGGGTCGACTTCAGTTTGAATGCGAACGGGAGCATACACATTAATACTGTAGATGTGCAGAGTTATGCGGTCTGGGATACTGGCTCGTCCCTGATAACCGTGCTGGAGATTTACATTGAGGATATCTACGCAGGCATTGGCATGAACTACACCTTCATCTAGCAGGGTGGTCGTCCATTATGGAGGATCTTTGCAAACTGGACTTTAACATGACCATGACGCTTCCGGAGGGCACGATCACCATCCGCCCTGCAGACCTGATATTGCCGGGATATACAGAGGAGCAATACTGTTGGCCTATGTTCGAGCCGTAAGGATTTTTCCTCAACCTTTCGTCCTGCTCTCTAATTGAGGGGCTGTATAGGTCCTCTGGAAATGGATGGCTCGTCGGTATCGGGCTTATTCGCAATTTCTATACGGTGTAGGATCTAGGTGGCTGGGATATACGGTCAAACGATTTGCAACCGCGACTCGGGTTTGCAGAGTTGAAGGCTGAGTATCATACATGAGCACAAGATTCGATTATATCCTCAAGTTAAAAACTAATCAATGTGTACAGCATGGACGCTCTTTCGTACGCTACCTGATTCGTCACAAGTAAACGAGCAAGCATGGCACTTCGGAGAGCAAAACGACTTGTGACTTCAACTTGCCTTGTCGTTACCTTGTCATCAGTATGTAAAAGCTTATTGCGCGATCCACCTCTTCAAAACTGTGTGCGAAGGCCTAGAAGACAAGGTGATCTTGTATTCGTATCGGATATTTGGCGTGGTTATGGTGGTTGCCCATCGAATACATTGTAAGTTCTACTTGATGTCATGAGTCCCCATATCTTACTTATGCGAGAAGTAATAGACACCCTTCGCATCTAGCAATCCAGTAGCATATGGCGTAAGGAACTCAGAGATAAATGGATTTCAGGCAGAAACTACGTAAGGAAGCATCCGTTTTCTACTTGGCATAACCGCTCAGCCTGCTGTAGAATTGTTCCTTTGGAAGAAATGCCTTGCTGCCCATTCAGCACTCTTGAATCTATTGCTTCTCTCCGAATTTTGATTAGCACAGAAAACGTTTATGCTGCGCTGATATAGTCAATGGCTGGTGTACACTCTCTTGCCGTGAAACGCTGTTCGCGCCCCTCTAATTCAACGGGGTATTCTCCGGCCAGTGATGACCATTGGATTCGACGAGCATGCCTTCGTAAAGGGATATAAAATCCGGACGACGACTCGAAAACCACCTACGGACTGTTATGTTCTCCCAAGTCGCTGCCTTCGCTGCCCTTGTCGTCGTTGGACCGGTCCAGCTCTCATCATATGTACTTACATGTGTATTCTGTTTTGTAGGAAATGGTCCTGAAGCCGGGAGAGTACAGGTTCACAAATCTCAAGTCTTCTAGCGCTCTTCGTTCTTACGGTATGGGCGGCCAACTTTTGGTTCCATACATGAGGAGAAATGAAGGGCGGGAGACCTTGGTGAGATAGAGATGATATACCGCTTACTTTCCAATTTAATGCATTGAAGTGGAACCTCACGTTTGCGCGACATGACAATACTAAAGTCGCGTATATCCGCAACGTTGGGAATGATGGATACGCCCAAGCTATAGGACTTGCTGTCCATCTATAGCTCTGACTCTTCCTTCTGTAATACTGATATCTGTGCTCCAGGATAGCCCCGGAGAACTGGTCACTACTGTGCAGAAAAACAAAAACGAAGCTACTGCTTTGAGCATCATTCCCGTTGGCCCAGCTGATTTTGGCGCTTTCGTTTTCCAACTATACGGAACCCATATTTGTTGGGATGCCCAGAACACCAGTCACCAAAGTGAAGACGCATATGTGAGGACTTGCTACTTTGCGATGGCTTCGAGTTGTCTGACTTTCACATAGATCGGGTTTTCCTACGTCGAGGATGTGAAAGCCCTTCAGTATAATGACAGCAGCATCTAAGGCATGCTGTGGACAGCGTCTAAGATTAAGTGAGTACTGCATGATAAGCAATATAATATATTGTATTTGACGGGCTCAAGTAAATACGCATCAGATCGACATGTTACAAAGTAGGGATTGTTAATTAAACGCGCCGAATTACTAAATGGTCAAGCGCTAAGCCTTCCCGAGGCTATGTCTTCTTGTCCAACGCGCCATCCAATAATTCTAATGCCACACTTGCTGATCCCCAGGACGAGATGTACCCATATCCACCATGCCTACACCGTCGAATGCGTCATGACGAGCCCAGCACAAGATCAAGAAAGAATAAATCTTACCCGTAATTCAGCACTAAAGGAACCGCGCCGCTGGTGTCAACATCAATGCGAATGCCTTGCTTTCTTCCCGGTCTCAAACCGCACCGATCTTCGATGATGATGGGCTCGATGTCCTCCACAGCTGGTTCCCTGATTGCCCGTATTTCCGGTGGTGCGATTTTCGGATATAACTTGAGAATCCGTGCTAAAATCTCCTTCCTGGTTTCCAGACGCGCAAGGGGATACCAATCGTCCTTTACGTAAGTCCCTCCAATAACGACATCTCCGCTGCGTCTGGGGATGACATAACTCAACGGGCCATCGTAGGTATGAATGCATTCGTCTACCCACGGCGCCCTCAATAAGATGGTCTGCCCCCGAATCGCGGTCACATTCTTGTCCTCTATTCCGCCCAGGAACCTTGCTCCGAGGCCAACGCATGCGACAACCGCGGCTGGCTTACATGAGTTCTTCGCACCGGTGAATGGACCTATACCATCTTCCATGACCTGGGACACATGCTGGACTTGCCCGCGGACTATAGCACCTCCGTGTGCAAGAAATCGAGATAGTAAATAATTGAGATATATCGGCACGTCAATCGTGAAGGTGCTGAAGGACACACCCTCAACAGACCCTTCGACAAGCTCTCCAGCATCCATGTACCGAAACTATTGGGGTATGTTTGATATGCCCAGATTTGAGAACAGAAGGGTAGTAGAAGCGTACATCTGGCATAGATTCCAACAAGTACGGCTTTGCCTTTGATTCGCCGTAGTATGACTTCTTTGTAAGTCGCTTGAAGCACCTTTCAGCTTCGCTGCCTGGAGCAGACAGGTCCCACATGATCTTGAACGTTTCACTGTCAATTTCTTGAACGCAGCTGCAGCGTGAGTGATTACGTCGGGCTTATCTCTGGAACGGTAAAACTGACCTGACTGTTTCGGATGTGCTTCGTCGACATAGGCGTGGGAGCTACCGGAATGTATGGCTCCCTATCGCATGGTCGTACTTTGCATAAGTACAGATGAAATGAAGTACACACCGCCCATTGGCTCGTGTATCTGATAGTCAACGGATCGCTTGGTAATGTCTCCGCGATAATGGTAACATGGTATTTCCCGGTTTCCTGTATCCGCAGGGCAGTCGTCAGACCAATCACACCTAAGAAACAGGTCAACATCCATCAATACTGCGAAGAGACTTAATTACCTGCACCGATCACAATGATAACTTTCTTAGAGTCGGTGGTCTCAGAGGTCATGACACGCTAAGATGGAGGGAAACAAATCCTGCCAACTAAAAAAAGCCAAGTCCCGGCCGCGGCATCATCCGTTCAAACCGATTTCGAATTCTTTTCCTTATAGGTTTTCTGACTCTTTATACTTACACAATCAATGTACTTTGATATCTTAGATCTCCTTCAGTGCATTTTCTAGAAGCTCCGTAGCAGCAAACGCAGAACCCCACGACGATTGGAATCCCTGGCCACCGTGTCTAGTAAAGTGCGGGATCAGCTTCCAATCACTCAGACACAATAGACATATCACCCACCCATAATTGTTGACAAGAGGAACTTTCTTTCCCTTGTTCTCTGTCCATCGAACGTCAAGCCGTACGCCTCCCTTCCTTCCTGGTCTTAGACCGCACCCCTCTGAAATGATGATGGGCCGGACATCGTCAATTGTGGGTACCCGTTGTGCGCGGATCTCTGGAGGTGCGAGCTCCGGGCACAATGCAAACGCACGCTCAAGAACGTCTTCAGAGGTTTCAGGCCGTGGATTGGGGTACCTAAGCATGATAATTAAACACGCGTCCGGACGTGGAACAAGTCTTCCGGAACATACCAATCATTATCGATCTTCGTACCACCTACAATGACCTATAAATTAAAATTTCCAGTCGGTAACGGAGTCAAAAAAAAAACTCGGACTCGGACTCGAAAAGCACTTACATCACCACTTCTTCTCGGTATAATATATGTCCAAAGCCCTTCTTTCGTGCTGATTGTCCTACCAAACCTGATCCATGGCGCCCTAACCAATAGGATCTGCCCTCGGATCGGGTAGCAGTCCTTGTCTTCAATTCCCACCAGAAACCGAGCCCCCAGACCGGCGCAGATGATTACAGCATCAGGCGGTGTGGGCATCTTGTTTCCAGTGAAGATGCTCGCCCCGCCTTCCACGATCTGAACAATATCCTGGACAGCTCCGCGGACAATGGCACCACCTTTAGAAAGGAAACGTGACAGCAGGTAGTTGAGATACACTGGTGTGTCGATAGTAAACGTGTTAAAAGACACCCCGCTTAGAGTGTCAGGCACCAGCGAGTCTTCCGGCAAAGTCTTGAACTAGAAAATGCAAGTCTTAAAACATGATACCATGTCGAATAGTTCGCGTACGTCTGGCATCCACGATAGATGATGAGAATCTAGGTCAGACTTCTGGCCATAGTACTCAATCTGTGGTATTCGCAAGAAGCAAGCTTCTGCTGCCCCTCCTGGAGCAGAGAGCTCCCACATAACCTTGAACGTATCCGAGTCGAGCTCTTTCATGATCGTTAGCACATACGGAAAACATATCGATCATGGAGAGTAGCGTACTAAACTGCCGTGGGTCATTCTCTGCGTGGCTGACATGATGAGCCCCCTAATGAGACTGGATAGTAAAAGGATTCGGCGCAGAACATAAAAATTACACACCGCCCAAAGACTTGTGTACTTGATTGTCTTGGGATCTGATGGTAAGATTTCAGCTACAATGGTCACCGCATATCCCCCCTTTTCTTGGATATTCAACGCGGTGGTCAAACCAATTACACCGGCACCGATAACAACGATATTCTTGAGCTGCTCCATGAGAAAGATCTGGAAGTGGGCGGTGATGGCGGTGAGAATTGCATGCCATTTATCACAATAAGGATGGACGCGACAGATGTCGGACGATGCCGAATTATCCGACTTGGCCTCGGCAAAAAACAAACCCGTGCCGTTGCCTTGGAAGGTGTATTTGTTCGTCTGAACGTCCTCTTCAAAACGAAGAGGTATAGTATTTTCCACGTATATTACAAGGTTTTACTTGACGCGTCCAAAACATTGGCATCATCGTTTTCTATATCCTTTCCGTCGGCCTTTGGCTGCATTGCCAGATGCTTTTTGGACACTCGTTTCGCTCTGGCAAAGATGCCTACATCCTTGTCTCGAATGAAATTGATGGTGATCATGGGCCAAGATGGGTGAGATGGAAGAGTGTCATAAAATTCGGGTGCGAGGGCGCGAAGAGCCGGAAGACGCGTCCAAGCAACGGAAGGAAAGTCGTGATGCTCGTTGTGGTATCCGACATTATATGCGAAGATGTTGAGCCATCCATAGTAGCTATATGTCTCCTGTGGGAGCCCATCCCAAAGGTAATGTTCAGCAATGAAATGCCCCGCGAGCGGATGTAAACTTCCGGCAAAGAAACTGCTATAGATGAGGTATAGGTAGGGGAGGATACCGAAACGCATTATGAAGAAATAGTTGAACATCAGCTGAACGCCGAAGTTAAAGAAATGCCAACGAGTGAGAGTCTGTGATCTAATGAAGGTAGGACGGAGGGCGTAGAACAATATTTGGAAGGTCCTTTCGAAGCGCTGTGAGTTAATTATATGTAATAAGAGATGGATTGTGAACATACGCAAAGAAAACTTTGCCAAGGACATTGTTCAGGCAAAGTAATTCTAGTCTCGACGGCAAGTCGGTGTCAACACCATCTTCTCCCAGGTACCTGTGGTGTTCCATGTGGTATTTCTGCGCATCACAATGAGATATATATATTGTTTCACGAGTCAAACGCACCCACTTTGAACATCGCCGAATAGGGTATCCCAATAGGCAAATTGGCGAAAGTGGACAGTAGCTTGTTAGCAGCAATGCCGCGAAAAGCAAGGTTATGACATATTTCGTGGATAGCAAGAAAAAGGTTGTGATTGGCGGTCCCTCCCACGATATATGCCAAAGCAATGAAGCGCCATGAGAGGGGATGGGTATTATGAAGATATATTGCAATAGCCAGTTGAAGAGTCACGACAAAGAAGACAACGTATTTCGTAACTGGGGTGTGTCCCATTAATTTTGTGACCTATACAGTAAAGATCAAACGTGACGCTGGATACGAAGGATGGGCGTTATGCATACCTCTGGATGTGCTTTCATTATAGCAGTCCGCCGCGACTTGTGAGGCTCCTCTGTCATGAGCCAAAGGAAATCATTGGGATTAGGTGGTGGTCCTGGGTATGATTTGCCATCATCTTGCGCAGTAGGTCTCACCACAACAGTTCGACGCGGTGAACGTGCATTTTTAGGCTCTTTCGTGGTCTCTGCACCACCGTAAAGGCTATAATCTGTTTGCGGTAAAGTTAATGGATGCCCTTCCTGCAATAGAAAGATCCTTACCAACTTTGCTTTCCACCGTCATGGACGTCGGGAAAAGAAATGGTTCGATGAAGGACTCCGGCATCGGACCGGATACGGAACAGCGCATATTTCCATTTTTGGAAGTTCGACACGCACGTTTCTCCAGGCCTTACGTAAATTCGACGTCCTGTCTTCAAGTTCGCCCACGACAGAGTGGGCACTGAGATTTTTCTTCAAACGGCACTACTAAGATGGACCCGTTGTTTGACAATCTAGCTCTCAACTGTGGAGAGACACTCGTGCTTCCCATGAATGTAATACGGCGAAACAATGCCGCGCAAAAGCTGCGCTTCGAGGGTATAATGAAACGGGGATATCTCTGCTGCTTACTGGGAAATACGTTCGGGTCGGCTCCATTTATTTTGACGACTAACGGTGTCTGCAAATGGAATACGCAGCCCTCATTCCCCACGTCTTCCTAGATCCCCGCGGGTTCGAAAGTCCAGCATACTTCCACCTCGGTGCCAGTTGGGGGTTATATTCAGATGCCTTGGATCTGTCACCAAATCTGCGTTCGCTGCGCAACGCAATTGACTCGGGGCTCCACTCTTACGGCACATTGTATACCATTTTGAAGAGGTGCCCTCTGACCGTTAGCCTCTGTCAAATCAATGCGAAGTAGTTTTTCGGGGCAGTAGTCAGTACCATGATGTGGAGAGACACGGGACCATCACGTCGTTAGTCCTCCCGTCTCATTAATCTTGGATGGTATCAAGATATGACCAATGGAAGTTGACTGTCCGTGTAAACAGGACCTCACCATTATGATGTGAACCGGAAAAGTTTCCGAGAACCCAGTGAGGTGATAGATGATACATATGCTATCAGTAAGCACCCTGTGTTCATTACCCATCTGAATACTCAAGGTCGAGGCGTGCAGGTACCGAAGAAACAAGTCACCCTTCACTAGGGACCGCCACTCGCCATGACCATTCCGAACAGAACTTTCTACCACAAGTAGGTAAGTACATAGACGGACCCGATAGCGGCTTTTTGCATGCTGAAAATCGCGTTCTGACAGGACCCTGAATCAGGTCATCGACGTGAAGAGGTGAGAGCCTTCGATACTTGGATATCTACACACCGCATCGCATGAGTGGCTTGTAACTTGACTCCCCTCAACGAGGACATATTTGTAGTCATGAGACATGGGCCAACCCCACGGTCCCATGTCGCAGAAAACAATAATAAGCTATATCAAGGTTTAGGCAGATTCAGAGACCGCGGACTACTGTCTGTCCCTGAGCGCTTTATTGCTCGTGGTCCCCTCTAATTTTACCAGTACTGTAGAACCTACTCAGAAGATCATTTCGCGTGCTCTATCCATGGGAATGATTTAGTATGCATTTTTTCTCTTCTGTACAGCTGTGATATCAGACTGTTATTGTTCGCCCTCGCCGCATGTCTTCAAGAACGTGGAATTATGATCCAGCCGGACCTGTTTTCATTGTTGCCCCTCGATAACGGTCCGTTACAATGAGACGTTAACTATAAGTATACCTATCCCTGAATGGGTGATGATTCCAAGCGGGAATGAACCCCGTGTAGATTGGGCTGGAAGGTGACATAAAAATGCACGTTAAAGATTCATTCCCCAGAGGAAATATCATGGTCTGAACGCCATCGAAGTCCGTCGATCCGCTTCACCTTCACCTACTTCGTGTTAACGCCCAGATAATGCAAAGTCGGATGTTGATTTAACGCTGTTAACCATGAAAGCTAGGTAACAAAAATTTGCACTCACTCTCCTTAATCGCAGACTCTACGAAGGAGTGTCTGGGATCCAGTTCATCTGAGAGAGTGGAAAATCGATGGTCCGTGATGTGAAGCGAGCTGCTTTCCTCGTTGGTATCTGCTCCGATTAACGCGACTGTGACGAACTTGTTCCCGCGACTGACAATGCCTATACTGGGGAGGCCAACAACATAGTGGGGAACCATCAGCAAGCACACGCGTTCCCTGCTAGCTTGTGTATCCGATATATCTCATGGAACGGCCGGTAAGCAGAGCCGTTTCAGCAAGAAATTTAGAGCTTTCAGAAGATACGTCGCGTCTTTGATTCCGGTGGCAACACCTGTTCTCCCGTTATCCAGTAATGTATTCTTAGAAGGTTCACATGACGGCTCACTCTCGACATACATTCAGTGAAAATAAGTCTCATAGTATATGAGATATATCCACCGCTGATCGTCTGTAGTGAAATTTGTTTCCGACAGGTACTGCTAAGATTCTACGCGTTCGGTGTTCGTGGACATCCTCTACGATGGCCGGAATCTTGGCAGAGCCGAAACGCGAGAGATGATGTCTTGTACTACAGTGCTCAACAAAATCGCCTGTGCTGCTACTTACTTGCCACCATCATGATCTTAGCGTCGACCATGTATTTTCCCAGACGACCGAGTCGCCATTAACCCGTCGGCCATTACAAACACCTTATCAGCAAAGGATCGATGGTAACTTTGAGGCGCGTGCTTGCGCGAAGAGGGGAGGGAATGATGTTCGTTCCCGTGTCAGTTACGGGCTCAGATAAGCAACCCTTTCTCGGTGAAAGCGCAATGTTCCTCGGCTGTGGTGAAGAGACACATCAAAGATGTGATCGTACAATTTAGATGCGATCACTACTGTGCAAAAAATTGTCGTCTCTTCATATCTAGTGTATGTTTTCGGTTCTTCATTCCTGTGCATTCACAGGCTAGTTTGAGGGCCAGTCGACGTTGACATCATTTACGGGTTGACGTTGCACAGCCACGAGCAACCTTGATCGATGATCGTCATCATCGGGCCGAGCCGCAATACTTCCGTCAAAAAACTCTCAAGAGTAACACAACCGAGACGTCGATACAAAGTTTCATTATACTTATATGAACAGCGTGAAGATCGATAAATTTGACATAAGTTATTTCCTCCAAAATATACCAAGTAACCATACGATTATCATTCGGCGTAGCGGCGCAGCCGCGTAGGTAATAGGAATGGCTCAGGTGAGGGTAAATTTTTGATCCTTGTCGGTGTGCTGGGAACTGATTCGCACTGTCCTGTCAAATTTGTACACCTGAAGTGCCTGAGTCCACTCGGAGCTCGTTGCATCGCAGCTGCTCTAGATCTGACCCGGTTACTTCCTGGCACCCCAAGTTCCTGGCCTGTTTTTCGCATCGATGTGTGGAGAAATATTTTGGGCACAACTCAGATTTTATCGATTCATCTTTATTGGGCTCTCCTGCCGTCGAGAGGTCGCGTGCCATGGGCATGGTACACGTTATAAAGGGCGGCGTTGTATGAAGAAATGCTTCACTGACCCATCTTCTGCTGCGTCCTCGAGAAAGGTGGCCGCTTTCATGTTTCGATGCCTTTTCATTTCTGACCGTAGCGCTTCAGATGTCCAACACGTCCCTGCCAGTTGCCGAATACATCGACCGATACCCGTATGATCCCGAGTGCCACTGGGATGCAGAGGATCTTATCATGTCACATCTTTCGTTACCCGTCCTTCAAATTCATTGGTGCGCTTCTAACAAGGAGGAGACAGAAGAGGACGTACGGCCGACAAACCACTGGATGATTTTCCTTCAGACAGGACCTAACTCGTCCGTTCGACTCAACATACGCTCGGGAGAGTCGTCGCAATATCCCGGCCTCTTGGAAGTCTGTTCGACGAGATATGCGTTCACCCAAAACTGCTGCTTCAGGGTCTCGGCCGCGACGGTTCCCGGCCTCACCGTGGAACATGTCTTCAGCCTTATCATTAGGAATGGACGTGATCGTTACAAATTCACGGACAATCACGAAGGGTGCAGACATTGGGTCAATGTAATTGCTAGCGATCTAAGCGGCGCTAGCTGGGTGGAATCAGAGGTGGCCCAGAGAGTCTCACAGGCTGTCGTCTTTTACTTCCCGCCTGCCCACCGTGTTCATGGCGCCCAAGCGCCGGTATATAGGCCTTTAGAAGTGGGCACTTTTTTCTGGTATGCCCTTTGTTCCTGTTTTGACTTTGGAAAGGAGATCCTGATCCTTGGTGCAGATCCGAACCGAATGAAACCTTAACGGAAGTAGAGACATTAGACAACCTTTAAATACCTAACTAATTGCGCTCATACTCATTTTTCTATAACATTTCCCGTTGTGAGTGGAGCCTGGGAGTTGGTTTTAATAACGAGAAGTTCTTGTACTACAAATGGTACATGAGCCGTGTATTACCACGATTATATGAATACTTTGTACCACGAGAAACACATCGGAGTAGAGAAGAATGTTGAAACGGCTTGAATAGTGCTCGCAAACTGTCGAAGCGCCTCTAAGCAGTGCATGAAGTAGAGCCTACTTCGAGGTTCGCAGTTACTGATATTGGACTAGCTTAAGAAGTTAGCCCACGCACGCCGACGCTCCTCTTAGATATACAATATAATAAATAAAGAAGGCTACGTGTGCCATGATCATCAGAAAGCTCAACACCTTCTAATGGGGTAGAACAACGACCGGAACTACTCACGGGTGGATCAACTCTGTCAGAAAGTATACGCGGAGAGACTTCTTGAAATACAATATGTTGACCGCTCGGATAATGAAGTCACAGAGGACAACACAGAGAGAGAGACGTGCTGCAGACAAAGGCGACTGCACTACTGCAGATTTTTCTTCGTGGGTAAAATGCAGCCCATAGATGCGATGCACGGAATGCATGAGCATACCAGATTGTACGTAGAAGGGCAAGCTAAAAATCAATATCAACGATGACGATCGTGGCACCAGGAAATCACGATAGGTATCGTCTCAGTCTCAAAAGAAACTTGGAAATGAACATCAAAGAAAGCCGGGAATTGGGTAAGACAGCTTCCAACGTTTTCACCGATGGATATTTTCTTCTCAAGCGCTACCTACCATTTCTAATTTTGGAGAAGGAAGAGGATGATAAAAAGTTTCCACGAGGTGTTGGCAGATTAGTACAAGCTCTGACTAAGCTTCCAATTCGGCTTCATCTGTCAAGCACAAACTTAAATAAGGGTGGATTGCAAAGAACTGAACCAGTGGCTGGAGCAATGGCGGCAGATAGCGGCAGGCTGTCCAGGCAAAAGAATTGGTCATCTGATCGGTCCGGAGAGCGGCCAACCAGCAAGGGCGGTAGGCCACGGCACACCAGCCGAAGCCAAGTACTAGATAACTCGGACGGAGCTCCGCGTAAAGGTCAACACAATTTACAACGCACTGTATGTTTGATAATTGTTGAGATATTGCAGATCTTTGCAGATAACGTATCGCCGAAGATATAACGGTAATGATATGCGTATTTAATTCTTGGCGCAATCCAGTCTGAACGATAAGTATCGATTCTTCCGACATTACTCTCGAGCTGAGAATGGTCGAGACTGCTCATGAAATCGTCGTTATCGGAGCAGGTATGTCCATGCCCATCTTCTTGATGTCCATATTGATGAGAATTGCGACTGTCAGGAGTTGTAGGTCTGACTGCCGCCCTGAAGATTCAAGAGAAGGGAGGGTATCATGTCACTGTCATAGCGGAAACTTTACCTACCGATCCGAAGACGAGCAGATATACAAGTCACTGGGCGGTGAGCCAACCCAGTTTCCCAGATTACAAACAGTTCATATACAGGAACGTTCTAGGGAGCTCAGCACGCCACCGCTGCCGATTCCCCTGGTGTGCATCCGAACCAGCTAGGTACGTCCCGCTGACTGGATGTCATTGGACCTGCTTATGCAGTGATAGAAATGGACAAAGAGACGTTCCGCATAATGTGGGACCTATCAGCCCCTGGGAATGATGCAGAAGGGTGCTTCATGCGACTGCAGATGCTATCATACTCCGGACACCAACGTAAGAAACCGTCGGTGTGGGAGTTCATGCCCGACGTAAGTCATATATCGTTGTTCTGTCTAACAGTGTGACGCAATCTGTGTAGTTCAAATATCTGACCGAAGAAGAGCTTGTTCCCACTATGGTCGACGGATCATCTTTCACTACAGTGACCATTGACGTTCCCATTTACCTTAACTATCTCTTGTCGCGTTTCCTCAGCAGGGGAGGCGCCGTCGTCAAGGGCCAAGTTCAGCACGTTAAGCAGGTCATCGAGGGTGGGGTCGGGGCGTTCACCGGTGCAAAGAATTGCCCGAAACCAGTAGCAGTCGTGGTATGTGCGGGGCTCGGAGCTCGCTTCCTCGGCGGTGTCGAAGACAAGGACGTGTACCCCATACGTGGACAAACCGTCATTGTACGGGCGCCCTGGGTGAAGGAAATGCCATGCTTTCGCCTACCTGACGGTTCCTCCTCATACGTGATCCCCCGTCGAAGCGGGGATGTAATCATTGGGGGTACGACCTTGGTGGATGATTGGTACCCCACGGCGCGCTCGAAGACGAAGCGGGAGATAATGGAGCGAGTGATCAAATTGTACCCGAATATTGCGCCGCCCGAAGTTCGCGCGGTGAAAGAGCCAACCGTCGCGGATCTCGAAGCCATCGTGATTGAGGACGGATGCGGACTTAGACCGGGAAGGAAGGGAGGTGTTCGACTCGAAGTCGATTCTTCGGGCAGTGTACCACTGGTGTTCAATTATGGCCATGGCGGATACGGGTACCAGTCATCTTGGGGAACGGCTAGCGCGGCTTTGAGCTTGCTAGAAGGTGTATTGGCAGGGAAAGCATGATTAGAATTACTCGATGGGTAGTCCAGGAAGTTGGGAGACTTGTAACATGATAAATTATTTGATTGCACCAGGAGGCACCGACGGTCACGATCTTTTACCTAGCGGCAGTCCCGCAGGCGGGACTGAAGGCGGACCAGGACGGTAGCAGAAACTTCCGCTGGTAAAATGTGACGCACACTCTACGGTGCTTTACCATGCACCTACTACGGCAGTGATACTGATGCTGACGTGAAATTGTGACTTCGGTTCTTTGACAAATAACTTGGTTCTATAGCGAAAAGTGAGCAAATTTTGATGACGGAAAGTTTTGAGATTTAGGCCTGAGGAACCATCAGAACAAGGTCGGATTAATCAGCAACCTTGACGCTTTCTTCGGCGACGATCGTCACCTTGTGCTCGCATGAGGCCATGCGAGCAGTGAATTGAGAAGTAGAATATGAACTGCGCAAAATTTTACAAGGAGCTCAGTCATACAAGAACTATATTGCTTTTCTTGATCTTCTTCTTAAACAGTGAAAGGACGACGAAGAAGTGCTTGATCATCGATGTCGCCGAACATAAAGAATTAAGACGCGTGGGTCTTTCCGATCCACCATTTCACAGGGCGTGTTTCGCCATCAACAATCTTGTAATCTGCGCGCCCGACAAACTGCCTGTTCGACAGCAAGAGTGGCATCCAGTGCTTGTCAGTCTGCCACATATGTTCCAAGGGGATATCAGGCAGATCTGCAGTGGATCCAGGAAATCTAAACCACTGCGGCCTCATCTCATCAGTTCTACCACGAGTGTCAATCACGGAAGGAACTTGGGCATACAGAAAACACGAACTCGACAATGTCCCCGGAAAAATCGGCTGCGCGATATATATCAATGTAAAAGGCAGATTCTAAACCTTCTAGCGTGAAGAAAAGAACGGCAAAATGCTGAAGAGGTGCTTGGATACCGGCTTCTTCCTGAGCCATGAATGGGTGGTGAACGGAGGGGACAAATAAAGTACGTATATACATACCTCCAGTTCTCGTAAGGCGGCATCAGCACTAGTCTCTCCATGTTCTACCTTTCCACCTGGTATATGAGTAGAGTCACTTGGATCTACTTCTTTATAAAGGTGGAGCCATACCAAAGCCATTGTACCTAACGCACAAAATGAGATACGAACACTAGAGGAGCTGAAACACGTACATGCCCTTAGCAAATCCTCTCTTTTTATGCCCCAAGAGAATCTAGGCAGGTGTTTACTTTATGATTCGGAACGAAACACTGACTAGTTGAATGATCGGCACCTTTTCGCCTTGGACAATGAAAGCGTTGGTATAATGGCGTATTTTATCAAAAATTTCCCAGCGCGACGCGTCACCACCAGATACGTGCTCTTCGTATTCGCCTTGGAGTCCTGGAGGCAGAGTTGATGACATTATTGTCGATGAAAGAGAAACTCGCCGAGCGTGAGAAATTAAAAAGAGCGGTTTAGCTCTTTTAGTTGCTCGTATTAGGTTCGGAAGCTATAGGGCTGGACTCACTGCACAGCCACTAACAGCTCCTCGTAATTTCTTCCACCGTTGCTCGTCCACTCGTTCCTTTTGCTATGGTTTCTTCGCCTATGGGAGGGCAGAAGAGGCGAAACTCAGACTACTCTGATAGGGAACCTCCTAGGAAACGGCGGGAACCCTCATCACCTGAAGAAGGCGAACTAGACGACTCGTCGACGCCACCTACATCCGCGGCACCAATACCACCCTCTGAGGTCCCTCAGGGAAAAATTCGAGTCCCTTTTCCATTCAAGAAAAAGCCCGTCTCTCAGATAGTACCGTCGACGTCTATCCTCATGGGAGAAGCTAAGCCTTCATCATCTTCAGGATACGAAAGGTCTACGGAAAGTGGGAAAAAGATCCGAGAAAATGGGAGTGGTAGCGAGAGTCACTCGAAGAGTAGAATGGATCATTGGGAACCTGGCATGGGGACCAGTCACCGCGATTACTCTCGCCAACCACGACCCAATCGGTATCCGTCCGACTACCCTACGGGACATCCACGGTCACCTCTATCACCAAGCTTGTCCCATCGTGGAGACCGTCTCATTGATAGGCTGGATATGTCAGCGGAACCCAGCTATGGTTCGCGTCGAAGAGACGACAGAGACTGGGACAGACCCTTGCACGACAGACGTGGGGATTACTATGATAGGAGGGATCATGACTCTGGTCGGGACCGAAGCTATTATGGGGATCGAGACGACCGTCATTATTCGCGCGATCGGAGAAGCAACCGACTCTACCGTCCTGACGACGACTACCGTAAAGGTGGTAGCAATCGAGATTGGCCTCGACGCGACGACGCTTCAGACTCGGGTGTTAGAGAAGATGGTTGGGGTCATGGAAATGAGCGCCGTAAAATGGACCGCTATATGCCATTGTCGCCAGCATCCTCGTCTAAGGGTTCCAGACCGTACCTCGATTACGAGGACGATGCTCGAACACCCGCTGGTCGGCCACCGGTCATTAAATCCCCTGCATATCGGCCTCGATCTCCCACTGAACCTTCACGCGAAGACCGTCCTTTGCGACCCTTAGATGGTCCGCCTCCACCTCCCGCAATGTCTCCTCCCCCGCCTCCACCTCCAGACGAACGCTTGATCAAAGATCGAGACCATCTCTCGCCACATCCTGGCAGCTACTATGTTCCACTCAAACGACCACCTGCACCCAACGAAGGCCATGTACCTCCGTCTATGTCTTTGCCTCATAAGCCTGTGGACGGCGAATCCCCAAGAAAATCCGTGGAGTCGCCGAAAAAGCCTGTTCGGAAAGTAATTGCTCCGCGCCGGTCAAGAAAGGAAGAAGAATTGGCTTACGGGCGTGTATTTCAAGGGTGTGGGCTGCAAAGTGATTATGATGTCACTACAAAGCTCGGTGAAGGTACCTTCGGGTGTGTGAATTTCTCACAAAGGTTTCGTTTTCTTCTGTCTGAAGCGTGTCTATTTCTGTGTATTCTAGTGAAGTCCACAAGGCCGTCCAAAAATCGACCGGCAACCTCGTGGCGTTGAAGCGGATCCTCATGCACAACGAGAAAGAGGGAATGCCAGTCACGGCCCTTCGGGAAATCAAGATCCTGAAAGCCCTGAAACACCCATGTATTATCGAAATCCTGGATATGTTTGTGGTTCGCAGTAAGTCTCTTTGATATTTTTAATGGCCCGTATCAATGATATTCTAGGCAACGAGAACGAGCCTCTCACTGTGTACATGGTGTTCCCTTATATGGACCATGATCTAGCTGGTCTTCTGGATAACGAGCGAGTCAAGCTACAACCCAGTCAAATTAAATTATATATGAAGCAGCTATTAGAAGGCACAGAGTACATGCACCGTGTACGTCACTTTTTCCGTACCAGCTACATTCTGTCTCTCACACATTTATTCTAGAACAATATTCTGCATCGTGATATGAAGGCCGCGAACTTGCTTATTTCCAATACAGGATCCTTACGAATAGCTGACTTTGGTCTCGCCCGGGCTTATGATTCCAAACCTGCAGATCATCGGGGTAGGGAGCGGAAGTATACCAATTGTGTTGTGACACGATGGTACCGACCTCCTGAACTGCTCTTAGGCGCGAGACAGTATGGCGGCGAAGTAGATATCTGGGGCATTGGGTCCGTCGTCCTCTCGAACTGGTTACTTTTGATTTCATGATGTTTTCAGGTGTGTTCTTGGAGAGATGTTCAACCGCCGCCCCATATTACCTGGGACGTCCGACATTGATCAGCTGGAAAAGATATGGCAACTCTGTGGAACTCCCACCCAGCATTCTTGGCCAAATTATGACACACTTCCAGGATGCGAAGGACTTCCTCGTTTCACACAGACTCTTCCTCGGACAATCAAGATGAAATTTGTCAGGTTGGTTGCCTTCTCATAACCCATCCAGTTGCTTACCAATGTCGTGTCTTCGCCTCCCATTAGTGTGGAGCCTGAGACAGTCGACCTTCTCGATAAGCTTCTGACGTGTAATCCGAAGGAACGCATTACAGCAGCTCAGGCGCTGGATCACGAATACTTTTGGACCGATCCATTGCCTGCGGATCCAAAAACGTTGGTCTCTGTATAGCAAGGTCTGATCATGGCTAACATTTTTATCTAGTCTGCCTACATACGAAGCTTCCCATGAATTCGATAGACGTGGACAGCGCGCGCCTGTTCACCGGCCGGTTGTGCAGCCTCTGCCTCCTGCTCCTAGACCGCCTTATTACGGAAACGGACCGCCTCCTGGACGATACGGTGGCCCCCCTCCTGGAGCACCACCATTCGGTTCCTACCCGCACAACCCGCCTGGTGGCCCACCTTCTCAATATCCTCCTAATGCTGGACCGCCTCGAGGAGGATATGCCGGCGGAAGTCGTGGTGTTAATAATTTCAGAGGCTCGAGGCCCCATAACAGTAGGCCTTTCCATCCACGAGGTGGTCCTCCTGGAGGGAATCGCGGTGGTGGTCCGCAGCCTCCGCGGAATTGGAGGAATGGGCCTAGTAGTGGTCTTTCGCTTAATTATCCTCCTTAGAGCATTTGATGACATGATATTGACGGGGAAATGGTTCTGATGAGGTTAAATTTCTTTGTTTCTGTACTACACGGTACTATAACTCACGGGCATTTTTTATCTTACATATACACCAACATCTTTGTAATAACCCGCATTACATTGGCATTTTACGACACGCAAATACATCACGTTTCGACTGAAATGTGCAGGGGGTTTTGTTGCGGAGGGACACGTTGCCAAGTCTTGAACGAATGTACAAAAAGGGGGAGTACAGACAGATCGTCAAATTTCGGTTTTCGCCCTCCTTTATACAAATGCCAACGGTGAAAAGTGATAAAAGTAACTTGATAGACGAGGGGTCAGGCCGGTCAGGCAATGAAGCACGCAAAGATGCTTTTCTTTTCTTCTTGTGTATACAGGCTCGGTCTAGGTGGCAGTGCAATCCTGATAACTTAGGGAACGGGCAGGCGATTTCGAAGCTTCTTACCACTGACCACCATGGAACATTTCTTATCCACGCGATGCATCCTTGATGCCTCTGAGCACACCCTGCACGCTGCCATTCTGGCCCCCTCCGATGACCCCAGGGGACTGTTTATACTCCTACCGTCGTCATCATCGACCCGGATCCGCTGTGGCTCTGCCCCACCAGCAGCAGCTTACCCCAGCACTGAGTCCCTTACCTCCAGCGCCTAGACAGCGACGCCCTTATAATCCTTAACCCGCAGAATCGGTAGTGGGCTCTGCCGCTTGCTTGCCTTACTTTTATATTAGGCATATCGCATCAATGCTTAGGTCCATGTATCGGAACTTTCTACCCCAACACACAGGACTCGGATATGCTGCACCCTGCCATGATCCACCACTTCATCATTCTTTACTACTTGCACCCAATGACAAACAGTCCAACTGAATGGGGTTGATAAGTACAATGTAATGGCCAACAGACTGAGCTTGCTCTCTGCTGTTCTTCTTGTTTGTGAAGGTCGCGTAGTCTTTGAAGCATCGCTACCGCAGACCTCTAGTACAGCGTCTCCAATCTGACCTTCTGAAAGAGCGCCTCGGGGTCTGTTATCCTATACTGCTTCATCAGCTCCTTCTCGAATGCTTCCAGTATCTTGAGGTGTTGTTTGTCATCGAGAATATAGCCAGCCTCTGGCTGAGGCAATTCATTTCTGACATCCTGAGATTTAGTCGAGAGAATAAGCACGCCTAGATAGTGTTGGAAATCCAGGGTGTTGCACAGGGTAGACTCCAGGCTGGTAAGACCAGATGGTATGAACTTGTTATTCTACAGCTCCTACAGAGCTTGTATTTATACTCTCCAGGCTTATGTCTAGAATTTACTACAACTTTCTCTTTCTCTCGAGCTTACTCATCAACTCTCAGCACGATGCCGGATTGCCCTTTCTAGAACTTTCCAGCAAAATCCCAACAGATAGGATCAGAATTACCTTGGACTGGGAATCAACCAGGCTGTCCTTGTGGCAGGAACTTTATAGCCCTAAAGACAACAGTGTTCATAGGGATGAAACAAAAAGAAAAACAGAGAAAGCACATACAATATTAGCTTGGTTAACATCAGGAAAAGATACATGATGGTGGTGGATTAATCTGTTGTGACTATGTGTTGTTAGTCTCAGTCAGGGTTTTCAATAAAAGGCTTGGAACTTGGGGTATTCAAGAAGAAGGAACAGCCTCAGACCCCACAATAACTAGTTGCATGGACACCAATGAATTTCTGGTACTTAATGGAGGAGTTCAGCACAGCTGCTGCATGCATGAAATGCCTGACATCAGTGACCAGAAATTGAAGCCATTTTCATGCAATATCTCTTGGACTTTTCACAGAGTCACTTGTGGATTTTTCTGCGGCAGGTCAATCAAGAAAAGGATTCACTTGTATTAATCTTAGAATTGCATTCTGCCTCTATTTCTTCACTAGACGTTCGTTGTCGCTGGAAATTGGCACAAGGACAAGCAGGATTGTCTGTCTACCATCCAGTCATTGTCGTTCTGTTTGCCACATCATTCTTAGGTGTTGTAGTTATTCTTTGTCATTAAATGTTACGTGTACTTATACTCCCCAAATTAGAGCTATGTACCACTGTAGTAGCTCGGGTTTTTTGCAATTGACCAGCCTCACCTGTCACACTTTGTATTCCCATAACCCAGGTTTGAACCCTAGTAGGTCCTTGAAAAAAAAGGACCTGAGTTTTTTTTAAAAAAACCTCAGCACTTTAATAGGGATTATTTTATCGAAAAAGTGTAATCTGCAACATGGCGTATTTTAATTTTCTGCGCATGCCTACTGACCATGTTTAGATCTAACAGCATTCATCTAGTTCTACAAACAGGAACGGCCCGCTTCCTCCATGACTTTTTTCGCACGATATTTTCACCTAACGACCGCCATGACCGAGATTGCTATTGAAGACGAGCGTGACTCTAAACAACCGCCAGAATCCAAATCTGAGGAGGATGCCGATGAGAATCCGCCGCCGCCAACCCAGTCCTCCCGACTTAAACGCATTGCCTTCCTCATTTTTGTCGGATTCTTCTTCTGGCTGGCCTACGCTGCACGCCAGCGACACTTGGCGAGGCAGAAAAAGATCGTGTATGCTACCAGGTGTGCCCAGGTCTGTGCTCAAGTTGTTCTCTTGCTGATTTGTACAGGTATTCGAACGAGTTCAAGTTCAGGCCGGCCGCGAGTCCTATCATCACGGAGACGCTGAAGGGCGGCGGGACGAGGCTTAGGGGAGCGAATCCCACTGCTACTTCGAGGACCACTCCGACACCGACACCGGAGAAGAAGAGGAGAAGGAGAAGGTCGAAGAGGAATGCGCAGGCCATGGCGAAGGCTGCGAACAAGTAGCCTTGGAGAGCGTACGTGGACTCTTCTTTCCCGCTCGTTGTAATCTGCTCACCTTCTCTCTTTGCAGGTCTGTTCGGTGGTTAATACCATCTTGTCATTTTGCAAACCTTCAAATAATATGGATTTGCCGTCAGCTATATATTCTACGTTCGCGCGCCGACCAATTCCTCGCGACGTTTGTCGTGCTCCATCAACTACCAAACCGAATCAAACAGCAGCTATGCCTTTGAGATCATTGCCCAAGACGAAACACTCTACTTCGAGTTCTAGCTCTCCGCAGTACTCGATTACGTGTCCTGAGTAAGTAGCTGCGTCAGGCAGCAATTCACCTCTTCATGGCATCCGCAACTATGTTGGTTGCGACGAAAGGCGGTAGAAACAAAGATGGGGGCGTCTTCCCTGTCGTTCGCCCCGTTATTCTCAGAAAGCGGGCTGGCGCAGGATCAGGGATATGATGAATTTGTCGCCGTGACTGAACACCTGGACAGGACCTCGGAAGGAAAGCCAGGCAACTGTGTTTTTTTTCGGAGATTTGGGCTATCTTTCCTGGTATGTCAAGCAGATCCGATTCATGTTTTCTTTCCCGAGTGCAACTGAACAAACTTCCCCATTCCTTTAGGATGTGTTTTTTTTGCTTTCCTCAGCCCGCAATATTCACCTACAATACATCGGCACCGGTTTCATTGCTCATTCGACTTGCGAGCTCCAACACCCCCGAAAGACCACTTGGGTCGTCACGCGTACAGGCTTTTGTCCCACCACAACTGATTTCCTGTCTAGACCGCTATACGAAGAAACGGGCGCAAGAGGTATCTTCAGTTTGAATATACTATCTTTGCGTTCGGATGGGCTGGTCTGAAGTGTGTTTTCCTTCTCCTGGGGCTGGATTAATGGGAGAAACATCTTGAGGTCAGCATCCATTATTAACAGGCTTGCTGGTGCATGGCGGGATGATATGAACATTCAGGCACAGATGTAACTTGGGCATATTGAGGTTAGAGTTGCCTAGGTGGTATATAATTTATGATACTACCAATGCTACCAGGCTTGTCCAGAATTTGGATGAGGTCAAATTCAGGTCTGCTGCCAGTCCTACTGTCTCTGAGACATTGAAAGGTGGCAGGACAAGGTTTAGAGGGACAAATCCCATGGTGAATGTGGGGGGCTACACTGACACTGAAACAATAATGTGATAACTGTCTGTTACATGCATGCCACCAGACCTGCATCACACAAATGCTCTGTCAGTCATAGGAAACCACCAGAGCCTGATTAACTACCAATTCCCTTTATTTGAATTACTTCCAACATTTCACATCTATATTTCACAATTTAATTTCCAACCTGAAGTTGGTAGTGAATAATTAAATTCAGGGTCCATTGGAACCCACCTTGGACCCTGACTCAGCAGTAGGTACCAGTATATAAAAACCTGTATAATCATTATAGATACTCAGTTCAAATATCAACTTGGATAGCCATTTACACTTTGTGCTCACTTCAGTTCCTCTCTGCCAAATTCTGCTCTGAAGAACATTCCTCTTCACTTTCCCAATGGAACTCCACTCTGTCAATCTAAATCCTTGGGCCTTGACTCAAGAGTAACATTGCCAATAGCTTTGTTGATGCCCATGCACTCTGCCAGTCTCTGCCCATGCACTCAAGCTCAATCATTTGGCACACTCCTAACAGTATATTCAAACTCAAACTCTTTGAGTCAAAAAATTTCTATATTATGTCCATCACATTCACCCAACCCACAGAAGCTGATTCCAAACAAATCCAGTCTATTCATTCCAACATGTTTTCCATGGAAGACATTCTGGCCTCTGTCTCAAAGAAACAACCAGGCCTCTTTGGATCAGCCTTTGGTGGAGAACAACTCTCCTGTAGGAAAACCTACATCCACTCTAGCTTCACTGCCCATCAACCCAACTCCAATGACTCCCCTAACTCTTTTGACACCATCAGCATCCCAACCAACAGAGTCTGACAGGCCAGCATAATTTATAGTGCTCAAAGTGACTCTCTTACAGATCTCTTATCCTTGAGCAACATAAATGGGAATTTAGACAGCCCAGACTTGGAGGGTGGAGATGAAGACACATCTACTCATACTCTCACTTATCATGGACCAGATGGTAATCCATCAAACCTCTTCTCAGGTGGATCTGGTGGACTAGGAGGATTAGGAGGATCAGATGATTCTAATGGCTCTAGTGGCTCTGATGGCCCTGGAGAGAGCAACAACCCAAACCAGCAGAACATGTTACAAGAATTTATAAACCTGCTATAGAGAGTCTCTACTTCTCTCAATAATCTCAAGCCAGCCACTATTCATATCAAGGTCAAGGAACTGGAATCTTTTGATGGCTTGGATTCTCACAAACTGAAGGCCTTCATTATCTCCCTTCAGTTGAACTTCAATGATAGACCTACTGCATTTACAGCAGATACCAGCAAAGTCAACTACACTATCTTCTTTCTGTCTGGCACTATGCTCAACTAGTTTGAACCAGACATTCTTAACTTCAACCTGTAGAATCTACTGGCCTGGCAATTTTCCTACATGGCCTTCTTAGATGAGCTTTGTAGTAATTTTGGCTCTTTTGATGCTATTGGAGATGCCAAAGATGCATGATGGAGACTGGATCATAAAGTATATGATCCAATTCAATCAGTATGCCTTGCAAATTGGGTATAGGGATAACTTCTTCTGTCATGCCTTCTACCATAGTCTCTGTACTTGCATCAAAGATGATATGGCTCACCATGGAAAGCCTAACAACCTTTACAACATGTGCTTCCTTGCTTAAGAACTTAATGCTCATTACTGAATCTGAAAGACTGAAATTGCCTGTGAAAACTGAGACAATAAGGCCTCCAACTCATCCTCTAACCCTAAATCTAAGGGATCTAACTCTTGTTTCTCAGACTCTGGCTTCACATCAAAAACCACCACTTCTAAGCTCTATACTGATAAGCTAGACAGAGACAGCCATCTTACTCAGGAAGAAAAAGACCACTAGCACTAGAACAACCTCTGCATGTTCTGTGGAGCCAAGCACAAGACTGAGAATTGCAACAAATGAAAGGCAGTAGCCTCTGCCAAGTGTTAGATCCAAGTTGCATGTGACTATAGACATGTGATAAACTGACATCACCTTGCACTTCAGGTGAATTGTCAGAGTTCACTGAGTGTGAATGGTAGCTGTTGTGTGTCAAGACCTTGTAGTTGGCTCAAGAAGAAGTGGTGTGATAATAAATCTTAGCTTGAAGCTGGAGTTTCCAGTGAGAACAAGCTGTCTTAAATACTGTACATGTTGTATCTAAATATACTACTACTTATTATGTGTTGTCAAGTTTCTGGTGCTCATTGTCCTTGAGCATTGCTACTATGCATAAAAGGGTGATTGTGTATTGTCAAGTGTTGCTATCGCATTGCAAGACAATGGCCAACTTGGCTAGTTATGATGACTAAGCCTTGTCTCACAGTCTTAAGTGCTTGTGTTAGCACTCTGACTAAGCATAAATAGGAGTTAATCTGAGAAAAATGAATAGAGTAATAGAAAAATCATAACATTACCCCCTCCTTAAGACCATTGTCCTAATGGCTTAATTTAGAGATAGTTCATAGTCATGTATAGTGTCTATGGCATTCATCAGCTTCTCATTTATCCACTGGTCTGACTTGGGTCCATACCCCTTCCAGCTCACCAGATAATTGATGATTATCATTGTACTACCCTCTTTTGCTCTGATTTTCCAGATTTTGTGGTTTAAGACTTGGTCGACTTTGTAGTGTTCTTCATCATTGATAAGATTTGGTGGCAGAGGAGGTGGTTGTTTTTGGTTGGGGAATGCTGAAGCAATGTATGGTGTCAGCAAGATTTCATTGAAGACATCATGTATTTTCCATGCAGATGGAAGATGTAGTTTATAGGTGCTGATCCCTACTTTGGAGATGATCATGAAGAGGCTAGTGCATTTGTCAGCTAATTTGCATTTTGGATGCAGTAGGTGAAGGTTGATTGTATCCAACCAGACCTTGTCATAGGGTTCATAGGTATGTGCTGCATAATGGTGTTTGTCATAGTGTTTTTTCATTGTGGTGGCAGCTTTTTTGAGGGTGACTTTGATTTCAGTATGGATTTTTTCCATGGTTGTGGCAAAGTCTGTAGAGGTGGGGGTTGTAGTTCAGTGTCATTCTGTCTGAATGATATTAGAGTATCATCTATGATTGATGAAGAAGGGAGTTTTTTCCATGGCAGAGTGTATATGGTTATTATGTTGGAAGGCTGTGAGAGCAAGCCATTTGACCCAGTTGTCTTATCAATAATTAATAAAGAGGCAGAGATATTTCTCTACTTCTTGATTGGTATGTTCTGTTTGCCTGTCAGTCTGAGGATGGTAGGCAGTGGAAGCATTGCATCTAATGCTCAAGAGGTGATAAAGGTTGTCAAGGAATTTGGAAATAAATTGTGATCCTCTGTCTGAGATGACCACTTGTGGTATGCCATATTTGGCATAGATCTCATCATATAGGATTTTTGCCCATTCTTTGAAAGTTAATTCTGTCAAACAGGTGATCAGGATGATCATCTTTGAGAACTGGTTGATGATAATGATAATTGCATTGTAGTCATTGCAATCTGGCAGTCCAGTGATCATGTTGATAGCTATATGGGTCTATGGAGATGATGGGATTTCATTTGGATGGAGTGGTGCCACCCAAGATTTCATGGATGATTTTCCTCATTGGCAGATTTTGCATGCTTTGGCCATCAGTACTCCTGTAGCACCAACTTCTTGGTTTTAGTGATGCTGAGGTGTCCTGCAGTTGCATGGTTATGGCAGGTGATGATAATTTTACCACAGAGTCCTTGGTCCTGAGGGATATAAATTCACCTATCATATCAAATGAGTCCTCCTTCCTTGGTCATATCTTGTTCATGGTTGAGTGAGAGAGCTATCTGTTGGTCCCATTTATGACTGTCATGTGTTGCACTTTTAATCTGCTCATGGATCTCTTCTTCTATTGGCATCAATATGGCCCTGAAGTGTTCAGACCACAGCAGTGTTACTCCTTTGTTATCATTTCCCCCTTGATCATGGTCCATCTGACAACTGAGAAGGTTGGCCTTTTTATTCACTGTTCCTGCCTTGTAGTGGAGCATATACTGATACTAGCTTAATTCAGTAACCCATCTGGCTTGTTATCGGTTTAGCTTCTGTGGTTGTCAGAAGTATTGAAGGTTTTGATAGTCTGTTCAGATTTCAAAAACCTTCATGGCTCCAATCAGATAGTGTCACCACTCCTCCAGAGCAAGCATAATGGCAAGCAGTTCCTTGTCATAGATCTCATAGTTTCACTCAGTGATAGTGAGTGCCTTAGAGAGGAATGCAACTGGCCACCATTTTCCATCCTGCTCCTGAGAGAGTACAGCTCTGATGACTCTTTCACTAGAGTTGGCCTCAACCTGGAATTTCCCTTCTTGTGTTGAGATGGCAAGAACTATGTCTTCAGCCAACTATTGTTTGAGGTTATAGAACACTGCTTGTTGGGAGGGACTCCAGGTCTAAGGGGCATTGTTGGTTAGTTGCATCATTGGCTTGATGATTCTGCTGTAGTTCTGGATAAAACAATGGTAAAAGTTTGTAAATCTGAGGAATGACTGTAATTCTTTTTTCTTAGCTGGTTTCAGCCATTCTGTTACTCTGGCCATCTTGACAGGGTCCATCTGAATGCTTCCTTTGCTAATGATGACTCCAAGGTACTCAGTTTTGAGTACCTTGAACTTGCATTTCTCTGCTTTGAGGAACAGCTTGTGCTTCCTCATGAGTGCTAGCACTTGTCATACCAGTTTTTAGTGCTCCTCCTTGGTCTTCAACATGATGAGAATGTCATCCAGATAGATGGTGACTTTTCTGGTGGCAATGAGATCTTTGAATATGTCATTCATCATCCACTGGAAGGTTGCAGAGGAATTAGTAAGCCCAAAGAACATTACTGTAGGCTCAAATAGCCCTCAGTTAGTCCT